GTAACCACACGGCCTTGGACGGTGCTCATCCTTGGTTTCCTTACCTGCAAACCCAGGTCCCGGGAACAGACTCCTCAGAGGGTCTCTAAGGAGGGCCTGGAGCAACAGGGCCGCCCTTCAGGCTGTACCTGGGGAGGGGGCCATTGCAGGGGTCCGGGTGGGAGGGAGTGGTGCCGTGGGCGGGGGTGGGGACAGGCTGGAGGCCAGCGATTGAGGAAGGAAACGGATTTATTCAACACCAGCAGGCCAGAGCACGCAGAGGATGTAAGCTGTAACTCTGCACAGACACGGAGGACCAAGGTCACTTCAGGCACGTGGGGCGCGAGGCACACTGACAGCTGTCCCGCCGGGGACAGGCCCTCTTGCCGAGCGGGCGGCCTGGGGCCCGGTTCCTCAGCCCGCTCCGTTCAGCCCGCGGGGGCGGAGATCGCTCACCCTAGAAAACGTCCTGCAACCCTGCCCTGGGCCTGTGAATAGACCCTGTTAGGTCTCCCGTTTCTCTTATTTCTGTGCAGAGCTTTACTCAATGGCAGGAAATTCACACTTTTCGGAAGCAGATCGCTTCTGTCCCCCTGGCGGCACATTGCGGTCACGCTGCCTCTCTAGCAAAGGGTCGGTTTTGCGCGCCGGCAGCTGCGGCCGGAGCCACGGGCTTTGTCGTTAGGAATGGGTGCTGTTTGCACGTGGCAAGCTGCTGACACCGGGGTCGGGTAGGTTTTGTTTCTGTTTGGTTAGTCGCTTCTTACGTGGGAATTGACGGGATCCCCAGGTTTTCGGGTTTCTCTTGTCGGTCGCGGTGGATAGGAATTGAGGCTGTGTGGCTCCGGGACGCTCTGGTTCCCCGGGGGGAAGCGTGGGACCGTTTCCGCTGGCGCTGGGACAGAGGGAGGGCCTGAGCGTGGGACAGAGCCTGGAAGCCCCTGAAGGGCCTGCCTCTGGATGGGGCCTCGGGCCCCTCGAGTCAGGGTTTGCGCTATTGGTTCGTCTTTGCAGATTCCTCCCAAAATACACCCACCTTCAGGCAGCCCCTACATTCTATTTAAAAACGGGAGGGTGTGGACATGGTGCCCCTTAACAATGTCAGCGTCAGAACAGGCAGAGAAAAGCCGTGGCCTGTTTCAGATGAAAGGAGAAACGACAGCAGAATGCAGCGCCCGGTCCCGGGTCCCGTACTGTCAAGGACAACACTGGGCCACATGACAAAATTTGAGTATGAGTCACGAATTATTGTACGTCTGTTACATTTCTGAGCTTGATAAGGGGGCTGCAGTGTGTGAGAGAACGTTCTTATCTCTCTCACGCACGCGCGTGCCCTGCGGCCGGCTACCTCCCCACCTCGGATGAAGAAGAGCAAACCGTGAGTAAGGCCAGCAGGTAGGGTATTAATTTTAAGTGACTGTGGGTGCAGGGCTGACGTGTGCGTTGGACTGCTTTTGTGTGTGTGCAGCCTTTCTTTGAGTGAAATTACTTACAAATAAAAAGTCAAAAAGCAAGCAACTGAACAGAAGAGGCAGTGTCTACATTATGTATCCTAGCTACATTTATAACCATGTTTGAATTCAGAAAGTATGCGTAAAAGCTCACTTATTTTTTTTAAAGAACTTTTTAAAAAAAGATTTTATTTCTTTTGAGAGAGAGGGGAAGGGAAGGAGAAAGGGAGAGAAATGTTTCTCTTGCACACCCCCCCATGGGGACCTGGCCCGCAACCCAGGCCTGTGCCCTGACTGGGAATTGAACTGGTGACCCTTGGCTTTGTAGGCCATTGCTCAATCCACTGAGCCCCACCAGCCAGGGCAAAAAGCTCACTTATCCTTAAAATGGCTCTCCTAATCGACCTTCCTTTCAGCGCTTTTTAAAATTAAACTTTTTCCATTTTGAGATCATTGTAGATTCCCATGCAGCTCTAAGAAACCATGCAGGAGACGCCCGTACGCTCGACCCCGCTTCGCCACATGGTAACATCTTGCGCAACAACAGTGTGACGCCACTTCGTCGCCCGGGGCGCCTCAGGCAGCCCTCGGGGAGTCTCACGGACCCCCGCCCCCACCCCAGCCCTTGCCCATATCTGGCCACCTGATCTCTGTTTCTGTCATTTTGTCACTTCGAGAAAGCGTTGCCTCTGTGTCACCAGGCCGTTGGCGTACCAGGGCTTCGTTGCTTTTCCAGGCCGCGCGGCGTTCCTGGGGGTGGACGTGCCGAGCCTGTCGGACCCCCGCCCGTCCCGGCTGCCGGAGGAGGTCGGGGTTGTTTCCGGTTCGGGGTCCCTATGACTAAAACTGCAGGGAAGATCCGTGTATGGTTTTCTGGTCTTGATTTAGATGTTTCTGTGACAATGTGGCTGACACAGCACACGACACTGGCTTCAGGCGCGTCGTCCCCCCCCCCGTCCTGGCGGGGCTGTGCGGCTGCGGCCACGGCCGAATTTTAGGACATTTTGTCACCCCCGAACGAAGCCACACGCCCGTTCCCTCCGCCCCGGCCGACCCCCAGTCTACTTTCTGCCTGCGACTTGCCGACCTTAGACCTTTCGTATAAATGGGTTCATGTGATCGTGGGCTTCCGGGATCGGCTTCGTTCGTGGAGAATACTGTGTAGCGTGATCAGTACTTCATTTCTGCTGCTCGTCAAAAATACAGGATGGAAACAGCCCATTCCGTGTATCCATCTCTGTTGGCGCACGTTTGGGTAGTTTCTGCTTGTAGGCCATGACAATTAACGCGGCTGCGGCTACCCACGGGGTGGGTTGCGTGTCGATTTCTCTGGAAGCGCAGTTGCGGTGTCATTCGGTAGCTGTGCCTGACTTTTCTGAGGACCTGCCGGACTGCTTTCCAGGCGGCTGCACTGTCGCAGGCTCACGAGCGACGCGTGAGGCCCCCGCTCTCTCCCCGCCTTTGCCGGTGCGTGCTGTTGTCTGTCTCCGGTCTTGGCCACTGTGGGCGGGAACCGGCATCTCCTTGTGCCTTTTGTTGGCATTGCCCCCCGACTAATGACACTGAGCTTGTTTTCATGTGCCTGCGGGCCGTTTGCATATCTTCTTTGGAGAACTGTCTAAGTAAACCCTTTGCCCAATATTTTAAAATATATTGAGTGATTTTAGAGGAAGGGAGAAAGGGAGAGAAACATAGATGTGAGAGAGAAACATGGGTCAGCTGCCTCTCACACGTACCCTAACCAGGGATTGAACCGCAACCTAGGCCTGTGCCCTGACCAGGAATCGAACCCCCAATCTCTTGGTGTATGGAATGACGCTCCCCACAACTGAGTCACACCAGCCAAGGCCCAACGTTTATTTTTTAAAATTATTTATTTAGACAGAGGGGAAGGGAGGGAGACAGAGGGGGAGAGAAACATCAACGTGTGGCTGCTTCTCGCACGCCCCCGACAGGGGACCTGGGCCGCAACCCAGGCCTGTGCCCTGACTGGGAATTGAGCCGGCGACCCTTTGGTTCGCAGGCCGGGCTCAATCCACTGAGCCACACCAGCTGGGGGCATGGCCCAATTTTTAATTGGAATATTTGTCTTTTTGTTTCTGAGTTGTAAGAGTTCTTTATATAATCTGAATACAAGCCTCTTATGAGATACATACTTTACATTTGTTTCCTCCCATATAATGAGTTGCTTTTTTACTTTCTTGATGGTAGTGATTATAACGGAAAATTTTAAGTTTTGACGTTTAGTTTATTATTTGTTGGTCACTTGTGTTTTTGCTGTGCGTACAGATTTGCGTGAACATACGTTTTCACTAATTTCACTGGGATAAATGCTTCAGGGTGCCACCGCAGGCCCCGGGCGGCTGTCTGCTGGGCTTTGTGCGGCGCCGCCCGGCTGTTCTCCGCAGCGGGAGGGTGGCCCACGCCCTCCAGCGACATCTGCGTGGTCCGGTTCGTCCACATCCTCACCAGGGCTTGGTGCTGGGGCTGTTTTGGTTTTAGTTTGTAAATGGCTATAGAGCTATCAAGCTGGTCTGCTTCACTTTGGCTAAGCTCGGGTAGTTTGTAGTTTTCAAAGCCTTGGTCTCTTTCCTCTAAGTTGTCGCATTTATGAGCCTAAAATTGTTGGTAGTCATTTCTCATTAACCTTTTCCTGTTGCAGGCTGCATGGTGGTATTACAGTTCATTCCTGATACTGGTAATTTGTATCTTGTTTTTTTATTTTTGTCAATCTTGCTAGAGGTTTATCAGTTTTGTTTTTGAATCCTCACCTGAGGATACGTTTATTGATTTGAGAGAGAGAGGAAGGGGGAGAGAGTGAGAGAGAGAAACATCGATTGGTTGCCTCTCATATGCACCGTACTGGGGTTTGAACCCACAACCTTTCGCTGTGCGGGACGACGCCTCAACCAACTGAGCCGCCCGGCCAGGGCCAGAGGTTTATCTGCCTTCCTGATTTTTTCAAAGAACCAGCGTTTTGCTTCATTGGTTTTCTCTGTTGTTTTCCTGATTTCTTGTTGATTGCTGCTCTCATCCTTGTGATATTCTGCCTTATTTTGCTATTCTATTGCTGGTTTCTTGAGGCAGGAATTTAGATTATTGACGTGAAGGCCTTTGGCTTCTCTAGTGGAAGCATTGAACACTCCCAGTGCCCCTCCCAGCATTGGCTAGACTGGCAGCTTTGCCCGAGGGCTTCCTCTGAGACTGGGGGGGGCCAGGGGAACCCCACAGAAACGCCTCCGCGGGGGGGCTGGGAGGACGGGTCTCCACTGGATGTGCGAACATGCGCCACACGGGCACCGGGGAGCCTGTAACCCTCCACGTTTCATGTTGCTGTTACTTTATTTATTTTTCTTAATCGATTTTAGAGGGGCTGGTATCGATTTGTTGTCCTGCTTATTCACACGTTCATTGGTTGATTCTTGTGTGTGCCCTGACCGGAGCGTGAACCTGCCACCGTGGCGGCCCCGGGCGACGTCCCCGCCAGCTGAGCCGCCCCGCCGGGTCCACTTTTGCCACCGCTTTAAACCCCCAATGTTCACTTTAAAAACGAATTAGAACAATACTGGGTTGTTTTTTTTTCCCCATTTCTAAACTTTACTAAAGGTTCTAGCAAAGAATTAAAATCATGCAACAGAGCATCTATTCAACAGATACGCAGAAGGTAAAACAACTCGCATGTAATAAAGAAACTAAATTTTCTGCAAAAGAAACTCTCTGCAAAGCTGTGACATCAGCCCTGGAAGAACATCACCCAGGAAGCGCCACAGAGGATGGCGGCGTGGGTGTCCGGAGCAGAAGCCGGGGGCTGGCGGCCAGGCCCACACCCGAGCCCCTTGCCCTCCGGTCCTGTGACCCGGGCACATTATTGTGACCTCTCTGTGCTCCAGTTTCCTTCCAGTGACTGAACCGTCAACGATGCCAACCTCGGCCTGTCGTGAGGAGGCAGTGAGTTAACAGGCTGGGCACGCGTGCGGGTCACGTGTGAGCTGCCGTCGTCAGCAGCAGCAGCAGAGCCTCCGATGCGCGGCAGCGGCGCTGTGTCTGCTTAGCGGCTAGTGCCGAGGTCCTGCGGTCGGCCCTCAAAGGTCCATGAAACCATCACGTGACGCGATGCACGTGAAGTCCAGGCAGCCAGCGCCGCACTACAAGGTGGATGTCTGGAAAAGGGGCCGTGAGTTAAATCCCACAGCTCCCTAACGACCACGTTCACTGGCATCTACCCCGCTATGAGATAAGTAGAGAGTATTACGGGGGGGACACAGAGACAGGGAGAGAGACAGAGACAGAGAGGGAGACGCCACTAAGAGAATAAATAGGAAGACTGAACCTTCCCACCCCACGGATGTTTCATCTGAGTGCGGAGCTAGGAGTTGGAAGTAGCCTTCCTTCTGCGAGACGGGGGCATTGGCCCATTCATTGCCTTGCGCCGCCTGTTGAGAAACCCAAAAGCTGCCGCTCAGGGCCTGGCCCACGGGGCGCCCTCACCGTTCCTCCTCGCCCCTCGGCCCTGGTCCCGGCTCCCACAGCGGCTGCCCGGCCGGGGGCCCCTCCGAGGCCGAGGTGCCCTGTCAGGTGTGTCTCCTGAGGGAGGCACGGTCCGCGCGCAGGGGCGTCCCCATCGGTCCCCCTGACGTTCGCAGAGTCGGGTCTCCCGTCCCGAAAGGTGACCTTCGGAGTAGCCGGACGTGAAGGGTCCGCCTGCCACGCGTCGGATCTGTTTCTGCTGAAGGCCTTCCTGGCTTGGGAGTGCCACTCCGTTTTGTCCAGCCCGGGCCTCTGTGGCGTCTCCGTCGCCTGGCCTGACGCTGTCCCTGTCGCCGCCGGGGCCGTCTGTGCCGGGCCGAGGGGCTCACATGGCGAACACGAACCCATTTCTGTGGACTCCTGGTCCCGTGACCAGCTTCTCAGCTCCCTCTGGTTTCCTGTGACAGGCCCCGAGCGTGTCCGAAGCCGCGGCTTTCCTTTCGTTAGTCTGATGTCACCATCGGCAGAGGGAGGGCCAGCGTCTCTGACCGCGAGCCCCGCGCGGGACACGGGCCGGTGTGGGTGTGGGCAGGAGGCAGCGAGCACTGCCGTGCCGCGGGGCCCGTGTCCAGACGGGAGGCCCTTCTCCTGGAAGGGCTGGGAACGCTCTTTGTGCGAATTTAGAGGAAGGGACAGAGGGAGGCCCTCTGCTCCTCACCTGTGCCATTTGGGCTCGTCACCCCTTGTCACATGCTAGGTTCTTTCAGTTACAACATTTCGATGCCGTGGGCTCTGTTGGGAAAGATCTAGATACCTTTGGTTAAACCTGTGTGGGCGGCATCGTGGATGGCACCCGTGACGGCCTTGGTCTGAGTCAGTGGGACCGAGGCCCTGGGTTCATCACCCTGCTGTTCCTCCCAGGTACTTTCTCCTCCTCTTTGCACTGTGGCTGGTTGGCGCTTTCTATACCTTGTCAGCGCGTTAATCATTACGCCGGTGGTAATGATTAATCCGTTTCTGTGAATTCCTGGTACCCGGTGAAGTTACAGAGGGCTTCGTAGCTTTCTTTTGTTTAATTTGCAATGTTACGTTAAATCCTAGACCAACAAATTAAGGTAAAAGCCTTCTAAATATTAAATTAAATGCCTAGAAAGTACACGGAGACACGTAAAGAAGCTGACCGGGCCGTGGGTCAGCGTGGGGGGACAAGGGAGCACTGCGCTGTTGGAGAGCCGGCTCGCCCGCCGCCGACGGGGCGCCCCTTGGACAGAAAACCCGCCTTTCGCCTTCAGTCAGTCAGCGAGGTCTCTCCGGGATTCATTTAGCCGAAGAAAACATAACTGGGTTTCTGTGTGGTGGCGTTGCCAAGCGTGTTCAGCGACGGCGTGACAGGGCTTGACAGCGCCGTACGCTGGGGTTGGTTGCAGGGAGACACGAGTGGCCGGGCGGCACCGAGTGCTCGGCGCTGCTTCTCCGGGCCCTTTGAGTGAGTACAGGTTCCGGGTGTAGAAACCCAAACCCACCGGTGTGTTCTTTGTCCTGGGATCTGGTCCCCAGCTCTGAACAGGGCCTGACAGTCGGCACAGTACCAAGCTGTTACTTGATATTTAACTTCAGGAAGTATTTACAAAGAGCCTCTGGGTGCTGGGGACCCCGCAAGTCGCAGCGGGCTGGGGACCCAGCTCTGCGGGCCTCCCCTGGTCTTCTGTTACTCCAGTCAGCCGACGAGAGCCGGCTTTCTTCGAAGCACCTCACTGCTTTCCCGTAGAACATTCCCGGGTTCTCCCTCTGCTGCCCTGAAGGTAGAGGCACGGGGCGCCTGTCCCAGCCTTTGCGCGGCAGCCCGTGCCAAGCACCCACCGCGGCCGGCCCCGGGCCCAGGCCGAGGGCACGGCCCGCTCCCGGGCAGCCCTGCTCCCGACGTGTCGGGACTCCCTACGCTGTTACGCTTAGACTTTCCCCCTTGAATGCTCTGTGGTTAGGTCCCTGCGGTCATGAGGGCTCTCTCTGCAAGCTTCCGACCGCGCTCCCACGGCAGCCCCCCCGGGCCTCTGCTCCAGAGCCCCGTCCGCTTTGGTGTCTTTGGAACGCTGACCGCGTGCCATCGGGCCAACCAGCTGCAGACGCGGAGCCCGGGAGGGCCTCGCAGACCTCCGCCCAGTTCCCGGGGCGGTCGGCGGCACGAGCCCACCTCTGCGCCCAACACGCGCCGCGGAGCGGGGTTGTCCTGGGAGTCGGGGGGCGAGCTTGGCAGAGCACCCCCGGCCCTCGGGGACACACAGCGCCCAGTGCGGAGGAGACAGCTGAGCACGCAGTTCCATCAGGACTCGCCCAGGACCTGGCCGAGGCGCGTGGGCACCGGAGGAGGGGGCGCCCAGCCCTTCTTGGCTTCACACCCATAGCCTCTCGCATCAGCCGCAGCCTCCAGAACAGGAGGCCTTCATGCCAAAGGCTGTCCCCTCCCCCACCCTGTGCTTGGGTGACGCAAGAGCAGTTGGTTCTCTTTCTCCCCTTCCTTCCTCCCCCCCTTTTTTCCTCCCCCGCTTCCTTCCTTCCTTCCTTCCTTCTTCCTTCCTTCCTTTTCCATTTCTTTTTTAAAATGTCCTGTAGTTTTTGTATACCCTGCTTCGTCGTTTTCAAGGACTATGTTGATGGATAAACGTCCACGTATTAAGACCTAAAAACAGCGATGCTGTCATTCACACTTGAGTCTGTCACTTGGAGCAGCTGACGCTGAAATTGGCTGGGCTCAGACAGGAGGCACTTAAAAGCCCTGCGGGTCTTGGGAGCGAAGGAAGGAGTGATGGGGTCGCACGAAGCGTCACACCTGTGCCAGAACCAGGGACCGATGCTGAGCCCTTTCTCAGCCCCCGCTTTGCTCCCCCCGCCCCCCACCCGAAGTCTCCACTCTGGGGAAGCTCCCTGTGCTGGAGCCCGGAGACCTATTTAAGCTGCATTTGCATTCCGGGTCCTTCTCAGCCGTTCCGTCCTGCCTCCTCGGCCAGGCCGGGAGCTGCTGAGAACAGCCCTCCTTTGTCACGCCACTTTGTCCCTCCGAAGCACGTGGGCACAGGACGCAGGCCTGGCGCCTGGGGTGCTCTCCGCGCTGTGTGGGTCTTAGACAGGCAGCTGGCGACCCCCGGGACATCTCTGCTCCCTGAGCAGCGGCAGCAGGAGTCAAAGCAGAGCCTGGGAGTCAGGATTCCCCGGAGCCGCGGGGCCGGTGGCCCCTGTGCGCCCACACCGCTGCCCCGGGGACCCGCTCAGAGGGAAGCGTCCCTTCCCTGCTGCAGCTGGAGGCATAAGGGGCCGGTGTGTTCAGCGTCCTGTGCAAAAGCCATCCCTCCGGCCAGGGTTCCAGGGCGCACTGCCCCACCCCTGCGAGGGGCTTTATCTTGTCTGGCTCTTGGCCGCTTGGCGGTGAGCCCAGGAGGCTCACAGGGAGCCTCTGGGGTCCAGAAGGGTAACATGATCAGATCTCGGAGCATTTGAACCCCCAGAGGCCGTGGCAAAGATCCTCACGTTGTCCCGTTAGTCTAAGGCCTGTCCCGCCCGCTCTGAAGCTCTGGCTGGACAAGGGGGCGTTTGCAGGGAGCGGAGGCTGCTGTCCTTGTGTGTGGTCCCTTGCCGCTCCGAGCACACGCTCAGGCGTCCAAGCAGGCGGCTGCAGCGTCCCCTCCCCTGGTCACACAGCCTCCGCTGCCCGCTTGCTGGCAGTTCCTCGGGCAAACTGCGTGGTTTGAAGGTTGGGAGCCTTGTGTTCACCATGAGAAGCGCTGTGAGCGGCGCCAATACGGCGGTGCTGGCCGCTGGGAGGGAGCTTGCTTCCGCTGTAACGCGGAAGGAAACGTGCAGGAAGATGCACCTCCACAGCCTGGTTTATGCCCTCAGGTCAGGAGAGAAGCGAGGTCTCCTCTGGCCTTTGAAAGGGGAGCGTTTCCCTGTGTTTCTCCTTGTGCGTCACTGACGCTGTGGGAACTCACCGCCGGAACGCCAGGCAGGAGATGGGGGTCTCACAGGTGCGTGTGACTCACGCCCAATTTTCGTTTCTCACGGCAGCCCGCGCGCCCCTTCTCTTTGCGCCCCAGGCCCCCGTTCACTTCCGGGGAGGCCGAACTGTCAACTGTTTCCTCGGCGCGTCCGCTGGGGCTGCCTGGGGTGGCGGCGTCAGGCGGGCTTGGCGCTCTGCGGTCGGAACGTGGCGACAGTCGCCTTGCGCGGAGTCCTGCTGCCGGGGACACGGGCTCCCCTCTGGCCACGGCAGATGGGAAACAGTTCTGGAAGCGCCATGTGAGCGTGCCCGCCGCCGTGGACGATGAGTGACTCACCGGCTCCCCAGGGGTGGACGTGGCGTGGGCGCAGACGTGGAGGGTGCCGGCGAGGTCTGGGCCAGGCCACAGCCAGTGCCACTGGTGGCCATGGGGACGATAGGGAGACCGGGTGGGACACAGGTCACCCAGGCCATGTGTGCAGAGGGGACAGGGCATGGTCTGGAGGTCACGGGAAGCGGTTTTGATGTTTGGGCAAGAAGGTTGACCGGCCAACTTGGGACCAGGTGCTGTTGGACTTCGCGCCCACTGAGCCTGTTTGCTCAGCCACCCACATGAAGGGCCGTGGGGCAGGCGGCCCACGCGGCAGATGCTGGTTTTCCAGACGCTCATCGCAGAGCCCGAGGCCCGAGTGCCAGCGGGTCTGGTTTCCCGGTGGCCTCTCTGTGGGCGAGCAGGCGGCCACATTCCCCATGTCCTCGCACCCCCCGACCCCCCCGCTGTCTCCGTGTGTCCCAGCTTTCCCTTCGTGTGAGGACACCAGCCCTATTGGATCCGGGCCCACTCGTTGAGCGCAGTCGCCTCCTCGTTGTCCCCAGGTGCGGCCACACTCCGAGGGGTGGGGCGGGACCGCAGCCCACAGGTCGGGGGGGCCCCGCGCCGCTGGTCACACTCCCCACGGGGCGCACGCTCTTTGGCTTGCAAGGTGACCTCAGCCAGCTCGTCGGGCTCGCCTATTCAGATGGAAAACGACAGTGTGCTTGTCGTAGCCCAGTCGTTTCTTAGGGATTCCTACAGGGGTCACCGCAAGTGTACCGGGAGGACGCGTGACATTGTCTCCAGCACATGTGCTGACTGCTTGTGCCTCTTGCTGTCCCCATGCCCCCAGCCTTGAGCCACACGGCCTGCTGGTTCCTAGAAGGCGCCGACCACGTGCCTCCATCCAGGGGCCTTCACCTTTGCTGCCCGGTTTGCTGGAGCATCCGCCGCGGACAGCGGCACCGCTCTGGCCTGCTGTGGCGAGCGGAGTCCCTTTTCTGTCCCCGCTCCTGCGTCACCATGTGCCCTCCCGACAGGCCCCACGCGTCTCTGTTTGCCTGCTCCCCGTCCATGTCCCGGCCAGAGGGGTGTCCCCCGCTGTCTTCTACACCTCAAATACACCGGATTGAGCTCAGCGAGCAGCGTGCCCCAATAACAAATGGCCGATTCCCGCCTGGCCAGCGATGGCGCCTTAAACATTGGTGTTTAAAAGTGTTCATTTTCTTGGTGTGCCTGTCAAGGCTCAAGCTGCGGCAAGACAGTCCGCAGTGTTACTTTCTAGATCATGACGTCATGATATCCTTGGGGATGGATGATGTTTTCATTTACGGAGAACCGCCGTTCCTCCGTGTCGGTTTCACCGGCGCCTCCTCTCTCCTCCCAGGGGGCCGGCACCGCGCCGTGACCGGGCACCGTGGAACCAGGATGGTGGACACGGAGAGCCCCATCTGCCCCCTCTTCCCGCTCGAGGCCGACGACCTGGGAAGCCCGTTGTCCGAAGAATTCCTGCAGGAAATGGGGAACATCCAAGAAATTTCTCCGTCCCTAGGCGAGGACAGCTCCGGAAGCTTCAGTTTCACAGAATACCAGCACTTGGGCAGTGGTGCCGGGTCCGATGGCTCCGTCGTCACTGGTAAGTGTGCCCCTTTCTGGAGCGCTTTCCTCGGGGACGCCTCCTCTCCCTCGAGGCCGGGTCCGCGGGCCCCCAATGGCTTCGTAACGGGACCCGCGGTCGGGGAGCCGGAGTCCTCCCCCTGTAATCTCCTTCTCTGAAGACGTGTGGACACCCTGGGTCCTTTTCATTTCCGCAGTAATTTTAGAATTACTATGTCAATGGATACCAAAGAGGCCTGCTAAGGTTTTGATTGGGGCTGTGCTGGATCTATCGATCGATGCGGGGAGATCTGACATCTTAACGATAGGGAGTCTTCTGAGCCACACACTTCTTTCTCCATGGCGTCTAGCTCTTTAATTTCTCTCAGCAGCGTTTTCTAGTTTTTGGTGCCCAGGGTTTTCACATGTTTTGTCAGGTTTATTGCTGTTTCATGTTTTTTGCTGCTACTGTAAATGATACTTTTCAAATTTCAATTTCTGATCATTTGTTGCTATTCATAAAAATGTAACTGCCTTAGGACTATTGGTCTTGTGTGCTGCATCCTTGTTAAGCTGATCAGTTATAGTCGTCTTGCACAGGTTCTTTAGTGTTTTCTACACAGATCATTATGTCACCTGTACGTAAAGACAGCTGTACTTTCTTTTCACACTGGATGCCTTGTATTTCCTTTTCTTGCCTTATCACGCTGGTTAGAACCTCCAGTACAACGTCGAATAGATGTGAAACATCCTCGCCTTGTTCCTGATCTTAGAGGGAGAGCATTCAGTCTTTCGCTATGAGGTGCAATGTTAAGAGTTTTTTATAGGTGCTCTTTATCCAGTTGAGGAAGTTTCCTTCTAATTCTAGTTTCCAGTGAATTATCAAGAATTGATGTTGGAGTTTGTTCCATACTTTTCCTGCATCTAGTAAGGTAATCAATTTTTTTTTTTAGTTTGTTATGGTGAATTACTATGTTATTTATCACTTCAGGTTTACCAATCTTTCCAGCCTAATTTGTGTTTCATTTTGGATAGTTTAGTTTGCTGTCTTTGAGTTTACTGATTCCTCTTCTGCAACTTCTAATCTGCTCCTAATACCATTCAATATATTTCTCGTATCAGATATTATCATTCCCATCACTGGACGCCTGATTTGGTTTTTTCATCCCTTCTCTCTACCTAACATGTTCAGTCTTCCGTCCAGCTTCTTGGACGTTTATAATGCAGTCACAATAACTTAAAAAATCCCTTGTCTACAAAATTTATCATTTTTATCATTTCTGCATCAGTTTCAGCTCGTTGATTTTTCTCCTTATGGTGTATCCTATTTGCTGCTTCCTTGTGTGTTTCGTAATTTTCTTGTTGGATGCCATTCACTGGGAGCTGCGTGGGTGGCCGACATTTTTGTTTTCCTCTGCATATTCTTGAGCTTTGTTCCTGGATGCTGTTCAGTTACTTGAAGAATGTTGTGTCTTTCAGGTCGCGTCTTTAAGCTTTGTGTTGATTCGAGGGGTGATTTTGTCCAGTGCTGAGTCCAAGCCCTTTGCAGTACTTTACCAAACTTCAGTTTCCTTATCTATTAAATAAGTGATTTAAATGAAATCAGAATTGACTGTATTCTGAGAACATTAACAGTTCTTGGATGGGAGGGAAAGGAATTTCTCCGTGGTCAAATAATGTAGGAAACACTGGGTTAAAGGAATTTAAGTCGGTTTCTTTGTGCAGGACTTTTCAGAGATTTTAAAATATGTTAATGTGCATGCTATTGGATAAATTACCAAGGAGGAATAGAAGCAACATTCCCCAAATTGATCTGAGTATAGAACCCTCTATTCCCAGAGCATCTGCTTGGGTCCGTGTTCTAATGAACTTTTTGGGTATAACTGAGCTGAGTCATCGGCAAGCCCAGTCAGATCTAGGATTCTGTAATTCTAAGTGCTTCCATTAAGATGAATGTAATGTAAGCGTTCCACGGTCAGTGGCGGGACCGGGACGGTGTCCGGCTCCATGCGAGTCCCGGTGTTGTCCCTTCTAGTCATTTCAGGTTGCTCCCCAGCGTCTTCCCTTCCTGGCTCTCCCTGCTGACAGAGCATAACATGGTAACTCACGTGTACACACGTCTTCAAGTTCTCTGTGTCGCTGCCTGTGTCCATGTTCAGGTAAACGCACGGTCACACCGATGTCTGCGACCAATCCAGATCCATCCCCACGTGGTCACTTGAGCCTCCTCCTCCCACTCCAGCAGCGGGACCCCCGGCTCCCACCGGCCACCATCCATTTAGCAAGTCATCCATTTCCAGCTGTGTTTGGAGCAGCATCGCAGCTGTTCGCCCATCCCCCGTCAGCGGCCCGACCAGCCAACGTGCAGCGCCTGCGTCCGTCCCTTTGCCTCGATCCCCAGACGCCACACGTGGCCAAGGTTCCGCGGGTCGGCGCTGAGCTTGTCCCGTGCTTTTGTCAGGCAGCTGGATCCCTCTGTGGCCTCCTGCCCTCCGCCCTGGGCTCTCCAGGCCTCCGGGATTCCTTTTGTTGTATTTGCAACAGGAAGTTTCAGTCTGCGCTGTAAAGCCCTGTGGATTTTGACATGTTCGTAGTATCATGTGTCCACTGTTGCATTTTTGTATGAACTTTCACGACCTCCCAAAAAACCCCCTGAGCTTCCAGTCTTCAGCCCTGCCGGTCCCCGCAGCCGAGCAAGCGCCCTTCCGACCGTCTCTTGGGCCTGCCTTCCCCAGGACCTCAGGCATCCAGAGTCACGGAGGACACCGTGCAGACTGGCCTTTTGTTTATCCATTCGCCTCCTGAAGGGCATCTTGGCTGCTTCTGGATTTGGCAATTAGGAATAAAACTGCTATAAACATTCATGTTTGGTTTTTGTATGGTCTTAAGTTTTCAAATCACTCGGGCAAATATCTGGGAATGTAATTCCCATGAGACTTTTGCTTCTAAGAAACTGCCAAACTGTCCTCCAGGGCGGCCGCACCTCTGTGCCTTCCCGCCAGCAGCAAACGAGAGTCCTGGTGCTCTGCGTCCTTGGCAGCCGTGGGTGTGGCCGGTGGCCACCCCCACAGGTGTATAGTGACGTCTGACTCCATTCACAGTTTTCCTAAGGATCTGTTTCTACACCGATGTGCAATCTGTACATCTTCTTTAGTGAGACGTCTATTCAGATTTTTTGCCAATTTTTTTAGTTGTTGTTTATTGTTAAGGTTTGTCGTCTCTCTATATCTGGGTGACACATCTTTTATCAGATCCATGTGTTTTGCAGAGATGTTCTTCCAGTCAGTGGCTTGTCTTTTTATTTTCCTAACAGAGTCTTTTGCAGAACAGAAGTTTCCATTGTAAGGAAGGCCAGCTTATTTCTTTTTCTTTCACGGGTTACACCCTTGGTGCGTGACACGGGTTGTTGTGCCGCGTTCTGGTGCGAGTTACCGCGCTAACGAGCGCCGATGAGCCAGGTGGACACAGACGCGGTAGCAGGTCCTGTAGGACGTGTCCAGGGCAGGGGCGTGGGGGCCACGGCGGGAGGGAGCTGTGAGACCCCAGGGGCCGTTCCGCCGGCACAGGCGGTTCCGAGACACGGGGACTGCAGCTGCGCGCCCCGCCCACCGTGGGTGCCTCTCACTCCACATCTTGCGCAGCGCACCCCATAACCCTGATGTAGAAGTAGACTCGGGGAGCTTTGGAAATTCATCCATCTTTCCCATCTGTCCTCAGACACCCTGTCACCGGCTTCGAGTCCCTCGTCGGTCACTTTTCCTGTGGTCCCTGGCAGTGCCGATGAGTCTGCCAGCACAGCCCTGAACATTGAATGCAGGATCTGTGGGGACAAAGCCTCAGGCTACCATTACGGGGTTCACGCGTGTGAAGGCTGCAAGGTAGGCTGGGCCCTGGTGCGGGGGGCAGGTGACCCACCTCAGCGGTGACCGGTATGCGTGTCTTACACGCCAATGTTTGTCATTACAAATCGGATCTGCAGAGAGCCATAGATATGAAACTGACCCAAGTCACCGATTAATTTCTCTCTTCAGAGAGCCACAGGCAGACTGCTGGCTGCGCTTTGCGAAACCTTGGAGAAGTGTGTTCTTTAAAGGCAAACCAACCACGTGAAGGGTGACCCCCTCATTTGAATACGAGGTCAGGGAGCCTTGGCCCGTCTCTCTCACCCTCACCAGAACGTCGGGGAGGGCAGTGGCTCTCCGGGCCATCAGACACGTGCAGCGTCTTGCTCAGTGTCCCATAGCACATGCCGGGTGACAACCTGACCCGGTGCCGTCCCCTCCCCAGCTGCTCCTGACCCCCCGGCGTTCCTTCCTGCACGTCGGGGGTCTCTCCACCCCAACCACGGGCCCCCTGGCTCCTGCCCTCATTCCATGCCGGCTCGGCCAGGCCGCGGCCCCCGTGACCCCGGGCCAGCGGGGCAGGGGTCAGGCCCTGTCTCCGGGACTCTGCCCCCGGGTCATGGGCCCTTCCGTGACTTGGCGGCACGACGGTCAGAAGGACCGCACCCTGACGCCCCGCAGCTCACGCGGCATCGCAAGTTTCTGGAATGATATGCATGTGTCAGACTTGGCCTCCCGGGCACATGGAGCCCAGGGGAGCTAGTCACCTGCATGTCGGCCACCAGAAGTCCCCTTTCCTTGCACACACTGGACATGTTTACCAACTTCTGGAAAATGGCACCGCCTCTAATTGTACGCCACGCACTCTGCAGCCGTGAAACAGTGACATTCTGCCTCAAGCCGGCCGGGTCCACAGGTGGGACGGGCCGCGTGAGCCAGCGCAGTGCACAGTGGGGTGGGCCGCGTGAGCCAGGCTGTCTCTGCCTTCTGCATTCTGATTTTTAAAATCCTGTCTTCTCCGCCTTCCTCATGATTTCATATGTCCTTCAGCCCTTCTACTCTACAATCCTAGAGAACCAGTCAAATTAAGATAGGACCCTTGCGCTGACATTCGCCAAGAAACTGGGGCCTCCTCCCCATGGCCCCGGCTGGTGCGGCTCAGGGGACTGAGCGCCGGCCTGTGAACTGAAGGGTCGCTGGTTCAGTTCCGTTCAGGGCGCGGGCCTGGGTTCCAGGCCAGGTTCCCATCTGGGCAGGCGAGCTAGGCAACCAGTGGATTCTCACACACTGATGTTTGATATTTCTCTCCCTCTCTTTTTCCCTCCCCTCCCCAAAGTAAATACATAAAATATTTTTTAAAAAAAAGAAAAAGAAAAAATGTGGAAGAATGATGGAAAGCAAAGAAAAAAAACAGATGCAAATGTGCACTACCTCACAACTTTCCTTACCACATACTTTTTCAAGAGCTACTTGCAAAGTGGCTTTTACTGCATGATTAAGTTACTTTTGTTCAGAGTTTTAAAATAACATTTTATTTTTAAGTATAAATAATATTTTACTGGATAAAGTTGAAGGTGTTCTTTTAAAACAAGAGAATTATTTACATAAAGCCGGCTTTTATTATATTTTAAAATAATTTTTGTCTGCTAGGAAGTTAACATTCTCTCATAAAAATTCCTAGAAAGTTTTGAGTCGTACATACAGCTATGTCCTAAGAGAGGAAAAAGTTAAACTTGTGTAAGTTTTAACAGGTCTACTAACTCTTTGGGAGATTATAATTGTACCTTTCCAAGCCACGCAAGGACATTTTGAAATTATTTTGAATTTTGCCTCGTTTTCTTGGTCTTCATTTTACATGCAATGAAATGTAAAATTGTCAGTGCGTCCCAACTGGGTCAGACTCTTCAGAGCAATTTCCCTAAGTTTAGTTCATTTTAAAAGAGGGAATAAGTGAGCGACAGGAGGTGCGGCCAGAGGGGCGACCCCGGTTTCACGAGCCGCGCACTCCCCTCGCAGGGCTTCTTCCGGCGGACGATCCGGCTGAAGCTGGTCTATGACAAATGCGAGCGGAGCTGCAAGATTCAGAAGAAGAACCGGAACAAGTGCCAATACTGTCGTTTTCACAAGTGCCTTTCGGTCGGGATGTCCCATAATGGTAGGTAAGGTTGTCTGCCGCATTTTCCCCGCCCACGCCTCCGTTTGCCGTCCCGACTCGGTTGGGCGGACTGTGCCTGGAATGAACCTGCCGCGGTGGTTAGTGCCCAGATGACGCTGGAAGCGCCGTGACCTAGGAAAATAAAAGTCTCAAACAGCCCGATTCAGCCCAGCGCTTGGAATGACTGTTAGAAACGTCACATGGTAGGACTTTGATTACAGGGCTTTGGAACCCATGGTATGTCCCTGGGATGTCATAATGCTCCTGTCATTCAGGGGAAGCAGGGGCCATCTGGGCATCTTATCCTGTTGTGAATTTAATTTTAATTCAAGTACCCGCTCATTTTAGAACATGCCACTTACCATGTGAGATAAATGTAAAATGACGAGTTCATGGAAGCTGCAGGTCTACCTTCTGGAAAAAGAAAGCGGTGTGGCGGGAGCTCCGCCGGGCCCACACCTCAGCCGGGAGGACTGGTGGGGCCGCCGCACCGGCGCCCATAGGCGGCCTCAGGCCACACCTCCTAACGAAACAATTGATGATGTCTCCTTTTACTTTACCTTTAAAAACGGTCCAGGATCAGTGGAGTTGGAGTTTTATTTTCCTCTCTGCAAAGTAGAGAGCTGAATGGTTCTGAGGGGCGGTTGGGCCCTGCCTGGCTCCTTCCACCGGGGGTTTATTCCCATGCACCTTTCCAGGCTGTGGTTTGGCGTCGCTCACTTCTTTGTGTTCCCTGTTATCCGTTTTTCCCCCTCCCCCAGCAATTCGTTTTGGAAGAATGCCAAGATCTGAAAAAGCAAAATTGAAGGCAGAGATCCTTACGTGTGAACATGACATAGAAGACTCCGAAACCGCAGACCTCAAATCCCTCGCCAAGAGAATCTACGAGGCCTACCTGAAGAACTTCAACATGAACAAGGTCAAGGCTCGGGTCATCCTCGCGGGGAAGGCCAGCAACAACCCGGTAGGTGTCTCCGCGGCGTGTGTTTGCCAGTCGCCGCGTTCCACTGGCAGCAGTCGGCTAGAGCATAGAGGAGGGCTGAGAAAACAGGTATTGAACGCTGGGAAAATAGTCTTTATCCCCAAGGCAACTGAGAGACAGTGGAATGGAAACGTTCATTCAGAGACCTAAAGTGTAGCTTAACAACTCCTGTCTTCTGGGTTTGACCTACCCCAAGGCCCCTAGTGACCGAGTTATGACAATGACTGTAATTAACACACACACACACACACACACACACACACACTCTCTCTCTCTCTCTCTCTCTCTCTCTCTCTCTCTCTCTCTCTCTCGATAATAGCCACCAGATTTTAGGGCCATGTCTGAGGTGCTTTTTTTTAAAAAAAGAAAATCCCCACTTTAACACCAGAAAATGAAACCATTCACTTCCCACTCAGAATGTCTGCTTCCATCCTTTTTCCCCAAACTGCCCCAACTCTGCAACCTCCCCCAACGCACGCACCTTCCTTTTCCTCGGTGAGAACGCAGTGATGTCCTAGGGCTTAGAAAGGGTGATTTGTTCACAGAAACGTAGCTATCTTTTTGGAAAGTTCTGGACCTTTCCAGGAGTGTCTGCGCATGCCCCTTGGGAACCCCCACATGCACTTTGTCACCTGCCCAGCCTAGCGTCACCCCTCCCTCACCCCCTCAGTGACCAAGCCTGTCTCCCTCGGAGCTGCCCCCACAGAGGGGCGGCTGCGGCCGGCGGACACCGACGCTTGGCGCTTTCCTCCGCGCCTGGCGGAGCTGGTTTCATTTGTACTGATGAGCAGCTCACAGTGACCCTTCTTGGGAATTACAAGCTGGAATTTTTAGTCACAGGAAAATAAAGTATTTCACAAGCTCCTTACTTTGATGAACAAACCAAACCTGTTTTTTACTGAGTCCTTTAATTCTTCAGTGAATTCCCCAATTACATAGGCTGAGACGATTTTAGGAGGGTTTGACTGAACTCTGTTGAACTAGAGAACACACCCCCACGTAGGGGGGGTGGCGCCCCAGAGGCTCCCACGACGGATCCTGCTCTTTGGGTTTCTACCCTGGAAGCGGTTAGCGCGTGTAGCCCAGGGTTAGTCGCCCAGGTCTGATTTCCCTCGGGCCTGTGTGGATCTTTCGGAGGTCTTCTCTTTCTCCCTTGGATTTTCAGAATGTACAGCAAATTAGAAGTCATCTTTACTCTTAAGCCAACACTCTCGTTGACTGTCTCTCCGGTTGCCGTGGAGTGTCCTTGGGGACGGCCCACTGAGATCCTCATGTCTGAGGAGGCTCGGTCAGAGCCAGTGACACCTGGGCAGCTGGTTCCTCTCCGGGAAGAATCTGCCTTTTGGTCTTAAGGGGGTAGAGAGCAGACCCGTAGTCTAGGGTGGGGCCGCACTGTATCAGAAAGAGAGAATTCGGTGTCCCTTTAGGGGTTAGGGCCAGAGCCTGCTCCCGCCCCACGCATCCGGCTGAGTCGCCCGCTGCCTGTGGCCGCACGGTTTGCTCCGAGCCAGGCTTGCATCCCACCCCCTGTCCTCCCTGCGCTGGGGGCCTGGCCGCCCTCCTGCCCCCACCACTGGGAGCTCCAGGCGTTCTCCCTGTGCCAGCCACGGGTGGGACGCCACCGCCACTGCTGGAGGCCCCGCCCAGAGCCCCGAGGGCCCGCAGTGGCGTGGCGTCGGAGACCACAGCCCGCGACTTCTGCGTGGTTCAGAAAGCAGTTCAGCCTGTTGGTGGGAAATCTGTTGGAGGGGCAGAGCTTGTCCTGACCTGGTCACCTTGGCCTGTGCTCAGGGACCCTGTGCTCAGTACTTGGCACAGAAGCCTGGCCCGGGAGGCCGGGGCGGCCCTCGCAGAAGCTCTGGCCCTGGAGTGGGTCAGGGGAGAGGTGCTGGTTTCTCGGATGCCGGCCCCTGCAGCTTGGCCGTTTGGAAAGCACGTGGCTGATGGTAACGGAGCCGCAGGGGCGCCAGCCCACCCGGCGGGTGTTGTTGTCCAGTGAGGGATCATGATTTTGTCTGGGGGGGCACAACTTGAACTTGGGGGGCAGGCTCGCCCCCGGGGCAAGATGGGGCTGCTTGGCCAGCAGGCAGGGCTGGCTTCCTCCCCGCCGGCCCAGGAGACGCTTCCTGCAGGGCCTACCAGGCAAGGGCCTGGCGTCACCCAGACTTGGCCCTCGGTGCGGGGCAGACTCTTCATTTGAAAGCAGGCCCCGGTCTGCCGGCCGTGGATCCTTGCGCTAGGCCACCGCTTTGTTCTGTGGAAACCACTTCCGCGGCCTGTGGAGCGGCCAAAGCAGAGACCTGAGGTTGACTCGGAACTGCTAGGGTGCTGGGTGGACCTGGAGGGTCTGGGGTCTCAGGGGAGGAGGGGGGCTGCTGGGAAGCCGTATAGGTGCAGTGGTCACCCTGGGGAACGGGCTTTGGGGGCGGGGGATGGCGGGCCCGATGGCCGACATCTGTCTCCGCCCGGACGCAGGCCGGTGGGAGCTGCTGAGGCTTCAGCACGGCGCTAGGAATGTCGCGTTTGGGAGGACGCAGTATGCAGATGGGACCGAGCGGCTCTGAAGTCAGTGCCTTTCTTGTGATGGGCACGCACACACACTCACACTCACGCACGTTTGTGCACGCACACCCTCCTGACTTTCATACACCCTCAAACATACACACTCGTGCACTCTTATACACGCACGCTCATACCCATGTACACACTCATGAACTCCCGTGCACACACACGCTCACACATGCACACTCACGAACTCTCACACATGCAAACACTCATGAACGCCCCCACACTCACGCGTGCACACCCACACGGTCACATGCAGGCTTGCACGTGCACACTCACTCAGTCTTAGCTGCCCCTGGTTTAAGAAGCCAGCTCATCTCTGAAAAATAGGTGAGGATACTCGTTAAAAAAGCAACAGCTCTTTAGCATGCTCTACTCAGACTTTAGCACTGTTCACACTTCAGCACGTCAAGTATAAGGTGACAGCCAAGAGGTCCTGCTACCTCTTAAATCTAACGAACGTAGCAGGACTTTACTCAGGGCAGATGAAAGGGACAGCGCATGTTTATTTCAAGGATCCTGTGTTACTCACCATTGCTGGGAACTGGCCTCAGAGTCTTTGAATATCTTCAGTTACGGAAAATGTTTATCTTCTGCGAAGGTCATTGAGTTTTAGACAAAACCAGGAGCCGTCCGCAGCCAGCCTGGTATGCAGACGGAGTTACAGAGTCAAGTGTCTTGTCTGAAAAAAAAAACGAAGCAAGGAGACTGACTTGTGACACGTGGCTGAGGACAGGTTTTAAACCCGGCGGCGGCGGCAGCGGCGGCGGCCAGCAGCGCCTCGGTGTCCCAGGGGCTCTGGGGCGGGCGGCCTGGCCCCTGCGCAGCTTCCTGCCCGCGTCCCGCTGAAGTGCTATGCGTGTTTCTCAAGTTGATTGGAAAACAGACGCCATATTTCATACTGTTTCTAGAAATACGTAGTCAGACCTAACCAAATGCTCATTAAATCATTTCATCCAAAGCAATTCTACCACTAATTCACAAATTTTTCCTCAAAGACGGTGCTGCCTAACTTTTCATAGAAAATGCTGTTTAAATGTATTTTGGAGGTGGGTTCTTGTAAGTAATGTCGTCACACGTAGGCCAGCACCGGGTGTGAGCAGCCGTGGGGATGCATCAGCCGGGGCCCGCTGGCCTTGCAAGGCGTGGGGTGCTTTCGGGGGAAGCCGGGCGCCTTCGGCCTGGGGCTGTTACAGTCCTCGGAACGAGCTCTCTCTATTCATTGGGAATTACCACCTGCATCGCCAGATGGATTCCTATTCACACCTGAGTATCGAAGGCACGTTCCAAAGCCAAATTCAGGGCCCGGCAGAGGACAGAAGGCAGGCGTGCTCCACTGTGCTTGCTGGGGTGCACGAATGTCTCGCACAAGATGGACAGCAGTTTGAACATGTCACCTAAGATGTCGTATGTTGTGCTTGAGTGTCATAGTGTCATGTTAGAGGATGACATGCTTGTGGTTTTGTCATAAGAGAGGGGCGCTATGTGTGCCGGCCCCTGTTAGCCGTGCAGACTTCGTACGTGGTCTTACCGAGAGCGTTCGTGGTCAGGGCCGGCGGAGTTTCCGCAGCCGCAGCCGCCCCCGCTTGGCTGGACACCGGCTTCTCCGTGTTCCCGCTTGTTTTGAATTCAACTGGTTTCCAAATCAGCCAGTTAATGAGGCCTGCCTCCTAAAACTCAAGTGATGATGTTATAAAAATGAAATATTTTCACCACTGAAGCTCCCCACTTTATGGGAGTATGTTTCCCATAAAACTTGTCAGGGGCCAGCCTCACAGGCGTGCGTCCTGTTTGGGAGGCCCAGGCTGGGGTGGACGCTGAGCTCTTGCCGTCTGGAGAGTCTTAATCATTTTTGAACAAAGGGCCCCCGTTTTCATTTTGCGCCGGACCCCAGGCTAAGCCTGTGAGGCGCTACCGGAGCGCCGTGCCCTCAGGCGCTTTGGGGACCTGCCCTGCTTGGTGCCGAAGGCCCCTGCCCACCCACACCTCAGGCCCTGGGAGGCCCCGCTTCCTGGAACTCACTGGTTCTTGAACGTTTTTGACCACAGAACTCCTTTTTTGTAAAAAACATACTCCCCCCTACCCCCACTGAGTACACTTGAAAAAGCCAGTGATTTGAATAAAGTCAGGGTGGCTTCCTGGTCTGGGTTTTGAAATTGAGGGTCATGGCCATCTGTCCTTTACAAACACGTCTCTCGTCCATCCTGGGCTGGGTAACTCCACCAGCTCCCTGTGTGGCGGAACTGCCCCCAGACTTGCCCCAAACAAGACTGTTTCTACGTCTTTGGGGAGAGGCACTTTGGGGCTCCCTCCGTCACACTTGAGATACTGAGGAATTTGGCTTCCGGTTTTGTTTCAGGATGTTTGCACCCATTCGTAGTAATTTGAAAAACCTCCCCCTGCTCAGATGTGGAATCAGGTTATTTTTTCCCCCAATACTGTGTTGCACATTCTCATTCAGTTTAAACATTTCGAAGGTGGCCCTGTCGGACTGTGCTGCACACCTGCCGCCGCTGGGCGGCCCGGGACGGCCCACAGGTGCCTGCAGGTGGGCGTTGGCTGATGCTTTCATGAGCCCAGAAGTAGGGACACACCCTGCGTTGTGGCCACGTGCCCTGCCTGCTGGCAGTGACCCTTACCACCATGGCTGCCCTCAGGCCCTGTCGGCGTCTGGCAGCAATGGTGCTTCAGCCCCCTCGTCCCCGCCCTGCGCGCACCCGGCGCCAGTTCCCGCCAGTGGTGCCTTCGTGCCGTTCCCCCCGAGCCCCCTAGGGGAGGTGTGCTCTTCTGGGCGCACTGGCCTCAAATCATGTGGCCAACCATCTCCTCTTTCCTCCGCTCAGTCTTTATAAAACGCAGGACCGACGGGTTTCAGAGCAAATGGCACGGGCACATGGATCTTGCTGCTGCGGGGCTTGTTCCTTGTTCTGGAACGGGGAGCTCTGACACAAAGGTTTCAGCCTTGTGCGCGGGGAAACCACATCTTCCGATGCCCTCGCCGGCGATCCCCGGAGAGCAAGGCTTTAACAGCACCCCTTTGCTTGTTTCTACACAAATGCCGGCTTCCCAGGGCGTGTCTGTCCACAGGCCGGGTCTACTCTTTCACAGTCGGTGTTAGATAAAGACAGTCCTCTGCATCAAGTTCACAAAATGGTGACATTAAGAACGATTATAATTAAGGCTACTGCAGGAGTAGTTAGGAGTTCGGAGAATATTATAAAATAGTAACAGTGCTTGGCTAGTACTCTCTTCTTAGCGGTGTTGCCAGAAGTCAGCACTTCACCCCGCACCAGGGAGGCCCGCCCCCAGGGTCGGGTGGAGGCTGTTAGTATCGGGCCCATTCCTGTTGCTGGCTCTCCGCCGAGGCCTCCTGTCCCCACTGACGTGGAGGTTCTTCAGGACGAGGACTGTGTCGTCCGCACGTCAGTTCTCCCCAGGTGACTTGGAGACAGTGGCTGCTCGCTGGTTCACTGACTGTCAGGGGGACAGTGTGCCACCGGTGACTGGGCTTACGCCAGTGCCTTCCTTTGCAGCCTTTCGTCATACATGACATGGAGACGTTGTGTATGGCTGAGAAGACGCTGGTGGCCAAGCTGGTGGCCAACGGCATCCAGAACAAGGAGGCAGAAGTCCGCATCTTCCACTGCTGCCAGTGCACGTCCGTGGAGACCGTCACGGAGCTCACGGAATTCGCCAAGTCCATCCCCGGCTTCGCAAACTTGGACTTGAACGATCAGGTCACGCTGCTGAAGTACGGCGTGTACGAGGCCATATTCGCCATGCTGTCTTCTGTGATGAACAAGGACGGGATGCTGGTGGCCTACGGGAACGGCTTCATAACGCGCGAGTTCCTCAAGAGCCTCAGGAAGCCGTTCTGTGAGATCATGGAGCCCAAGTTTGACTTCGCCATGAAGTTCAACGCGCTGGAGCTGGACGACAGCGACATTTCCCTGTTCGTGGCGGCCATCATCTGCTGCGGAGGTGAGCGCTCGGGCGAGTCTGCTGGCGCCGCAGTGCGGCTTGCAGGCTCCTGCCCTGAGGCCCTGGCGGCAGTGCGTCTGGTGGGGGCGGGGCGCGGGGCGGGGCGGGGGCGGGGGGCGGGGCGGCGCGGGGCGGAAGTCCGAGCCCCTGCGTCTTCGGCATCTGGAAGCCCAGTGAGAGCGACACCAATAGTGCATCGTGTATTATTATGTGTGAATACCGATTGTACGTTATGTACGTTTCATTTATATTATAATATATAAATACCCTGTAATTATAACACAACAATTATACCAAGTAGTAAGTCAGCTGGGGTTGATAATGTCATAGAATGGCTACGTGTAATACTATGATACAGCCATGTGCCGTAGAATGGCATTTCGGTCAGCAACGTCCTGCATACACAACAGCGGTCCCCTAACGTTGCAGAGGAGCTGAAAACCTGCCGCCGCCTCGCGAGGTCGCAGCTCCACGCGGTGGGGGCGCAGCGCGCTCCTCAGGCGGCTGTGGCGGTGCCCGTGTGACAGCCCACTGAGCTGACAGTCGCGTGACGGAACGGCGTGCACGGGCGTGCACGGCGCGTCGCACGGGACGGCGGTGGAAACCACGACGCTACGGGTGCGTGTGTTCCCCACGCTCCGCGTCTTACCGGAACCGTGGAACGCACTCCTCCTAGTCACGGAGGCCGCTGCAAGCGGGAGCCGCGCCTCCCGTCTCGCGCTCGTGCGCCCCCCAGTCGCCGCCGGGCGCAGCGGGCGGGACCCCCCACGAGCGCGCGTGCGCGGTGATGGCCGCGCAGGGTGGAATCGCCTGCCCATGCGCGTCCCCGAGCGTGGCCCTGTCGTTAAGCGGCGCATGACTGTATATCATAGTCCTGTTACTGTCACGTTTTTATCAGCTGTTATCGTGTTACACTCTCCGGAGTGCCGTGCACGTGTCAGGGCGGCTGTGCTCATGGCTGCTGTGCTTACGCTCCTTCCGAATGAGAAGCGTCAGTTGCTCAACAGCAACAGCCGCAGAGTTGGCTTTGCTGACGGCGGCGGGGCCCGGGGAGGGAGGCCTGGGCTGCTCTGTGGGAAGCAGGTTCGGCGTTGCATTTCTTTAAATAGCACTGTCCCGAGTCTAAGAAGGTCGCTCCCCGTGGATCTGACCCAGCCGTGGGGGAGACGGATGGGGCACCTGTCCCCACAAACCACTGGCAGCTGTGCTGTCCCCATAGTGGACTCCTCGCAGAACTGAGGCTGCCGCCGCCGCCCAGACACCATAGGCACCGGGAGCGAGGGCGGCCTGGCCCCACAGGTCTGTCCCTGTTACCACCCAGGTGGCAGGCGGGTGGAGGGAGTCCTCGCGCTGGCAAAAAGTACAAAATGGCAACACAGCTGTGTGTGAGCTGTCCCTGTCCTTTGGGAGCTCAAGATCTGTGCTGTGGGTACAAAGCAGTTGAAGGGCTATTTATGTGTAGTGTGAACACAGTTTCATTAAAGAAATTATAATCATATGTCAGTCCGATATAGAAAAACGTCTGGTGAGACACACGCTTGTCTGTTTGATGGGGTTAAAATTATGAGGGAGGTTCATTTTATCTTTTTAAATTTCTGTTTAGGAAGTTAATAATGACAGGTGACTCTTGAACAACGTGGATTTGAACGACATGGGTCCACTTATGGTTGGATTTTTTCCAATAAGTAGCAGTTGATCTTCCACGTCCCCAGATTTTGTATCCATGGATTCAACCAACCACGGATCAGAAGCAGTAGTTTTTAAATTGTTACTGACTGTACCGGGGCGACACTCGTTAATAAAATTCTATACGTTGCAAACAGTGTTTTCCATGCAAGGCGGGGGCCCGTGGCTGAGAAGGGCCGGCTGGACGCGCTGGACGAGGCCTTGGGCACCTGTGGGTTCTGATGTCTCCCGAGGTTCCGAGCCACGCGCTGCGGAGGCCCAGGGGCTGTGGTTAAGTTTGGGGGAGTCAGAGTTAGGTCCCCCCCACATTGTTAAAGGGTCAACTGTACACTTTACAACCAGAGAGAGAGAGAGGGAGAAAGAGAAAGAAAGAGAGGAAGGAAGGAAGGAAGGAAGGAAGGAAGGAAGGAAGGAAGGAAGGAAGGAAAGAGAGAGAGAGAGAAAGAAAGAAAGGAAGAAAGGAAGAAAGAAAGAAAGAAAGAAAGAAAGAAAGAAAGAAAGAAAGAAAGAAAGAAAGAAAGAAAGAAAAGTCCACATCACAAGCAACCCTTCTGAAAGTCGCAGCAGTGAGCAGGGCTTTAAGCTGCCCAATGACTATGGGTTGCAGGGCAGAGGGAGGGTGTTTTCTATACCGAGGGTGGAACGGCTGGCGCCGCGGCCCAGCCCCCCGGGAGGTCCCCTGGGGGCACGCTGGCTGCCCCGCGCCAGCCCTCCAGCTCCAGTCTCTGCTTCCCTGCACTGGGTTCACACCAGGAGGTGCCTGTAGCAACAGTGCCTCCTCCCGCAAAGCCCAGGTCTCACACAGTCACTGTCCTGAATGATTGGTGAAAAGCTTGAGCCCGAGCATCTCGTTTTGGCTCAGGAGGAAGAATTTCCCCTCCCGTGTGATGTAAAACCAGCTATCGTCGTCCTCCTGCGAACGCGCCCTTGCCCCTCACGTTTGGGGTTTCCACCTGACTGGGGGAAGGCGGGCAGGGCCAACGGAAAGGGCCACGCTGGACGGCCTAGCCCGTGTTCAGTCGTATACGTGCGTAGATGCGAGGACTTGCCCTGTCCGCCCCTCCGGGCCGAGCGAGGCTGGAAACATCTGGTTGTCTCCCAGGCGGGCGTGCAGTCCCCCGAGCTGCAGGGGAGGAAGGCTGGGGGCGCGGGGAGGCTGCTTTCCCAGGCTGGTCCCTGCCATGATGATCGCCAGCTCAGCTTTCTCTTCTTTCCTTTGGGGCTAGATCGGCCTGGCCTGCTGAACGTCGGCCAGATTGAAAAAATGCAGGAGGGGATCGTGCATGTGCTCAAACTCCACCTGCAGAACAACCACCCAGACGACGCCTTCCTCTTCCCCAAGCTGCTGCAGAAGATGGCGGACCTCCGGCAGCTGGTGACCGAGCACGCACAGCTGGTGCAGGTCATCAAGAGGACCGAGTCGGACGCTGCACTGCATCCACTGCTGCAGGAGATCTACAGGGACATGTACTGAGTGCGTGCGGACGAATGGGGGCGTCCCCGAGGGCCTCTGGAGGTGGCAGCACTGCCGAGGAGACATGGGATCAAGGCCGCTTTGCACAGATGTCCCCGCCGAACGCCGAGAGCCTAACGTGTAGGCCCTAGGTGACCGCGACCCCATCCCACGCCACTTGCCCTTGTACCCAGCGCTTCTCAGAGCGCGCGGAGGTGGAGCTTGGGAAAGTCGAGACAGTGATGCTCAGCTGTCTGATTTGAAGCTGTCTGGTGTCAATCAATGCAGATTTCTTTAAATCACGTTCGTGGTTTACTGCCGGTACCTGGCGACCTCAGAATCGCTGTCTGTCTTCCCCAGGTACCACTGCTGACTGTTGGGCTCCTTTCTAATTTTGAAAACTAATCAGCACTTTTTAACTTTTGTAATCCTCTATATCTAGATGTAACCAAAGGTTAGGCCTTTTAAAAGCGGCGATGTATTTATTCAGAAGACTTCGATTCTGTTTCCTGAATTCGAAGAGGCAACATGCAGTTTTTTTAATCATAGATGTTAGAGTTTCAGAGAGTCATTCGATAAGCTGTGGAAACACAGCCGTGGTGCTGTGTTGGGTCCCTGGGCGCACAGCCGTGGAGGGCCTGTCCCCAGGCTCCTGCAGAAGGTCCCGGGAAACCGTGCCTCGGCCACCCCCACATGGCTCATGGCCCCAGTAAAGCTGGCGTCGGTGGGCGGGGTGGTGACGAACTCACAAGTACCTCAGCATCCAGCCCTCCCCCCGCGTCCTCTCAAAGCCGGGCCTTTGGGGGCCGTGGCTTTCAGCGCAGCCTGGCAGATTACCGGCGAGCGTCCCTCTGCGTCCCGTGTGTCGAGGCAGCTCCTTGGTCTCCCCCCCCACCGCCCCCCCGCCCCGTTGCCTTTTAAAATACGCAGCTTTACTTCTGTAGCTCTTGGCGGTGGTAGCTGTTGCCTGGGGTGGAGAGGACAAGGGGAATGTAACTTCCTGGTCGGGGGTGGGGTGGGGTCACCTGGGGCGGGGTGGGGCGTGGGGGAGCCGGGCTCGCGGTCCCGTGAAAGGCCGCAGCGCCTGGTCTCAGGACCCACGGCTGGTGGTTTGTGCCGAGGTGGAGAGTTAAGTGTCCTTCTCCAGCCGTGGGTGTACGGTGGTGTTTCCAACCCCTAAAACGTTTGTTTCAGCCTTAAAAGATCAGCCTCAGCCTCGGGCCGTCCATGACGGCCTGTGGATTGTGTCTAGCAGGTGTGGACCCTGGGCCCGCTCTCCTTCCATAACCGCAGCGGACCCACTGCCCCCTCGGCCCTTCAGCAGCCCGCCCGCCAGTCTGTGCGGATGTGCTGGGGCCCAGGACCCCACGCCCACAGCGCTGCGGCCTGGTCGCGTCCTTGGCACCCCTCCCCCGCTGCCCTGACCAAACCTGGCTCCTTAAGGTCATTGTCATTTATTGTCAAAGAAGCATTAGGGTGGATATTGGTCAAGTTCCCAAGACTGGCATTAGGAAAATGCAACAGTAGAAAAGCCAATCAAACTGTGAGACTTCAACTCGGAAAAAGCAGAAGTTGCAATTAGGACGTCCTTTTAAAAATTCCACAGGCAGCTGTTCTGTGTTTTTTTTAAAGATCCAATCAAAGGACCTGCTGGAAGCCAATAAAAGCAGTTCCACGTGTGGATGACACTAACCTAACAGTCAGCCAGGGTCAGGCAGGAGCGAGCCCCGCGGCCTAGGGCGCAGCCCCGCGGCGCGCTGTCCTGGGACGAGTCCCCTGTGCCGACAAGGCGGCGGGCGTTCGGGGGGGGGGCGCTGTCCGAGGCCGCGGGCTTGGGGGTTGCGTTCCAGTGCCGCCCCTGTGTTGCCCCGCTGACCGCGGGCCTCAGAAAGCGAGCCTCGAGACCAGGCTTTCAGACAAGACGTTCATCCTGCTTAGAGTTTGACAAAACCCCTGTAAAGCAACCCCGCATCTTGCACTTTCCGCAGCATCCGTCAAGCTGCCAGAAGGCATGGCGTGTGCATCTGCAGTGTTACTGAGCGCTGGTTCTCTCGGGACCTGGCTCCCGGACCAGCCACGTCCCTGGCAAAGCCACAGGGGTGGCCACAAGGGATCTCGGCTTGAAAGTCACTTGACATGATTCCCTTTTATTAACAGGAAGAAAAAAATCATATATTCCCGTTCATTTTAAACAACAGAGACAGAAACTGCCACTCAGGACATTTTGGTCAGCCAGTGAGATCCCTCAGAGCCTCCATGGTCAGGTACCAGCGAGCGAGCCCGAGCCAGGGGCACTGGAGCATTTCGGGCCGCGGCTCCGGAGCACGCGCATGCGCCCTGGGTTTCCACCAACATCGGCACCGAGTCCAGCAGCAGCGCCCCCACCCCCCCGCATGTGGGAAGCCGCCGCCTCCGGGGCGAAGGCACCTTGTGGCCCGCGCTTCCGCCAGCCTGTTTAAATCTGCCTCTTCGTGCTCTCGACTGGGAATCGCAGAGCGCCTGGCTCCTCAGGGGCCACCAAGGTGCTGAGCAGCCTTGGTGTCCCATGCTGGGAGAACACAGGGACAGCCAGGGCTCCTCAGAGATGTGCGGCCAGCCCAGGCCCGGATGCCAGCGGGTCCTCTCCACCCACCCGCCACGTCTCCCGGGCATTTCCGGTCGGGTGTCCCTCACGCGGGTTCTGCGCCTGCCCCCAGCGAGGACCGTGCTGCAGGAAGCCATTTCATGACATCCTGTGTCACCTAAAACAAGACGCTCCTGGTGCCCTGGCCACAGTGGGATTCGGAGATTGAACAGAGTATTGTCATGACGCTAGAGGGCCGTTCCTTCTTCCTGCCTTGCTCTTCGGTTTTCTGAGACCTCCTTGGAACCCTGACGAATTCAGTCCTGAGCCTCTTCCCAGGAGTGTGCGTGCACACGCGTGAACGGTAACGGGGGAGCCTGGGAGAGACACGGCGCTCGGCTCCCCAAGGGACCGCCCTGGGACCGACCCGTCCTGGGGGCTTCTTGCTTTTCATTTCCAGAGCCCGGAAGGCAGCCCCTGCCTGTCCCCGTGGGTTGCTTGCCTGGGGCCACCCTTGTAAAATGCGCACAAGGACGGCCTCGAGGACCGTGGGGGGGTCCCGGGCGAGGCTGCACCCTCAGACCCGAGCAGCAGCTCCAGGCACCGGCCGTCCTTCGTTCGTGTGTGATAAGTAAGCTACCCGTCCCGCCACTGGCGTCTCCCTAGATCTGCAGCACTTCAGCTACCTCAACCGATCCGGCAAAAGGCACTGGTCAAATGAAGGTGCTCGAACCACTGCAGCCTTAACGTCTATGCTTAGGGCTCAGAGGTTGCATGCTCCCCCACTCCCCCCACCCCGGAAATGGAAGGTTCAATGACTTCTTAAGGAACTTTTGTTGTTTAAAGGGAGCGTCAAAGACAGGCGTGTGCGGGAGCAGCTGCCCCGAGTAGAGACTGAGCCTGGGTGCGACAGCTGGGAGAGGTGGCGATGGCCTGCCTGCAGGGACCCCGCGCGGAGGCCCGCTGGCCGCACCGAGGGCCGTCGGGGGGAAGCCCTGCGGAGCGGGGTGGAAAGGGGCGCCTCCACGCCAGTCGGCCGGGCCGCGGCTCCCCGAGGCCTCACCCTGCAGTCACACCTGCGCCTCCGAGCAGCGCTCGGGCGCCCCCTGCCTCGTGCTCCCTTACAGGCCACAGCAGCACTGGGCACGTTGGGTCCTCGCGGCCGGACGCACAGTGGGGTTTGGCCTTCACCCGGCGGCCACACCTGTCTCTGGACTATCTTAGGAACTGCTTTCTCAATGCGGATCCGTTGTTTCAACCAACGAGCCTGGCACTTCCAGCTAAAATGGACTGGACCACTGGCCTGGCCTTCGGTCAGGGGCTCCCAGGGACTCCGGGAAAGCCAGCCACCTTCGAAGGACCGCTCCAAACCGTGTGGCCTTTCAGAGCGCACACCGCGCTTAGGAAAGCGTGCCATGCGCCCGTGAAAGCAGAGTCCCGTTGTCTCCTCCGAGGCTCGGCTGCCACGGGCCCAGGGCACAATCGCCACAAAGGGAACCTGCCCAGGGACGAGGGCCACCGGCCACCTTGGCTGGGCACAGCGCACTTCGTCCACCTCCGCGCTCCTTCCAGTGAGTGCAGGCCAGGCTCAGGGGCCGGGCCTGGCCGGCCGGACGCACACATTCCTGGGCAGGTTCTTGCTTCAGGCCTCTAAGTCCCCACAACAGGGTTCCTTCAGGAGAGGCGAGGAAGTTGTGCTGTCCTTCGGCCTGGCGGACTAAGGCCGATGCCACCAACCGAGGGCTGTTTAAAAAAAAAAGCCCGTGGAAGACCTCCCACAGACCCAGCTCTGAGCGCACTGGCTCTGCCGGGCGCTGGGCCCCTCCAAAGCTGGGCCGCCTTTGCCTGCTCTCGTTTACTGTCGCCCAGCTTCTCGGGCTCCCCTGGGCTTAGTGACTCTACCAACCAAGACTTTGCATCAAGCGATCAGTTCAGGGGCCTCCTGCCTTCCTGACAACCGCGACCTTCAGACAGCGCAGTGGGCAGTCAAGTGCCCACGAATGCCGGCGGCAGAAAGACCGTCCGGCCGGCCGGCTCTGCGGGGGCAGCAGAGCGGACGGAGGCTGACAGGTAGTGGTGGGTCCACCCGCCTGCACTGTGCCGGCAGCTCCGTGGTACCGTGAAGTCGGCGAGCGGCTCTCTTCCCAAGTCCAGGGATGGCTCGGGTGCCTGCTCCTCGAGGGACCTGCCCAGAGAGAGCGCAGGTCGGGCTCTGAAGGTCCAGGTGTCAAGTTTTTGCTGAGATTTACACATTTTTCAGGTGCCATTTTAATAGAATTCAAGAAGTTGGTCATTGACCACCCGGCCTATGCAACAGGAGAATAAGAATAAAGGCAGTATGCGTGGCCTGACTCAGGGCATCGCATTTCTCCGGGAACGGCGATGCAAAAGCGGCAACGTGACGTGGGAAGTTCTGTAGGAGAAAAAGGCATGTCTTCATGTTCTCATTTAAATAATTCCATGATGCTTTCCGCTGCGCTTTTTTTTGTGGAACGCAACAGGCCCCTGGACTTCATTTCAGCAGAGTGGGCTTCAGGCTTATTTAAAAAAAAGAAAAAGAAAAAAAAACAAGCTGTGCATGGCCTGTGCGTGGGAACAGAGGCGAGGCCGCCGCCCCCTGTGAGGCGCCTGCTCGCGCTCTGCAGCGGGGCTGTCCCCGGACCACGTGCTCCTCCCAGTTCTGGCCTGAGACACGGCAAACATCACCGGTTGCCCACCCTGACCCGTGCCACCCCAAGAAAGGGAGTGGCTAACGGGGTCCGGCTGAAACGGCCACGTCCTGTTGGAGTCCTTTGCCCTCTGCACCCCTAGTTGATGTCACATTGTGACTGAAGCCACATCAAGGACTTCAGTGGCCCTGTGGTTATGAAATGCATTATCTGCGAGAGAAAAAAAAACAACTAAGAAACATCCATTTCTTACATCAGAGACAGCAAATTAAGACCTGGGTCTGTTTTTTCGTTTTTGGTTTTTTCCCCTAGTGCTACTTCAGGTCAAATGTGAACAGCTCCCTGTTCTCCAGAGCAGGGAGTGCACCAGCCTCCTCTCTTGCCCTCTGTGCGCGGCAGCATCTAAAACCCATCACACGGTGCCCTGCAGCCTCACGTAGGCCCAGGGCAGGCGGCCCCCCAGCCCTGCCTCCTGGGGCAGGAGTGACCCAGGGCAGGGCCTGGCCCAGCCCCAGCCCCCGGAGGCAGGAGGCCCGGCCCCAGGCCCCGAGGATTGAGTGACCGACCCATCTGTTCAAGGTAAAATCATCTCTGGGGAAATGTCTTCTCTTTTCAAAAGCACAGTTGGTCTATTCCTTTTTTCAGGCCTAAAAAACATGTACCTCACAAAAGATGACTAGCACTCAGTCCCCTTTTCTGGAAAGACTACAGTATTGGTGTTCCAGTATCACTGTTTTTTCTACACTGTATGGTAAAAAGAACCATGTTTATAGCTGTATCTTAAATACTGTGATTTGAGTTTCTTAAAAATCCTAATATAAATAATTTACTAACTTAAAATCATGTATCTAATAACAAACATTTGGGTTTTTTGAAATCAGTGTTAACTGACACATGCTCTTAATAGCCTGGCTCCTGGACCCACTGGAAACAGGAAGCGGAAGTGTCACAGCCGAGTTAGAACCGCACGCGTGCACGGCTCCTGAGCCCCGTGGGATTTCTTTCCGAGTAACTCTGTCCCCTCCCACACTTCACATGTAAGCAGCACACGAGCCTGTCTGTGTCACCTCCACCTGGGAGGCCGCCTGAGACCCTGCCGTCACCGGCTTCACGGCAGGCCCCCGCGGGGGGGCCCTAGACTGCCCCGGGCGGTGCGCGGCCGCCCGCTCTGCTGGGGATTGGCACCTGGGGGTTAGCACCAAAGAGCTCTGCAGCCTGGGAAGTTCTGATGGAGGCTCCGCGCCACCCGGTTTTCTCGCAGCCTCCAGGCAGCCAGACCCGAAGCAGAGGCCAGAAACCACAGACCCTGCGATTCTCCCACCTGCAGCTTTCCTGGTCTGGGCAAAGTCCCCTGTGGCTGTGGGTCTGTGCCACCCCCGGGGCCCACGTCGGGGCGGTGCAGACTTCCAAGGCCAGGCCTGAGCTTGCCTCCCCGTGCGTGTCTGTCGTCAGTATTCCTGGGAGCCTGTACTCTCCAAGCACTGAGGGGCTGCAGACCCCTTGTTTCTACACTAACCAGGAGGTGCTGCAAAGCAGACCTTTCTCGCGGGCTCTGCATCTGAGTGGGGTCCCGGGCCCAGGAACAGGGTGTGCAGGGAACAGCAAATAGCACGTGGCATCCTCCTAGTCATGTTAACCGATCTTGGTTCCAGCATTAAAAGTGGCTATTAAATAACTAATTTTGAAAATATTGGGTCTTACTCATTTTCCCATTAGGAAATTGAACTGATCATATATATTGATTTATATCCTGAATTTATGGGAACTTATGTATTTGGAATGTCCTACTGTAAGACTGATGAATGTAAAGAGTTAATTTCAGGGTACCGTTTTGCCTTAATGGTTTTAAAAAATAAACTATTTTTAGAACTGATTGGGCGAGTCTTGAGTGACGCTGTGAGATCGCTGCTGGCTGGGAAGCTGACCCCAGCAGCACCATCTGCGCTCAGCAGGAAGGCCTCCCCCCCAAGGGGGTCCCTGGGACGGAGCCCCGTTTTGTCCTTCTGAGCACAGGGTGCGCCCGGGCGCCTGTGGCCCCGCACCATGACATGCATTTGTCTGAAGCAGCGTGAGCTGGGACAGCTTTACAAGCGCGGGCCTGAGAGAGCGAGACCCAGCACACGGGTTGTCCGCAGCTGCATTTTATTCACTGTCGTCCAGCTCGTTCCGACACTCCGGCCGGCCGGTGGGGAAGGTGGCCCCGCAGCCGCTGCACCATGAGATGGGGTGGCGCCTGCCCTCTCGGCAGCCGCAGGCAGAAGGCGCGCCACGGGCCAGCATGTCACATCGCTAAGGTGGGGGCCGGGGAGCCCGGGGAGCCCGGGGAGAGGGGCGCGGGACGCCGGCAGGCTGTGGGCTCAGCCTTTGCAGGCACTGAGGGCTGAGTCTGCTGTGGGGAGGGCCAGGCAAGCACCGGAAGGGCCCTGAGGCAGGGCTGGAGGGAAGGCGGCTGGGGCGACCCTGCCTGGGACAGGAGCTGGGCCTGGAGCCGGAACCCAGCGGAGGGGACAGAGGGGGCTGGAGGCACCGACGCGCGACCTCCCGACGGCCGCCCGGGCCGGGGCTCCGAGGCAGCGGGCCTTCGTGCCTGTGCTGCTGGTCCGCAGGGCCCGCAGAGTGGGTGGCACGTGGAGACAACTGGGTCTGGCCCAGCGCACGGAGGGCACGTGGGGCTCCAGGCCGGTCCACGTGCGAGCAGGAAACAGCCCCGGGACGACACTGCCGGGGGTGTGGAACCCCAGCAAGAGCAAGGGGGCCCCCCCAGGCCCGGCCGTGGCTCCCCTAGGCTGCCGCCCCTCGTCCCGCACCGAGCAGCGTCCAGGGCGCACACGGGGCTGTGTTCGTGGGCGCCTCCCTGCGCAGCTCCCGGCACTGCTGCTGCTGCTGCAGCCGGACTCCGTCTCCCGGTTGCTCCAGCCACTGCTCAGGACAGCCCGGAATCAGGGCGCGCACTCGCACTCGGGAGGCGGGCTCCCAACTCAGGCCGCCCCGACCCAGGGCGCGGAGGCTGGCTCAAGTTTGAGCACTGGGCTGGCCAGCTGGCCTCTTGGATGGAACCTTCCTTTTCTCCAAGTCCTGCCGAATCTCCTGAGGGAAGGCATGGATGTTCTCCTGCACACAAGGGAGGCAGAATCTCCTGGAGTAGAACAGACTGCATTCCTGGAAGAGGGGGAGGGGCTGAGCACTGGGCCAACCCTTCCCAGCCAGCAGGGCAGGGGGCGGGGCGGGGCGGGGCAGGGAGCTGGGGCAGCTGGGGCAGCTGGGGCAGCTGGGAAGCTGGGAAGCTGGGGCAGCTGGGGCAGCTGGGAAGCTGGGAAACAGGCAGGAAGCTGGGCCAGCTGCCTGTGGCTTACCCACCGGGCCCACACACACCAGCCGCCCGCAGATGCTGCACTTGGATCCGAGGATCAGGAATCTGTCCTCATCGGGGGTGAAGGGGTCCTTCGTGACAAAACTCTCCTCCAAGAGGCTGCAGGACAGTGAGTGATGTCAGCATCCAACCTCTGCAGAGGGGGGGCCTCCCAGGCCTGCACCCCTGGCTGGCTCCGCAGGGAGGGGCTACCCTGCGCTGGGCTCAGAAGCAGCCGCGGGGCGGCAGACAGAGGGGCTGCTGCAGCCCGAGCCCCCAGGCTCCAGCCTGGTTGTCCCAATGGGGCCTTTCCCGCGAGGCCACCCCCACCCCTGCTGCGGCCACGCGCATTCCCAAACCGCCTGCGTCCAGGCAGGGACAGCCGGGTGTGTTACACACCCGTGTAAGGCACTGGCCTCATGTGCACCCCAGGAAGGGCACCCCCGGGGTCCCAAGACAACAGCCCCAGTTCCTGGGCAGTAGAGGACGCCAGCCAGAGGGAAGAAGCCTTGCCCCCCACCACTCGTCCTGTGTGAGTGGAGTATTGGTCAACTTCCCCATGACGCGGCGTTTGACGAAGGGCAGACTGAAGGTCAATCACCCAGCCCTGGGACGCGGTGGCCCTCTGCCAGGCCATCCCCGGGCACACCCTGGGAAGCTGGTCCTGAGGACACACTCCCCCCAGCACAGGAGCTGCAAGACTGAGCACAAGCAGGAGGGGTGCAGGCCCCCCGCCCCGTGAGGGGGCTTCCCCGCTGCCCCCGCCCAGCTGCCCCGCCGGCACCGCCGTGGGCCCTCCCCGCTGGCAGGGGCTGGCAGGGCCTGGAAGAGCTGGGCGGGCCTAAAGCCAACCCCCAAGCCCCGTGTCAGACTCAGGCCACCAGCTCCGTGTGTGGGGATGTCTGAGCCACTGGACGCCGATACTCACAGGACGGACTGGGTGTTGGGCGGCTTCTGTCCCACGTAGCTGTACGGCGCTGTCAGGGAGCAGAGCTGGCACTCAAAGACGCCCAGCGGCCGGGGCTCCGCCTCGCACGCCATCTGCAAGGGCCAGACGCGGGCCGGTTGGCGTCAGAGCCCAGAGCTGCCCACAGCTCCATGCCTGGCGACACGCCTCTGACAGGAGGGAGAGCGCCCCTTTCTGACAAGGAACCTCAAGTTCAGAGCAAGTCCGAGACCTCCTCAAGGTCACAGTTATTTTCAAGTGCGTATGAGATTTTTACTGAGAGGTCGTGTGCTGTGCCAGAAAATGAGACTGCCACGACAAAGAGCTGAAATCACAGAGCGCGCCTCCAATTTTAAAGTAACTAAGTTAAAACCAGGAACACGAAGGCACAAAGAAAAATGTCCCACTACTTGGAAATTGACAATACACTTCTCAACAAACCACAGTTCAAAGAAGACATCACAAAATACATTAACTGAATGAAAACTAACACACCGCGCGTCAAGAGATGTAGAACCCAGCTTAGGCAGCACCGGCAGGAGAACTCACTGCTTTAAATGTTAAAATTGGAAAAGAACATTTCAAGTCCACCATCGAAGCTTCTACCTTGAGGAACTACAAAAATACAAATTAAACCCTAACATAAATAGAAAGAAGAGAATAATAACGGACGGAAAGCAAAGAAATAGAAAATGACAAACAATGAAAAAAATCAGTAAAACCAAAGCTGGTTATTTCAAAACAACAATAAAGTTGATAACCTCTAACTAGACTGATCAAGGAAAACAAGAAGATGCTATAATCGGGATGAAAGAAGGACATCGTTTAGATTACAGACGTTGGAAGGAAAATGGTGGGAGAGTATGAACTTTTTACCAAATAAATCTGGCAATTTAGCAGAAATGGACATATGTCTTGGGGAAAAAAAACCCAACAGTTATCAAAATTGACTCAGAAAGAAACTGAAAACCTGAAAAGCCCTATAGCTATTCAGAAAACTGGTTTTGTAATTTGAAGTTTTCCTAAAAAATTAAATAAAACAACAAAAAAATCAGGCCTAGGAGGCTTAACCACAAATTGTTAAGCACTTACGGAAGAAATATTGGGTCGGCTGAAAAAGTCTGTTTAGTGTTTTCCATAAAAGACATATTTTTCATTTTTATCAATAACTTTATTGATTTGGATATTTTGAGTATGTTGGCTGTGTTCCATGTGGTATAACGCTGCTTGTTCTCAGTTAATGTCTCTATTTGATTGCTATCAACATCAACTGGTCCGCCCAACAGTGGAGCATGGCTCAGCAAGGAATCTCCAGCACGAAACTTCGCAAACCACTTTTGACACATCTGATCAGTCACAGCACCTTCTCCAAACACTGCACAAACCTTTTTTTTTTTTATTTTGCGTTTCAGTTGAGTTTTTACTTTTCTTAAAATAATAAAGCATAATATGCCAAAAATGTGTATTTTCTTCCATCTTCAATATTAAAATGACTACACAAAAATTCACCAATTTTGATTTTTTTTTCCACAATACAGTCTAACAAAATCACTTTGAATGAAATCAGACAACTAAGTGCTACTAGAGCCATTATACGGAAGAACACAAACTTTTTGGCCAACCCTGTAGCACCAAGATATAGAAACTTTCAGAACGTAGAGAGAGCACTTCGTGGTGGTTTTATAACAGTATTACATGGACACAAAACTGCCAGGGTTACCCCGGCACCGTTAACCAGATAACGCATTACAGGAAAACTACAGACCCATATCCTTCCCAGGCCTAGATACAAAAGCCTTTAGCAAAGTATTAGCAAACTGGATTCAGTAATACATAAGAAGCCTACTGCACCATGCCTGAGTGGACTCCATTCCATGAACGGAAGGCTCGTTTACCACTCGGAAGCTAACGAAGGCATCTACAATACTTAGGGAAAAAAGGAAGACTACCACATTATCACTTCAATAGATGCATAGAAAACCGGACAAAATTCGACAGAATTTCACAAAATCCAAGGCTCTCGGTGGTGCTTTGAACACAGGGGGCCCTCCAACGGACCACAGAACACACCCCCTTCCCTGCCATTTGAGGCCTCTTAAAAGTGGGCATTATCTTTTCCCATGACTGTCCCCTCCCCGCCTACAGGAGGCTCAGGTATTCCTGCTTCCTCCCCTCCTTGCCTCTGCTCTTGCTCTTCCACCAGCTGGAACCCTCCCTCACCTCTGCCTACGGGGCTTCCCTCCCGCTGCCTGGAAGATTTTCCCTTTATCTCTGGCTTCCAGCAGCCTGAAATGTATGTATGTATATACGGGGTCCGGCAGACGGAAGGCCTGCCTGAGTGTGGTGGAGAGGGTAATAACATGGGTGTAATAACTTGTAGTTTTAATTTGAACATTTCACCTAAAATGTCACATGGTGTGCTTGAGGGTGATATTGTTACGTGACAGAAGTCCATGCTTGTGATTTTGCAATACAAAAAGGGGGCGTATTTGTGCCGGACCCTGCGAATATATGTAATTTTTTCTTTCATAGGCTGTGGCCTTGCTTCTACTTTGAGCGGTCTTTGACCGGTGTTTTGATAACTCATTATTTTGGGGAAAGTCTAGACGACCATCGCCCCCGCCTTTCTCTGCTGGGTTTCCAAGCGCAGACACGTCAGGCTGTTCGCTGTGCCCCCCAGTCCCTGAGCCCTCGGTTCCGGGTCTTTTTCACCCTCTGTGTTTCAGTGGGCATTATTTCTACGGACCTATGATCAAGTTGTTTCCCCCTTGGCCCGTACTGATCTGGGCCCGCCGTCCTTTCTCTTGCCCTCGGCAGGCATTCTTCGCCTTGATGCCTTTTATCCCTAACCGTTACACCTGCCTACTCCTCGAAGTTTCCTAAAATGTCCCCCTCGAGGTCCGGGAGGCCTTCTCGAGGTCTGGCCCCGGGAGCTCAGAAGCCCGCAGGCTCCCAGCCCGCCGTCATCCGGGGGCCTTTCCCGAGTCCTCCGCCCCGTGCCCAGCGCGGAGGGTAGCGGCTCCGACCCCTGGTCCTCGGAACCCCCCAGACCTCCCCCGGGGCGCCGCGGACGGCGGCCAGGAGCAAGCGCCGGGAGGGACCGGGACCGGCCGAGCGCAAGCGCCCCGCCACGCCGCAAAGCCGGCCCACTCACCTCCGCCCGCCGCAGCCAGCGTCCGGCGCGGCCTGGGCCCATGGCGCGTGCGCGGCCCCGCCCCGCCCCGCCCCCTGACGGCCCTTGGCGAGTGCGCGGCCCCTCCCCTTGCCACCATCCCCGGCGCACGCGCTGTGCGGGACGAACGTCGGTGTTGATTTCCACCTTCCCTGCGTATCCATGGTCACTTATGTTTGGGGGATGCGGCGGCTGGGCAGTGCCTGCCACTGCTCCGGCCCGAGAACGCCCGTAATTGGCCGGCTGTTCTGGCTGCGCTAAGATCCTCGGCTTCTTTCTGTGTTTCCCGCCGGGCTGTGCAGAGTCGAGGCTGCGCGGCCGGCAAGTAACCCGACTGTGCGGAGGTCGACCTCTGTCGCCGCCGCACTAGGGCTCGCCTTTCGCGCGCCGCTTGGCACGCGCCTCGGGCTGGAATGTCCCGCTGTTAGCGCGCGCGCACTACCTGTCCCCCAGTAAGACCGGAGCCCCCTGGGCCACAGACAAGGCCCACGGTGCCCCGTAAGGCAGCAGAGAAGCTGGGTTCTTCATGAGCCCTATCCTGTGACCTTTGTAAAGCTGTGTGCACTTGCGATATGTCACCCTGCCCCTCCAAACCCTAAAGTGGCCTGCGACGCCAGTCCTGACCTGGGCCCCACCATCCTTCAACCTCCCTGGCCTTGCTTGCCCCAGTGCCCCACCAGCTTCCAAAGGTTCTTCTGCCTCTCAGGCTCCCCTACGCCAGGCCCGGACGGGCGCTCCCCTGCACCTGCCGTGGCCTGTACTTCTGTGCGGTGCCCTCCCACGCTTATTCCTCTGGGCAAGTAAGAAATAAGGATTATACCGAGCATTTTAGTAATGCTAAGAGTGAACTGCCCTTGGGCCTGGGCAGGGCAGCTCCTGCCCTGAGCCCCAAAGGAAGCACTTTGATTTTGTTACTAGTCTAACATGACCTAGACTGTGCTTACAGCGGTGAAAGTCTTTGGATCAATTCAAAGCACAGAGGATTTTTAGGGCAGTGAAAAGACTGTGATATTATAAAGGCAGATGCATACAAGTAGCTATTTACCTGAACTCACAGAACGTACGTACAAAACCAAGACCGTGTGCCTGCTAAGATTACAGGGCCACCTCGGTGAGTAACCAACCCCTGGGACCAAGCGACCAGTCGCCAGGCTGACTTTGTTGTCCCTGAATTCCAGGGACAGAGCCCCCTGTAGATGCCGCTCCATGGAGAAATCACTGTGCGTCCCTCAGAAGCCTCACATTTAATTCTGATAAAGCATCTACATAAATGAACAGGCATCAGAGGAAAAATAAAACAGTGGCCAGCCTGTGTTTCTCTTAAACAATACACCACATTTCCTTTATTATTCAATTATAATCCACCAAGGCATAAATAACCAAAAGTCCAAATCCTGGATGTATATATTGATAGATCCGACATAAAGAATCGTTACCGTCTTTCAAAGTGAACCCACACACAGCACCTTGTTGTTGTCTAACAAAAACTTTGTCTCATGGCCAGAAAAATATTGTTATGGTTTACATCTTTAACTTGAAGGAGCTTTAGGGAGTAGATAGGAAGCTTCAGACTTCTGACCACTGTTCTCATCCCTGAATTCCAAACTCAGGGGCAGTCCTGGAACGCTCCAGGATGCACAGGCTGTCCCCTCCTCTCCCTGGGGCACTGCCGAACACTCCCTCTATACCTGTGCCCAAGAGTGGAGGCCAAGAGTGGGAACACTTGCAAATGTAGGGGTGTGCATGTGCAGGACGCAGGCGGATAGGATGACAGAGCCACTCAACTGAGCATTTGCTGGGAGAGTCTCACCTGCAGCTCTCGAAACTGTCACGGTCACACCACGAGATACACCATCTTCCTCTCATTAATGTTTCTGGTCTTCAGCCCCAGGTAGCGGTAGCTGGGCTGCTCTGGCCGCCCATAGAGCATGTCCGGGAAGAACGTGGGTTCGCCCTGGGCCTTGGATTGGAAGGACAGGAAACCAAACATCGTCCTGAGTTTACTGCACAAGTAGGCCATTGCTTCCACTTCGTACGATGGTTCCTCATACACGGGCTGCCTCATTTCCTCATGGGCAGACAGGATCGTCGCCCGAAATAAATTGATCAGCACGCAGATCACCAGCAGTATAAACGATGAGAGGAACAGGACCCCGAGGACCCTACTGTGGGAAAACTCTGTGTCCCGAAAAGCTGCAACGCAGTAGGAGAACACTGTCTGAGTGGCGTGGAGCAAGTGGCTGTAGTACCATTCATGCTGACCGAACAGCAGGCAGCCAATAGCCACGTACACAAAGAAACACAGGGCCACCATGAGTGCCACGTGGCAGAGGGCGGGCAGGGCAGTGTGAACGGCCCTCTGAGCCAGGCGCACACCATAGAGGAATCTGGAATATCTGAGCATCTTCAAAATGGTCAGAAACAGCAGGAAACTCAAAGTGATCCCCATGACATGATCCACTTGAGAAACAGCATGGAAGGGCATGAAACCCGCAGAGTCCGATGAGTAGAACTGAATGATACCAGTGGCCAAGAAGTGTTTCCTGAAGAACAGAGCAATGAGGGCGACGAAGGCACACTGCAGAGCAACGCTGAGCCCGCTGTACACGCGGGACGCGTAGGCGGCCCTCTCCTGCCAGACGATGTAGCCCTCGATCACCGTGAAGGCGAGGAAGAACACGAGAATGGCTGCGTACACGGAGGCTTCCGCTGACGACCTCCCACCGAAATCGCCCAGGGAGAAGGAGTGCACAGCTATGCTGGTGTCCACGACTCCTACCTGAGAGACCTCAAATATGACTGAGGTGCTGCAGAACAGACTGGCGTCTGGATTGAAGGTGCTCAGGTCCAGAATCACAGCCCACGTCTTCTCATCAAGCCAGTTGCTGCTTTGGAGGTCCTTGAGCCGTAGCGTGGAATTAAACTGCTGCTGGTCTGGAAAAAAATAGAAAGCATACCCCCCAGACCCATAGGTGTGCAGAAGTCCATAGGAATAATACACCCACCTCTTTTCTGGAGGCTTATAGGTAAAGCCTTGGGTGTTCTTGTCTGTTGTCCGCTTATCGACCTTCTTCCAAAAGCTGGTGTAATTCTTCGTGTCTTCTGGATGGGTGCCGTATTTGGGATGACAGTGAATTTCTCCTTTGATGCTGTTTGGCACAGCGTTTTGGGCAGGTGGACAGGCCTTTTCAGACGGTTGTGCCCTCACTTGCCTCATTAGTGGGAGGCCAAGGATTTTGGAGGAGCTGTCAGGAAGAAACGTCGGATTCAGGTCGTTGTGGAACAAAGGCAATGGCACACTGTTGAGCCACCGGTAGATGTCGTCCAGCTTGGTCACCGTGGCAAGATCCTCAGAGAACTGATTACGAATGAACTGGTTATAGTAGAAGCTGTCGGTGCAGTTGAGGAGAGCGGTGAAGTTCAGCAGAAGGACTAGGAGGACAAAGTCAGTTAGAATGTGAGCCAGGAACAGCAAAGCGCGCCTCTTGGTCCTCTGCTTCCTCTTGAATATCCTGATTTCGTCTTCCGTGAGGGGCTGGTACATCCTGGTGCCTCGGATGCGGATGACGTGCTGGTGTTGCTCCTGCATTTTGTCCGGGTACAACCTGATGTCCTGCATCTGGATCTCAGTGTAGCGATAGCTGCTGACCCACGAAAGGTTCTTACAGTACTTGAACCTGTTCGATCTCATGCTCGCCAAGAATACAATTTTAGATGGCTGCACCACAAAAATGGACTGGCAGAATGAACAAAACGATGCAAAGAGCCATTCTATTGACCTTTCGTAGCCATAAGTCAGTCCATAAAACACAATGAAGAATGAGGAGACACTCGAAGTGGCGAAAACCAAGAACCACGCCACATACACGCACCACCAAGGCAGCATGATCCTTGGCTTATTGGCGGGGGGCGGAGCGTGCGCTGGGGGCGGGGGGACATGCTCTGGACTGTCATCCACGTTCTCGTTATTGGCATTTGTATTGATTCCGTGGGCACCTGAGACCTTGCTTTCTGCTTCCTCACGCCAGTGCCCTGCGTTCAAGGTCACCTGGACAGGTGACTGCCCGCCCCCAGGACTTCCCCTGGGGGGAGGCTTCTCGGTGGTTTCCTGAGCGTGCCACTTTTCCAAACGCTCCTCCCAGTGCCCAGCTTCCGCCGCCATCACGGGGTGCCTCTGGGGAGACACCGCATCCAGGGGCAGCGGGGGCTGCCTCTGCGAATAAGTGAACAACCCAGTGATGGCCACCTGCACAGGGAGGGTGATCACGGCGCTCTCCAGCCCTATGACCATTGACCGCATGAACCGGTTCTGCTCGGGCCCCTCCTCCTCTTCTGGGTTCAGGTTAAAGAACATAATGTTGCACACGAGGGAGGAGAGCAGCATCGCCAGGCAGCAGGACAGCCGCTGGAGCCGGCTGAAGCCGTCGTCGATGACACCAGCAAAGATGGAGAACCACATGTGATTTTGCCCCAGCTTAGTCGTCATGTCTATCAGGAGGAAGTCTTCTCTCAGCAGCGGTGTGTTGGGTTCAGTGACGTAGAACGTTCTGTCCAAAGAGGTGTCCATAGAAAGCCACTTCCGACACATGAACAGCCAGATGTGTCTGCTGAAGAGGTTCTCCACTTTGATTCGACTTAAGTACCAGCTGGGGGCTTTGCCCTCATTGTTGTGCCACACACGGATGGAATGGATGTCCCCCAGGTCACTCTTTGTCGTGAGGAGGAACGTGTTGATGCTCCCTCGGTAGAGAGTTTTAAAATGCGGATGGCTTAAACAGTGCACGGCGCTGGTACCTTCTGTTCCCCTAAGCTGGACAAAGACATTGGCCCTGGTCCCTGACCCGCAGCGGCTTCCTGTAAAAATGGTGACCAGGTAACACACGTTATCAAAAGGGTCGTTGTCAGGGAGAAGTACCACGTGGTCCCGAAGGAACTGGTCGGTTTCGTCTCTGTGCAAGGCCCAGAAGGCCAGGGCCGTGTACGCGAGCAGGATGAAAAGGACAGTGAAGAGGGTCACGGGGTTTTGGCCAACCTTCCGGATGACCTCCAGCCGCAGATCTACAGGGTTGGGGACCACGATCACCCTGGCCGTGAAGTAGCGGATGTGCAGGTGAACGTCGGACAGCCTCACTGTGCCCGGCTGCCGCCGGGCCCTGCGCGGGTGCCTGCAGACGCAGTGCACTCTGTCCCAGGCGGTCTTCTCCCTGAGGACGCAGGCGTCTTCCCTCCAGTCACTCTGGATCCCCTGCATGTCCAAGCAGTGAACGCTGAAAAGCGAAACTCTCACCAGCTTGTCGGTGGGCTTCATGACAAACGGGGGCGCCCGCAGCACCACGGCTATGGAGCACTCGGGCGAGTGGCCCCGCTGAGCTACCACCTGCAGCAAGGACGGCGGGAAGCAGACCACGCGGGCCACCTTCACTGCGCAGGCTGGGTCAAACAGGCCGTTCTGGTTGGCCACTGGAGGGATGTCATGGGGCACCAGGAAGGTGGCGACCAGCGCGGCAGGGGCGATCTGACCGCCGGCGTACACCGACACGGTGAACAGCACGGTCACCTCCGTCACGATGTGAACCAACAGCTCCCTCACGGCTCTGCTGTCCACGGTGAAGCGGAAGGCCCCTGTCGTCCTTTTCAAGGCCTCATCCGCCTCGTTCGGCTGGTTGTCGGGTCCCACTGTGAGCTGAAAGGCCGAAGCGCTCAAGTTTTTCCTGCCCAGGTACACGTCCACTTCGTCAGGCATGAGCTCGAGCGCGTCTCCGCTCGCGGTGGTTCCTGTCATTCGGAAGCCAACCACGTCTGCCGACATGCTCTCCTGATCATTCAGCCAGGGAAAGGGGTCATCTGCAAACTCACAAAACATCATAGAAATGGGAGCGTTTTCAGACAAACCAGGAGTACTGCTCACATTGAGCGTCGGACGAACCCAGTTGCGACTGTGTTTCTCGTCGCCCGGGATGCTGGTAACTAGCCACCTTTCCATTTTCCTGACGTACATGTTAAAGCTCGGGGTCCTCATGGCAGTGATTTCATTTCCCGGCACTTTCCCGGCCAGGATTGTGTCTGCTAGGGACTGCATGACGTAGAAAGGATCGTCAAAAACATCGTGACGGCTAGCCATTTTAAGGATATTGGACAGGCTTGTTAATATCCCAGTGCTCACGGTTTCTATTTGTTCAGAGTGAACATCTTTATCTTTTTGTTGATACTGTTGTAGGGCTTGATTTGCTTGCCAAATCCTCTCCGTGGCGAGTCTCTGAGCAACGGGAGTGAATTCAGACGATTTCTGGGTTAACTTAGCAATGGCCGAGGCTACCTGGCCGATTTCCAGCAGAGTGCGCGTGGGGAGAGCGAAGGACTCGTTGACGAGGTGTTCCCGGAGTCTGGCTTTGTCTGCTTGCAGCGTGGATTCGGTTCTCATGCTGTTCAAAATGGAGGCTACCATGTACATTAAGTAGCCTGCGGGCAAAAATTCTTGCTGTTGAAGCAAAGTAGACATCATTGAATCCTGTCCCAGGGTGAAATCGCGTAAGTTACGCATCATGGTCTCTGGTGAGATGTTGTCAGTAGGAGCGTGCACAGTGGCGTACAAAGCCACCTGAGAAAATGCTCCCGTAGAGTCATACACCTGGACAAAGACCTTAATGGCATAGTGACCGCCCAGCACGCCGACGGGGAGGAAGGAAGGGGGTGACGTGGGCTCGTGACCCATGTACAGGACGGGCCCCAAGGTGTTCTCTTTCAAAGAGCTGATTTCTCCAAAACCGTGCAGATCAGACACTATCATTTTATATGTAAGAGGGACGTTCCGATCCTTAAAATTAATACACTGGACAACAAACTTAGTATAAAATGCAATTCCACTAGCTGGATTAATTTTGCACTCTCCGATTTCAGGCGCATGGTTAATAATAAAGGGATACCAGAGGTCCAAGTTCGCGCCACTCCAACTTGCTATAGTTACAGAAAGCCAAAACTTAGCTTCCGAAAAGCCCCTAAAAGCAAAAGCTTTTATAGACAAATAATCGCTCTCCCTTCCTGTTGAAGTTTGCCCCATCCAATCAAATACCACCTCATTGCCTGAAGGTGCCAGAATCGACCACTTATAGACATCGCGGATTAATTCACAGTTTGTGCAACGTAGAGACAAGGTAAACCTGTCTGATATAACCAAAATCGGATCGCAATTTTCAGTACACAAAATACTTGCTATCGGTGCTGGCCCTTGGAGCACATGGACCCTTTTATCTGAAAAGGCTGTTCTGTCTCCCTTCTGTATCACCATTCTGAAAAAATACACTTGGTCGCCTCTGAGTGTCCGCGGTGTCAGGAGGAGCACCGGGTCGGAGGCCCGGGGCCACTTCAGGTCCGCCATCTCTGGGAGGCAGACGTTGCTGCTCATCACTTTGATTTCCTCTCCTTCATAGTCCCTCCTGTCTGTCGTGCAGTACCACGTAAACCGCAGTCCCAGCAGGGGCCTGTCTGCGTCGGGGTCGGAGGACGCCACCCCGTTCAGGAGCAGCTGGTCTGCGAAGTTAATTGTCATGTCGGGACCCCCGAAAATCACCGCAGTCAGGGGGCTTCTAACAACAGTGACATAGATGCGGTCGGAGCTGCCCAACTCATCCCCAGGTATTCTCAGCTTCAGAAAGAAAGCGAGCACGTACACGCCCAGCGGTAAAACACCCCTGTGGATGTTTAGGACCGACGTTTGCCTGGACTGGAGCTGTGGCAGCCGCAGAGGGTTAGACCAGTCCGGCTCATCAGAGAGAGAGGGCACGGAAAAGACTTTCCACTCCTCCAGCGTGAACTCAGCGGACGGGCAGTCGTAAAGGACGGTGGCATTGACGGAAACTTCCGTCTTCCTCGTCAACACCAGGGGGGCACCGTCTTTATCCGTATTGATCTTGACCCTTTTGATAACGCAAGGGGCCTGTCTTGATAACTGGCAGGACACGGAGGTCGCCATGGCTTGGGAACTGTCCACCTTGACAGCTTCTAAGACAACAGGCCTGAGACCATCTGTAGGACACTCGGTGTGGGCCACGAAGCCGGCGTAGGGCCGAGGGTCCCCACTCGGAATGGAGCGCGGGGACATGTGGGCGGCGGCGGCGGCGGCGGTGGCGGAGGCGACCGTGGAGCTGACCGGCCCGAGGCGGAAAGTCCACTCCAGAGGCCCGAGGGAGCGCCGCAGCGGGGTGAGCCACTGCAGGGAGAGCGAGCCCCGAGGCGCGTCCAGACGCAGGTCCACGTGGGTGGGCGTGGCGCGGCGGGCGCGGGGCGCGCGCAGCAGGACGTGCACGTGGAGGCAGGGCCGCTGTGCCCGCCGCCAGGGGCCGCGGGAGAAGCAGAGGCCGCGGCCACCGCTCAGGACAACGCCACCACTCACGGCCACGCGTGGTCGCAGGCTGAGGTGGGTGTGGCCGCCTAGCCTTCTGAGGCCCCAGGCGCCCCCGGCTGAGTGCTGTGTGGCGGCCTTGCCCCCTGGCGGGTCGCGGGGTCGGGCCTCGGGCCGGGAGCCGTGGGCCGCCGCAGGCGCCCCAGGCGCCCCAGGGCCGGGGGCGGCGATGAAAGCCCAGGCCCCGCGAGGAGCCGGGCGCGGAGGGAGGCTGTGGAGGCCCAGGCCCAGGCCCAGGAGCAGGAGGAGCGTGGGCCCGGGCCGCATGGTGTCTGCTCGGAGCAGCTGGGAGGCGCAGCAGAGGTCGTGGGGTGGGTCAACGGCCCGGGAGCGCGGGCCGCAGGGGTCACGGGGCCGCGGGGTCGCGGGTGGGTGGGGGCAGCCGGGGGCAGCCGGGGCCCCTGGAGCAGCAAGAGGAGCCCAGGCTTCGCGAAGCGCCCCGCCCATCCCCAGTGTCAGGCCTCTGATCAGGGGAGCTTGCGGGGGGTTGAGGCCGCCCAGTCCCCTGATGCCCTGAGAAGGCCCCTGAATAGGAGTCCCTCCGCCGGGGGATCAGGAGGGCCTGGGACCCCCCGACCCAGCCCCGGGCTGCCTGCCCTTGGGCTTCTGGCTTTTCTTTTCTTTTTCTACTTTCTGAATAGGCAAAACCTCTGAGCCGCTGATTTTTAAATCTCTCCTCTCTTCTTATAAAAGCATTTAATGCTGTAAGTTTCCTGCCAGACGCCACTGCTGCGTCCGGCATGTTTGTTGTATTTTGTTGTTCAGCGAAGAGTATTTTTAATTTTCCCTGGTTCGGCTTTGATCCATGAATTAAAAGTGCGGTGTTTAATTTCCGGACATTTGGAGTCTCCCTGAAACTCTGAAGAGTGATTGACTTCTAGTTACATTCTGTTGTGGTCAGAGAATATATTTCATGTAGTTGTTATCCCTTTAACGTTCATGGAGGCTGTTTGCGAGCCCCTGGCGGGCTCCGCGTGCCCGTGGCCCGCCTGCCCTAGAGCCTGCGCGCTCCTCTCGGGGGCGGCCCCGCCGTCGGTGCCTGCCGCTCAGGTATGTGGTGCGGCCGAGGTCTGTGTCCTTCTGAAGGTTCATCCCGTTGTTCTATCAAGTGCTGAGAGAGGGTGTTGATCTTTCCTACTATGACTGTGGAACAATCTCATTTTTTAGTTCCGTCCATTTTGCCTTCCTGTGTTTCGGGGCTGTGTCTCTCAGGGGCACCCGCGTTTGTGATTAGGCCTTGCTGATGAATTGCCCCTTTTATCGTTATGAAATGTCTCTATCTCTGGGAATAACCTTTGTCTGGAAGTCGATTTTACCTGATATTAAAGCAGTCACGTTATACGTCGACTATGTCTGGGTAAACCTGGTGGGGGGGGGATAAAATAAAATAGCCCCAGTAGCTGTCTTGTGCTTACTGTCTATATGGCATCTTTTTTCATTAATTTACTTGCAACTTATTTGTGTCTTCATAGTTGAAGTGGATTTTTGCAGGCAATATTGAAGAGGGTTTTTTAATCCACTCAGTCTATCTCTGCTCTTTAATTGAAATATTTAAACCATTGACATTTAATATAATTGTTGAAATGGTTAGATTTAGGTCCACCACTTTGTTATTTGTTTCCTTGCCCCCTCCGATGTTTTCCTTCCATTCCTCATTAATTCACTTAGCGTTAGTTATTCCACGGATGTCTCCCGAGGATCTGCGACGTGCCAGGCATTCTCCTAGGTGCTCGCTCTAGTCCCAGCTCTTTTGGAGCTTCCGCTACAAGGGGAGTGAGAAGCAACAACAACAACAAAACCCAGGGCATGTGTTATTTCAGGTGTGATAAGTGCTGTGATGGAAAATTAAGGCCCGGCCTAAGGGACGAGGATTGAGGATGAGAAGGGGCGGTCAGGGAAGGCCTCCTGGAGGAGGCGCCATCGGAGCCTGCGTCTCTACAGGAAGTGCGGGAACCAGCCTGGCAGAGAGCTAGGGGCAGCATTCCTCGCCGAGGGGGCTGCGGTGGCCAGGCGTGACGGCCGGAGGCAGGAGAGAAGGTCAGTGCTGGGCTGGAGTGAGGGGAGGGAGAGCGGGAGGGCAGAGTCGAGGGGCGGATGGCCCAACCCCGGTGCGCGCTGCCTGTGCGCCATGGTCCCATATTTGAATTTCATGCAAGCGGGCGGATCTGACATCCGAGTTGGAGCAGTGTCCTGCTGTGTGGGAAGCAGGGGGGAGCCAGGCAGCAAGGGCAGGGCGGCGACCGGTTCGGAGGTATCCGGGGAAATCAAAGGGACAGGTCCGGCAGCTGGAGGGGCAGCCTGGGCAGGCGAGCAGACCTCGACCCGGTCGGGGTGTGTGCGGGGCGGGGGGGTGGGGAGGTCTGGAGCCGATGGCGCTGGTTAACGGGTCAGGTGGATTGTATGCAGCGGAGCTGGAGGCGTGATTTTTCAGGGCCCTGGGAAGATGAAAATGGGGGCGGGGAACCGTGTTCAAAGTGTGTTCGTAATTTCAAGACAGTAGCAGCAGAGCTTTACAGCAAGCGCGGGACCCTCCTCAGCGTGAGGGTCTCCGCTGCCGCCCAGGGGGCCTGCCCCGGGTGCTAGCTGCGCGCGAAAAAGAAACAGCCGCAGTGGCTCCTGGTGCCATTGGCCGTGCCTGTTAGATCCCAGCGGGTGCTGCCCAGGAAGGGCCTCTGTTGGGTCGGACCGCAGAAGGCTGCTGCTCTGAAGGCCAGACACCGTCTACTCTCAGCAGCCTCCTGTGGGACACCTGCTCTGAGTCTGGTAGGAGGGGGGTCACGCACTGCCGGCTGGTGCCCGCCAAGTCCTGTGGGAAGGCCCCAATCCCTGCAATGTTAGGAGGAGGGGCCTTCGGGACCAACTGGATCTGGACAGGGCAGTGAGGACACAGCCTCTGTAATGGGATTAGCGGCCTTGTGAGAAGTTGAAGAGAGAGCTCTTCTCTCTTTTCCTCTGAGCACACACCCAGGAAAGAAGCCGGAAGAACGACGGGACCCCGGCACTGGCAGGCTAAAAGAGTCGTATGGGATGTTGGCCAAAAATGACCTCTGTGAATGTGAGTGCATGCGTGTGCTTGGCTTCTGAGTGGAATTAGAAATAGCTTGAGTGGCCACTGTCCCAGGGCTCCCCTGCGTCCCAAGGGACTCTGCAGTCCCCTCTGCAAGAGGGTCCTCAGCAGGGAGGAGCCCCCTGGTGGTAATAGGAAGTTTGGGGGGGCAAGACCGGGCCGATCCCACAGGCGCCCCCGAACACTCCCCTCCCATACAGGCGCCCCCGCTGGGCGGTCCTCCCGTGGCGGCGCCACGCTGTCTGCCGTCCCCCTTGGCCTCCGGGACTGCCTGGGTGAGGACGGGCGCGTCCGTCCCCAGCCGACCAGTGAGCCCGCGGGAACCCCGCCCCGCCCCGGCGCTCCAAACCCCGCCCACCAGGAAGGCCGAGGCAGCGCACGGAACCAGACGTACACCCAGGGCGCGCACCATGGTCGACCCAGCAGCGCTGCGAGACTGCCAGGTACGGCGGGGCGGCGAGACCCGGGGACCTCCCCAGCAAGCATTAACCCCTCAACCCCGGCGCGGCACAGCAGGGACGCCGGGTGTTAGTGCGGGTCTCCTTCGGGACGCCAGGGCGCGACGCCCGGCCTATTTTGCAGCCCCGAAAGGTGGAGTTCGGGGGAACCAGCGGTGCCCAGGTGCTAACGGGGAGTAGAGGACTTGTGCCCGCTAAGGGGAGCCGCCGGTCTGTGTCCCCGGCAGGACAGCGTCCCTGGCAGGACATCGAGGGTGGCAGTTTCAGTGCACAGCTCTGAGGATCTCCAGACGTTCCCACTGACAGACTCGAGGGTGGGACTAGTCCGATCAAGTGGGAAGCAGAGAGGCACTGTTACCGAGATGAACAGTCAGTGCGCCCCCGGCTGGCCAGGTGGGGAGCTGCCCCTCCGCCTTGCACCGGAGGGTGCCAGGCCCCTGTCCTGCCCCCCCCCCCCCGCAGACAGAAGAAGCTGCCAGGGTCGGGCGGGGGTGGGGTGGGGCGCGCTCTCTGCTCTGCACCCGCCTGCCTGTGATATGTGGGAGTCTATGCCGCCCCACCAGGAGGCCGGGCCTTACAGAAATCTCGTGATGCTGGGCGTCGGCGCTCTAAGGCTCGGGGTTGGGGCCGTGGCGTTCACGTTGGGAGGACTACGTGCTACAAGGCCCTGACAGTCCCTCTTGCCGTGCGCAGGCGTGGAAGGATGCTGGGCTCCCGCTCTCCACCCCGAGCAACGAGGCCTGCAAGCTGTTTGACGCCACCCTGACCCAGGTAATGCCCTCGGAGGGAAGCCGCCCCTTCCTGAGGGCGCACTGCGAGGTCTCTGAAGTTGGTGAATGCTTTTCATCAACCTTTCATTATTAAACTTTGGGGCGCATCTCACCGCTCTGTTCACTCAGGCCACGACGTGAACGGTGCTCCCACTGTGTGCTGGGAGGCTTCGCCCTCCCATCCAACCGCTCGCTTAACATCCGCCCCTGGCTGGCGCGCCCGCTGCGGTCCTCTCCAGGGAAAGCTGGGACCGGTGGCCGTGAGCAGGCACCGGCCTCACGCCCCCAGAGCTTCCCAGCTGCATCAGCACTCCTGATTTTATAAACAGAGAAGCCCATCGACCCAGTCCTACCCAGATCTCCTGGGAGCCTGCGCAGGGCAGGGCTCCCTGGCCACGCTGCCTGGCCGCGTCCCAGCACGGGACCTGGGATGCTCAGGTGGCGCAGAGCCCCACAGCAATGCCTTCGAGAGCGGTGGGTGCTTTTTAAATTGCACGGTGACTTTAGCGATCGACTGCCGTGGAATCTATGTCCTCTGCACCCCAGAACAGGAAGGAGGGGGGACACTTTAGAGACGTCCCTGCCAGCGCCTGGCATGGCTGAGGGGTCCTCCTTGTGGTGGGCGGTCAGCAGCGCTCTCTGTGCTGGGGCGGGTCTGCGGGGGTGCTGAGCCCCACATGGGGGCCAGCGGGATGTGGTCCTCCGAGGGCTAGATGTGGGGCTCCTCCATTTAGGGCAGGGGACCCTGTCCTGGGGCTACTCTGTGAGCCCACTGCCCTCCCCCAGGGCTGTTCCAGGACCTTTCTGGTCATTTCTAACACCCATGAAGAAGCCTGAAGTTTTAGAACCAGGAGGGTCCCAGAGGTTAATTCCAGCTACCTTGTGTGGCAAGCAGGGACCCTGAGGCCCAGAGAGCGGCCTCGTGCAGCGAGCTAGGGAGGGTCAGGATGGGAAGCTAGAGCTGGTCTTTATCAGGATCAGCAAGACAGCTGCCTACTGACTCCATCCTTGCAGCGTAACGACCAAGGAAGCTCCTGGAAACCTAAGGGCCGCACGAGGAGCGAGGGGTGAGACGCGGTCGGCTTGCCGCGCAGCCCCACTCCGTGCCTCTGAGCTCTGGCCGTGCCCTCCCGCACCTGCTGGCCTCTGCGGAGCCGCGGGTTTCAACCTTTTCCATCTCATGGCACATACAAACTAAGAACTAAAGTTCTAGGGCACGCCAAAAATATATACTTTTTTTTCCCCCCCTGGCTGGTGTGGCTCAGTGGATTGAGTGCCGGCCTGTCAACTAAAAGGTCGCTGATTTGATTCCCAGTCAGGGCACAGACCTGGGTCGCGGGCCAGGTCTCCAGCAGGGGGCGCACGGTTGCACGTGAATGTTTCTCTCCCTCCCTTCCCCTCTCTCTAAAAGTAAATAAATAAAATCGTTAAAAAATGTATTTGTGTTTAAAAGACATATATATTTTTTGCTGACCTGAACAAAAAATAGGTATAATTTTGATTCCTTCATGCCAAACGGCTACTGCTCTGCTGGCTGTTCTCATGTTTTTAGATCCTCCCTCGAGGATATGTTTGTTGATTCTTAGAGAGAAAAGGGGAGAGAGAGAGAGAAACACCGATCGGTTCCCTCCCATACATGCCCCAGCTGGGGGTCGAACCCGCAGCCTTTTGGTGTATGAGATGACATTCCAACCAACTGAGCCACCCAGCTAGGGTGGCTGCTGTCATTTTTTTATTTGACAATCTAAGGGAAAAGAGGTCAGTGCCCCTGACTAAATAGTCAGGTATTGCATGTTTTAAAAAATCCTTGCAGCAGCCCTGGCTGGTGTGGCTCAGCGGATTGAGTGCCGGCCTGTGAACTGAAAGGTCACAGGTTCGATTCCTGGTCCAGGCACATGCCTGGGTTGCAGGCCAGGTCCCCAGTTGGGGGTGTGCCAAAAGCAACTGATCAGTGTGTCTCTCACACAATGATGTTTCTCTCCCTTTCTTTCTCCCTCCCTTCTCTTCTCTAAAAATAAATAAACAAAATCTTAAAAAAAAATTCTCGTGGCACACTGGTTGAAAATTGCTGCTCTAGAGCATCAGTTTGATCTGCGGCACGTTCTCCCGTGCGGTGACAGCCCCCCCCCCGCCTTGTGCATACTCTGCCACATACTCTGTCCCGTGTTTCGGTGTCTCCGTGCCATCCTGTGCGGAGCATGGGGCCTTGGAGTCTGCGCCCCTGCCCCGTGGCTCCTTCACATACACACGCTCATGCCGGGTTGATGTAGGCTGGGCTTCTGACACGGCACGTTCTTAAACCTAACGCATTCTTATCGTTTTAGGGTTTTTAAAAATAGGCTTAAAAAAAAAAGACTAGAAACTAATACACCAAACTGTCAAATGGGGATGAGTTGAAGGGTAAGTGTTACCCTTTCAGCTTTCAGGGCTTGGCCCGACTTTCCGTACGTGGACGTTTGCCTCAGCCCTTCTTAAAAGGGGCGGGCGAGGTGGAGGAGGGCTTTGCTCCTGCCATGGTGCCCGACGTCCAGGCCCCCGGCAGGGCCGGAGTGGGCACGGGGGCAGGTCCCCGGTCGGGCCGCCTCACCACCCCGAGAAAATGTGCCCCACGTTACCTGGGTCTGTCTCTTCCTCTGAGGTCAACCCAGTTATGGTTCTTCTGAGAGTCCAGAAAATACTTAGCGTTGTAGAAAGAAAAAATATCACCCTTTAGATTCATGCCGTTATGAACACAGGGGAAGGACCCCTGGGGAGAGCTCGCCCTGACCTTCTGTGTTTCAGTACGTCAAGTGGACCAACGACAAGACCCTTGGGGGCATCGAGGGCTGCCTGGCGAAGCTGAAGGCAGCAGATCCGACCTTCGGTGAGTAACACCCCTGCGCTGAGGAGCCCCGGTCCCAGTCCCGGGTGGCAGCGCAGGCTCGCGTGTGCACGGGGCAGGGGAGACGCCAGCCAGGGTCGCGGGTGGTGTAACCGCAGCCCCCATAGAAATGCCAGGCTCTAGAGAGGGCATCTTTCAAACTTCCCCCCGAACTGCGTGTCAGCTCTGCAAAGAAGACCGCACTCCCCTTTCTCAGACGAGAACAGCGAGGTTTGGAGAGTAAGGAAGGTACCCAGAGTGCCCTCCGCTGGCAGCCCCGCCCCTGGAACACACGAGGCGGCTCCTGCGGCCTCTCGACGGGCGTGAGGGAGGCACCCCGTAGGGTGGGCTGACCTCGTAACAGAGGCTGGCGCCATAGGCAAGCGGCGTGCTCGGCAGGCGCGGGGAGACCCCAGGAAGGTGGCCGCCTGTGGAGTGAGGCCCCGGGCCGGGGAGAAGGACCGCGGAGGGGAGGGCAGGGCAGCAGGGACGCCCCTTCCCGCTGCACTGTGGCCAGGCTGCATGGGGGCGGGGGGGGCCGAACGGGGCACTAAGGAAGCTGACCGCAGTCTGCAGGGGAAGCAGGGAGCCAGGGGTGGGCTCTGGTGGTCCCACTGTCCTTGGACACACCGTGCCTCTCTCGAGGTGGGGCCTGGAAATCCAGGTGGCACCTGGGGGCCTGCACAGCTGCCACCCCCACCCCCAAACCCTCAGTGCATGAGAGCGGCCGAGGCGGGAGCATGGCTTCTGTGTTCTGGGGGCCCGTGCCTGGATAGCGGCTTCTGAGTGTCTCCTGGAGGTCCTGTGCTGGCTGTAGTGACAGTATCACCCGGCGAGGGACGCAGGGTGGGGCGTCCTGCCAGTTCCCCGCTTGAGCTGGCGCCCGCCGAGCACCCTCGTCGGGCAGATGTCTGTGGAGCTGCAGGGTGGTCTTCGGGTGGCCGCGTGCACCGGCGGCCCAGGAGGAGCTCTGCGCTGCTGGTGGGGGCACAGTGCATGGTCTGCCTGCCGCCTGGCAGGCCCCTCTCGGCGTGTGGGCTGCTTGTTTCGCTCTTGGGCTGGGCGGGACCCTCTGAGTCACAGCTGTCCCCCAACGTTTCACCAGCAATGGGCCACGCCATCTCTACTGGCCTCGTGCTCATTGGCACCGGAAGCTCCGTGAGGCTGGACAAAGAGCTGGACCTGGCTGTGAAGAGCATGGTGGAGGTTGCCAGCAGCCAGCCGCTGACGCCGCGGGAGCGGCTGCACGTGTCCGCGGTGGAGGCCTTCGCCAAGGGGTGAGGGGCACCCCTGGGCCAGGCTGGGCGAAACCACAGGCTGCCCAGGGCCCCGCGAGGGGAGTCCTTGGGGTGATGGTCACCTGGCCTCCCAAGCCCATCTGGGTGACAGCCCCACTCAGCCCGTGGCCCGGTCCCCCACGGACCGCCGACCCAGGAGGTGGCTGCCTGGGATTCCCAGTTTGGCATTCAAAGCCACTCACTGTAGTGTGCTGTGTGTAATGCTCTCCCGTGTATAAAGCGCAGCCACATTTTTGGCCCAAACTTTCAGGAAAAAAAAATCTTTCATTTTAATTTTTTGATTCAACATTTTATTTATTTCTATTTAGGAACAAAACCGATTATCGTATTCCAGGGTATTATTTTACATACGGGTATCGTATTGCTTTCTAGAGTTATACTCTTAATGCATAAGCATAAATAAAAAAATTAAAAACACTTACATGGATGTGGAATTAATACTACCCATGTGTAATGCGCATCCTGATTTTTCCCTCCAAAATTTGGGCTAAGAGGCGCGCATGATACACACTTTGTTTCATTAAATAAATCAGTTGTTACTTTCTTACAAAAATAATAGGACCACATTGCAGAAATATATAAAAGATAGAAGAGAAAACCCTTGCCCTTATGCTCCCTGTTCTAACACACGCTTTGAGCATCCACTCGTAGCCTCGCAGGTGGGCGGCCTCTGCTGTCCCCGCCGGTCTCCCCGCCCCGCCGCGTGTGGGCACCCTGGCCCCGGAGCCGCGCCCAGGGCCGCCCGGATCTGCTTAGCCAGGGAGGTGCCCCGCAGAGCGGGGCGGCCGCACGACTGTGGAGGGAGGGCCGCCCGGTCTCCATGCTGAGTGGGCGCCAGGCGCCAGCGCAGGGCTGGGTCAGACCACGACCGCGACACTTTCTGCTGCTGGTCTGTGGTCTCCGGTGAAGCTGTCTTTGGAAGCTTGTTAAACCGGGTTTTGTTTTTATTTGAATTCAAGAATAAGATTTCCCATCGGTTTATCAATTTTATGAGGCATGACCTGACACAGACACTTTTATATATACAGTTACGTTCTCCCTGAGTGTCAGTGATTCGTTCTGCGACTTTAATCAAAACAGCACGTAACGAAACCGGTCTTACGACAGGCCACTTGATAGGAACAAGAGTCAAGTCCCTACAGCAGCTCCTCAACATTAAAGTAAAAGGACGTTGAGAACAATATCATTCAAAAACCTGCTGCACACCTGTATAGATTTAAAACCGGCTCAGGGCAGACTGAAGCTGGCCTGAAACGACGCCTTTCTCTCTCCCCCTCTCTCTGTGCATGTGGCCTTGTGCTCACTGTCGCTGAGAAACCCCTCTCGGCTTCCAGGAGCTTCCCCAGGGCCTGCGAACTGTGGGAGCAGATTCTCCTGGACCACCCGACAGACATGCTGGCTCTCAAGTTTTCCCACGATGCCTATTTCTACCTGGGCTACCAGGAGCAGATGCGAGATTCTGTGGCTCGGATTTACCCCTTCTGGACACCCGCCACCCCCCTGAGCAGGTATGTGCCAGCCGGAAGTCACGTCACTTCTGTGTCTTCCTCCCCCTCCTCTGCCTTGAAAACGCAGCCATGGCCCTGGCCTGCGCCTGAGGGGGGAGGCCGTGGTTGTGGTCCTCTCAGCTCTTCTCTGCAAAAAACCTTCATTTTCCTCATTCGATCTTCTTGCCACCTTGGCAACGAGGCAGGGCCGCTGCGTGTCCGTCACCACGGGGCGGTTTTTGCTGCAGGAACAAACATACCGTAGAGCCGGTTCTCCAAGGCTCATTGCCACAGGCGTTTGTTGCTCCTATGCGCTCCGTGCCCACCGTGGGCGGCCGAGGCCCTCTGCCCGTGTGTCCACGCTGCCATCTCCCTCCCGCGCCCTGGCTGACACAGCAGCTGCCGTCTGGACACGCCGGCCACCACGCGGGAAACAGAGCTCTTTGCGGGGATTCCACAGTGGCCTGTAAACGCTCAGAGTGAAAGGGATACCGTGCGTCTCCCTGGTCAGTGGCCAGAGCCGGCCGCGCCCCCGCAGGAGGCAAGGAGGGGCAGCGGCGCTGTGTGCTCGGAGGAGAGGGGCTGAGGACCTGGGAACAGCCCCGGCGACCGCTGCACGGGGTCGCCTCCACTGCGCCTTAGTCATGGGCTTGCTGGGAAGGTCCACCCGATTACAGGTGGAAGAGCTGAGTAGCGGGGGCTCTCCAGAGAGACAGCCGATACCGCGTGTATGCGTGTGGCTATGTTGTTTACACGTGCGTGTAAATATCAGCGTCTGCACCTATATATATAGAGGGGTTTATTTTAAGGAGGTGGCTCAGGCCATCTGGGGACAGGCATGGTGTGGGGAGTCAGGCGGGGTCTCTCGGTCGCCATGTGGAGACAGAGTTCCTTCCCCGCGGCAGGGTGGTCCTGTCTCCCACGCCGACCCCGCTGGGGCGGGCGTCCTGCTTCGCTGAGTCTTCGGATTTAACCGCCAGTCCCATCTGAAAGCTGCCTGTACAGCAACGTCTCGACGGCGTCTTACCAGCCGGTTGGGCACCGGCCAGGGCGACCCGTCCGACTGACCATCAGCAGTTGCCTGTCATACGCATTCAGGGCGGGTTTCAACGTTGGCGGGGAAATGACCCCAGTAAGACCTCCCTGAATATTTCAAGGCGCCGCCTGGAGGCCAGTGCTCTGGAACGTGGCCTCCATGGAAAATAGACGCTGGAGTTTATCTCTGTCCTTGGGAATAAAGATTTCACCTGAGTCTCAGATACCAAGGCCAGGGTCCTATCTTGCTTTCATGTCATCCCAGGAACCCAGGAAAGAACTCCTCCTTCCCATGTGACTGCCGTAGGGGGCTCGAGTGACGGTGGTCACGGGTGACAAGTGGAAGTGTGCCGTTAGTCTGCGGCGTGGCTTCAAGCCCACCCTCAGCTGGGCGGGGCCGAGAGCGGGTCGGGCCGATGGGATCCTGGCCTCCAGGAGCTGGGCTCTGGGAGGAAGCTGTGCACAGGGCCACGGAGCAGAGAAGCCACCGAGAGCCCACGGTCCCCACGGCTTCCGGGGAGGTGTCCCTGGGCTGTTCCTCCCCGGGGGACGTCACCAAGCGGACGGGAGGGAAGAGTCCACGGTCAGCCCCAGTGGAAACGTTGACGTCTCGGGAGGTGGGCCGTGCATGGCAGAGGGTCCGCTGTGGAGGCGGGGTTTGGGTTTGGGAACAGTCCTGCGGCCGGTAAAGGTCACATGGTGCCTCACCAGCCAGAAGCACCGAGGGCTGGGACACACAGCGCTTTGTCGGGGCCTGGCACAGAGTGGGCACCCCGCTGGCACGTTAGTCTCCTGGAGCTGCCGTAACCCAGTGCCACAGACTGCGTGCCTCCAGACAACAGAAACGTGTTCCCCCACAGCCCGGAGGCCCCAAGTCTGCAGTCCGGGTGTGGTGGGCCTGGGGAGGCTCCCAGCGCAGGCCATGCCGTCCCCAGCCCCCGGCTCTGTCCTCGCGCTGGCTGCCTCATCCTTCGTGTGTGTGTCTGTCTCTGGGTCCAAATTCCTGTCTCCTGCCTCTCACTGTAAGGACGCCAGGCACCAGCTTTAGGGCCCACCCTGCTCTAGTGTGCCCTCGTCCTAACTTGATTGCATCTGCAAACGCCCTGTTCCAAGTGAGGACACGTTCGTTCACATGTATCATTTTAGGGGACACATTCCACCCACACAGGTCGTGTTGAGGGTTGAACGATCCCGGCCCACTTTTTAAAAAAGGCTTTTGTTCTGTCTTCAGCTACGTGAAAGGCATATACTCCTTTGGATTGATGGAAACCAATTTCTACGATCAGGCGGAGAAGCTCGCCAAGGAGGTGGGTGGGCCCTTCCCGGGGTGCCGGCCCTCAGGGGGCGGCCGGTGGGGCCGGGGCAGGAGAACCGCCCCCCGTGGGTGACCCCGGCCGGCCCGTCTCCTCAGAGACTCGGGAGGGCGGGATCGCGGTTACGGAGCCGCCTCCCCGTCACCAGCTTCTGCCGTGGTCCGTGGCGCCACGCCGCACAGGTTTCCTCCGCAGGCAAGGAAGGCGGCTGACGGCTGGCTGGGGAGGTCCCGGTCGCCCCCTCGCTCGGGTGGCACGGGCGGGCGGCCCCGGGCACCCCAGCTCTGCCTGTCCCCAGAGCCCATGCCCCACGGTTGGAACCAGAGTTTTGCAGGTGGGGAGCGTATGGAAGCGTGGGTCCTCCCTCTATGAACCCCACGTTCCTACATGTCACTCATGTCACCGGGCTTCAGGGAGTTGAGCCATGATGGCAGACGGGGCTGCTTCTGGGGGGCCTGGCGGCGGGGGGGGGCACGGGGGGGGGTCCGGCCAGCGATCCCCCCCGGATTCCTGCCCCGTGAGTGAGGAGCAGCATAGCCCAGACCCTCCTCCAGGCTCCCGAGGGGGGCCAGCCGGCGCCCAGTGTCTGTCCCCTGTGGCTGGCCACTGCCCGCGTGTCTCCAGCTCACGGAGCCCCTGTCCTCCTCCCCCTCCCCCGGGGAGGGGCCGCCACTCCTGCTGCTCCTGTGCCCCCGTCTGCTTAGCCCCTGTGCCACCCTGATTGGGGGACAGGGCTCGGGGAGGCCCAGGCCACAGGGCTCGGACGAGGCAGGGCTGCACTCGCCCCGCCCCCGACCAGACCCGGCTTCCCCGTGTCCCAGCCAGGGCTCTGCCAGAGGTGTCGCCCAGCTGGTTCCCAGCGTCCCTCGCCGGGAGATGCCAGCACCCCCTGAAGACCGTCCTAGTTACAGAAACGGAGCCCGGACTCAGGCGCAGGGCGCTGGGTCCTGTGCTTTAGGCCTGAGCCAGGGCTCGGGGGCACCTGGGCTCCATGGCCAGGGGGGTCAGCCAAGAAGGGCCCCCCGGGGACTACCCAGCTGGGCCTTCCGGTGGCGCGGTGTCCATCTGGGCCCCCGAGGGCTGGCAGGGTGGCCAGAGGTGCAGGCAGTGGAGGAACGGGGCGCCCTTGTCTCTTCCCTTCAAACCCCGCTTTCTGATGCCCCCCATCCCATAGGCGCCCACAGTCTAACCCCAACGCCAGCACAGCACAGGCAAACACTGGGCGCGGCCAGACTGTGACAGGGACCACCAGGGCTCCAGGAGAGCGGAGGTCGCGGGGGGTCAGGAGAGGCCTCTGGGAGGTGATCCGTGAGCCAGTGTTTGAGCCAGGCCCCGGGGCCAGGAAGGGCGCAAGGTGGCCAGCGGAAGGCAGGACAGCGCGGGGCGCGGGATGGGCTGAGACCCTAGGTGGGGGTTGGGGGGGGCGGGCCCTGGGCACAAAGTCCGGAGGCGGCGGAAGGGCGTTTGGACTGGGTTGGGGAGGCAGTGAGTGGGGCGGGGGAGGGGAGGGGGCACTGGCCTCAATGGGGCGGGCGTGGGAGCCGCCGCCCTGGGCCTCCGCGGTGTGTGAGCCCTGTGCAGCCGTGCCCCGCCATCCCCCCAAGCATCCCGGTCCTTCCGGGCCATGCCCCGGGGCGCCTTCGTCCCCACAGACGCGTTCTTTCTCACCACGCCCCGTGTGGACTGGGCACGGCTCGCCGGGGGCGACCAGTCGCAGCGGTCCCTGCAGCAGGCGCCAGGCCCCCCGCCGCTGCCTCTGGGAAAGGCGTGGGCTCTGAGGCAGTGGGCCGGGGGCAGCGAGACCTGGTGCCGGGGACCTGGGCTTGTGTAGGGCACCCGGGCCTGTGCGGGGTCCCCGGGAGCTTCCGCCCAGTGCTCCACGGCCGGCACTTAGCAGGTGCTCCGTCAGCGTGAGCGAGCACGCGAGTAAAGGACAGTGCCTCTGTGTGGCTAAAGTCGCAACCTCACGTCCTGCCTGCCTGCCTGGCCACTGTCAAGCTTGCGGGCCATGCGAGCGGCTACTTTTACTAATAGCGATAACATCAGGACAGCCCAGAAGGTTCCACACGTGGTCACCCCGTGTGTGCTGGTGGGAGGGGCTGCGGGGATCCCCTGGGGCCCTTGGGAGTGTGCGCCGCGTTGGCGCACACGGTGTCCCCGAGGAAAGCGGGCGACTCGGCTGTGCCCCGGAGGCCGCGGGCAGACCCAGCGGTGTGGTCTCGGGTGGGTCACGCGGCCTCCTCGGCGGGACGGGCAGCGGCGCCCTCTTTGGCAACATCCTGCAGGTGGTCAGGGGGGCTGGTCTTCGAGGCCGAGCCCATGCCCCACGCGTGCCCGCCCCAACCTCCGGCCGCCCGACTGACCCCGTTCTCTGGACGCTTTCCTGTCCCCCCGCCCCCCAGGCTCTGTCCCTGAACCCGGCGGACGCGTGGTCGGTGCACACCGTCGCCCACATCCACGAGATGAGAGCAGAGGTGAAGGACGGGTTAGACTTCATGCAGCGCTCAGAGACCCACTGGAAGGTACGGTCCGGGCGCTGGGTCATCTGCCGGGGGACCTGTCACCACCTCCCCCCAGCTGGGCCAAGGCGTTGGGGACAGGTGTTAGGGGGCAGCTTTGTGGCGGGGAACTCATGTCTTGGGAGGTGTTTCTGTCGAGCCGCAGTGTCCCCTGGGGGCCGCATGCCTCCCGCCCCGGGCCAGGGTCACACAGGCGATCCCGGAGCTGGTCTCAGCCTGGGGCAGCGGGTGTGAGAGGAGCGGATAAGAGAATCCCCAGGGGAGCGAGCAGCTGGCGCGGCGGGACCGCGGGGCCGTGAGCTGCCCCTGTGCCGGCGGGCTCGGCGCAGTGCTGGGTGTGGGCACAGGGAGCGCTCGGGGCCGCCGGGGCCGCCGGGGCCGCCGGGGTCGCCAGGGTGCTGGCGCGCCAGGGTCGGGGAGCTTGTGGGGCAGGGACGCTGGGACCGCACAGCCCCCGCTCCTGGCGTCCCCGGCGTGGTGGCCCTCCCTCCTCTCCGTGCAGCCGCTGCCCCGCCCGGGCTTGCGTCTGGCACACAGCCTGCCCCTGCGCGGGGGTGGTCCGCTGCCTTGCCCTTCTCCTTGCCGTGTGGGGTTCCCAGGGGACCCCCTGCCGAGGCAGCGAATCTCAGTCGGGCCGCCACCGAGGCTGCAGGTGCTCGGTGACTGAGCGAACAGAGGAGGAGAGACCAGGAACCGGGCGCGGTCACCGTCGTCCCTCAGGCCCCTGGCCCGGGACCGGCCAGTGAGAAGTGCAGGCGGTCCCTGGCGGAGAACGATTAGACTCGGGACCTTTTGACTATGTGCTGGTGTGAAAGAGATACGCACGATAAGTCACGTGAGACGCTCAACACTTGATTGTACGATGGGCTTGTGATAGGCGAGTGGGCTCGACTGCAGGCTAACGTAAGGGCCCGCGCCCATCAGGGGGCGCTCGTACGTTAGGGGCGGGAAATGAACGCATTTTTGACTCAGGGCGCTTTCGGCAGATGATGGTCTATTGGGACGTGACCCCACTGCCACGCGAGGAGCCCCCGTAACGGAGGGGAAGGCGGGCTCCTGTCTCCCGCCGGCTGTGGGGCCGGCACAGCAAGCAGGCGGGTGCAGGGGGTGTTCGAGGGCTGTGAGCCCATGCAGCCCCCACTGAGGTTTTCCTCAGGGTCGCCAAGCTGTGGGGGCAGGAGAGCCTGGGGGGCCTGCCTCGGGCTCCCCAAGCAGGTGGGGCTAGTCCCGCGGGAGCCCGCGGGGGGTGGGGGGCGCAGCGTGGGGCCGCGCCCGGCGGAGGCCAGCAGCCTGTCCGGGCTTCTCTGGGGGGGCGGGCGGGCCTGGCCAGGGCCCTCCAGCTCGTCCCGCTCACATCCCTCCCAGGCTCTGACGTTACCGGGCCGGGCGCCCGAGGCCTGGCTGCGCGCGTTCTGGGCAAGAGTGTGCCCCCTGCGCCTCGGGGTCCTCATCTGAACACCCATGATCGTGACAACTTGGAGGCCCTTGGCCCCAAACAAGTTGCCTTTGGCGTTGTTTCCAAACACAAAGAAATGAGGTAGCCCCTCTGGCTGGGGCATCTTGCCGCGGGCTCTCCTCGCCGGCTGGTCTCCGTCAGCCGCTGGCCCGGCAGGGCCGCTCAGGGTGGACACGTGGCCTGGGTTCCCCTTTCCTCCCCCTCCTGCACCTGCGCCAGGTGTGCGGCTGCGGGCGTGGAGCTCAGTGCAGGCTCCAGTCACCGCCCCAGGCTGGGCCCCAGCCTGAGCTCCCTGCCGAAAGTCCAGCCCAGACTTCTCTGTCCCCAGGAGACCTGGTCAGGTGGAGTGAGCAGCGTCCCAGCAGCACATGGGCCATAGCCTGCGAGGGGGGAGGTGGAAACTCAGAGGAGGCATCCAACCCGGTGGCACCTGCGAGGGAAGTGGTCTGGGGAGGCTTCCCGGAGGAGGCAGCCTTTGAGCTGAGTAAGGAAGGACCATGTAAGGGTTTGCCAGGTGAAGGATTAGGGAGAGGGACGGCGTCCCAGCCAAGGACCAGCTTCGGCAAAGACACCATGGCCGACGGTGGCTGGTGAGGGACAGGGGAACCGGACCCTTTGGCGTCCTCAAGCACCGGCTCCCAGCGGACGCTGGCCAGGGCGGCGGCGCTGACAGTCCCCCTCTCCAGGAAGCAGGAGGTGACGTCCAGGCACAGGAGGGGCCTCGCAGAAGGAAGGGCCCCGGATGAGCCAGCAACAGCGACGCTCCCTGCAGCCCGCCGCTGCGGGCGTCGGCTCCCGCCGGCTTTGCTGGGGTGCCCGGCGCTCACCGGACGCACAGTGGACCTCTGCAGCTGGGGGGAGGGTTTCTTTCTCATTCTCTCCACACCACGCCGGAGGCAGACGAGGCCTGAGCTGCCCCGTACCCTCTGCGTGGGCCCTGGGTCTGGGGCTCTCCAGCTCCGGGGCCCATGAGGCGCCGGCCCGCGGCCCCTACTTCCTCAGCGAGCTCCGGCGTGTGCTCGCTGTCCCTCAGCGCTGCAGGCGGCGGTGTGGGGGCCCAGGAGGCGACGTGGGAGGCACCTTCGAGTGCGGGGTTCTGCGGAAAACACCGCCCGTTCCTTTTTTCCTAGAGCCTGCCAGGTGTGTCTCCAACTCTCGTTCTTTCCCCAGGGCTCCGACATGCTCGCCTGTCACAACTATTGGCACTGGGCTTTGTATCTGATTGAAGAGGTAAGGCGGCTGGCCCTCTTTGCCTACCACGGTGTCTGGGGACAGAAGGGCTATTCCCCCTTCGTTGTCCTTCCTGTCCCGTGGGGTCCTGTTTTGGGTTTGCACATTTAAAAGGGGCCCTGATGCAAGACAGCCGTTATGTTTTCAAATAGCTTTTTAAAAAAAGATTTTATTTTTGCGGGGGGAGAGGGAGAGAGACGTGGATGTGTGAGAGAAATGCCGATCGGTTGCCTCTCGTACGCGCCCCGCAAGCCACGCGTGTGGCCTGAGCAGGCATCGAACCGGCGACCCCTCACTTTGTGGGAGGACACCCAGCCCACAGAGCCACACCGGTCAGGGCTCCAGTAGCTTTTCAGGCTTAAACCGCGTCAGGCACGTTTCCCTGTCTGGAGTTGGGGGTCACGCATGTGGGTGCAGTCTGAGGAGACACGCGGACCAAGGGCCTCCCTGCAGCCGAGTAAACTGTTGAGCCCCGGCCCACAGACTATCCCTGCAGGAGCCACCAGGCACTCCGAGCGCCTTGCCCCCAGGGAGCAAGGTGCAGGGACGCACAGGTCCCCAGTGAGCCCGCCCCGGGTCCCAGTGTCTGGGTGCTTCTGGCAGTGCCGTTCATCATAGAGGAGCCTGAGAAGCCCCTTCAGTGTCCAGAGAGAAGTGCCTGGGAGGTGGGGGCCCTGTGGTGACAGGGAGAACGCAGTGGCCCAGGGTCGAGCCAGTAGCAGCGACCTCCGCCGCACGCACAGTAAGGAAAATAGAGAAAAGGAATGCAGAGAGGAGCTGCGGCCACGGGCTGAGCGCTTCGCCGGAAGAACAGCGCGGTGCCCGCCCCTCGGTGACACGCGTGCGGGGGTTCGTTTCTCGGCGCCACCTCCCGCCCGCTCCTGCCAGTAACCCCGGACTCCTCTTTTCCAGGGCGAGTACGAGGCCGCGCTGACCATTTATGATGACCACGTAAGTCCACGCTTGCCCCCGGCTCGGTTTTTTGCAGCAGTGTGGCTTTCAGCCTCTAGACTGTTGAGCCCATCCCTGCTGTCCCAGCCAGAAACAGTAGGTGGAGCCGGGACACGCGTCCGTGCGGGACCCAGGGGTGAGCTGCCGCCAGGCCGGGTGCTGGAGCCTGAGCGGCCTGAAGACGGTCTCTTGGCCGTGCGCCCCCCCGTGGGTGTTGGCAGAGTTGCACGTCTCAGTTGGTCGTCCCTGAAATCCCAGACTCTTGCCCCGTCATTTCCTGGAGACCGTCCATCTTCCCGTAGGAATTTTTTTATTGCAGGATGATATGCAGAACACAAAACCTGCCATTTTAGCCATTTTTAGGCGTCCAGTTCGGTGGCATTGAGTCCACGCGCATCGGCGTGCACCTGACCCCACCCCACCGCCTCTTCCCGACCAAGCTCTGTGCCCACCAAGCACTAGCCCCCCCTGCTCCTCCCCCAGCCCCTGGGCGTGCTCTCCAGAGAAAAAAGCCTCGCTCGCAGCTCCCAGGCACCCACTACTGGCTCAAGGGTGGAGGCCGGGCTCAGAAAGTGCCATGAGGCGGCGTCTAAACCCCCGAGGGGAGCACTCAGTAACATTTTCTTGAAGTCATCCTTTCGAGTTGTCAGGCTTTCATGGTTAGAACAGATGAGTGACGAGAGCCGTGGGCCAGGAGGCAGAGCCCAGCTGCCTAGGGCCGTGGGTGGGAGAGACGCGTCTGTGGCGGCCGCGTGGTCCGGGGCAGGGGCAGGAGGCACCGAAGCTGGGCCCGCAGGTGCCGCCAGGTGCACGCTGCCTTCAGGCCTGCACCTGGAGTGCACGGAGCCTCGGCTGGGGTGAGGGGGCGATGGCAGGTGGTGACCGGGCTTGCTGAGGCCCCGCCCGCCTTGTGTTGCAGATCCTCCCCAGCTTGCAGGCCAGCGGCGCCATGCTGGACGTGGTGGACAGCTGCTCCCTGCTGTACCGGCTGCAGATGGAAGGTGGCCAGATCTCTGCTTTCCCATTGGTCCCCTCCCCGCCCCGCCCCAGGTGATGAGGGTACAGGGCTGTGTAGGAGCTCCTGCGTGAGGCCCTCCAGTCCCGCGCACGCCCCACACCGGCTGCGGGCGCCCGGGCTGCGGCTGCCTCCCCGCCCCGCCGGATCCGTGGGACCAGGCCGCCGCTGCCCTTCGCTCCAGTTCCCGCTGCCCCCGTGTGCAGGCCTCGGGCTCTGGGTGGCACCTGGCCGCCTGTCCCTGGGTGCCGCCTCCTTTCCTAGAACAAGGGAGGTGGGTGTTTCTCAACTCCCTGGGATTTCAGAGCAGTTTCTCAACGTAGTCGCCCCGTGCTCCGCAGGTAGCCTGGACAAGGCTGGCCCCAGCTCTGGGGGAGACGGGGGCTCCCAGCCAACTGCTGGGGTGCCGGGTGGTCCTACTCTCACCCCCAGGCCCAGCGGAGCCAAATCTGCACCTGCTCTAGTGCCTGGGCCGGCAGGACAAGGTGGGCGTGAGACCAGGGCAGGGCAGGCCGCCAACGAGGGCCCCCTGGAAGGCTTCCCGATGGAGGCAAAGTGTGAACCGTGGGAGGGTACGCAGGGCATTGCCAGACAGAGATGGGAAAGGATGTTACATGCAGAGAGCAGCCTATCCAAAGCTCTCGGGACACAAGCCAGCAGCCTGCCGTGGGGATGGTGACCGGAGGGTAGGGACGGTGTGGCCAGATGGAGCAGAGGAGGCTGGGAGGTGGCGGGAGCCGGAGCCCGCAGGAAGGGCAGCGTGAGGAGGCGGCTTTCCTCTAGCTCTTGCAGGGGCCTGCTACAGCCGGGATGGGCATGCTCCCGGTGCCTCTCAGAAAGATGCTCGGAGCCCCGGGCCTGTAGCGGGGCAGGCGGGGGGGAGACAAGGCCACTGGCTGCCTCCCCGAGCAGAACGGAGACCGGGGTCATACCTGGTGTCGGCCGGCTGAGAGGTGGAGGTCATGGGCGGCACCTCGAGCTATGGAGGTGCCCGCGGGAGCGTTCGGGGAGTCTGGCAGCTCCTGGGAGTCAGGAGGGCGGGAGGCGGAAGGCGGTGCTGGCGGGGGGCCAGAGCAGGGGCTGTCGAGAGCGGAGGGATGCAGACACACGGGTGGAAGGAGGCCGTTTGTTCAGGAGGTTTTACTGAGCACCTGCTATGGGTCAGGGACCGTGCTGGCAGTCGACACGGGAAGAATTTAAAAAGCGGTTTTGGGATTTGTTAAAAGAGCCAGAGACTACCTAATATTCTCCAACAGGTTTTTTTTTTTTTCCTTTCACTTAAAAAAATATATATATATATATTTATTTATTTTAGAGAGACAGGAAACGGGGGAGAAAGAGAGGGAGAGGAGCATCAACATGTGGGAGAAGCACCCCCCCGGTTGCCGCTTGTACGCCCCCAGCCTGGGACCTGGCCCGCCACCCAGGCCTGTGCCCCGACTGGGGGCCAAACCAGTGACCTTTTGGTCCAAGGCTGGTGCTCCATCCACTGAGCTGCAGTGGCCAGGGCCCTCCCGGAGTTTTTGAAATTAGTTTTTTACCTTACGCATCTATTGCTTCCATAGTCAAAATTAACACAAGCTGGGCTCTGGGGCCTCAGCACCGGCCGCCCTCCGCCCCCGGACCAGGGTCAGAAGGGGCTCCAGGCTGCGTGGGTGCGGGAGGCCCTGGGTGCAGGACGTACCCGGGAGCCTCACACCGTGCCTGTGGGTGTCCTCCCCTTGCCCTCAGGGGTGCCCGTGGGTGAGCGGTGGCAGGCTGTCCTGACTGTGACCCAGAAGCACAGCCGTGACCACGTCCTGCTGTTCAACGACGCACACTTTCTGATGGCATCGCTGGGTGCTCGGGACACCCAGACCACCCAGGAGCTGCTGAGCACCCTGCAGGACACCAGCGAGTAGGCTGGGGGCCCGGGTTCTGGAGCCTCTGCAGCTGGGGAGGTTGGGGAAGGGGCCCATGGGTGAGCACAGTGTGGAGGAGCTGTCATCTGCCCACAGGGAAGGCCTGAGGAGCCCAAGACTCCCCGAGGGCTTAGTTCTTGCTTGTAAGAGGGGCTCAGAGCAGGCTGCTGCCTCCGCGCCTCCCCCCGCCTCGCCGGTGCCATGACCCACAGCAGCAGGCCCGTGGGAGCCACAGCCACTCACTCCCGGCGTGGGGGCCAGGCTCAGCGCCCGGCCTTCGCCTGCATTGCCCTGCAGGCGGCCAGACCGAGGCCCGGCGCTGGGGAATGGGCCCAAGGCCCAGCCGCCGGGAAACCGGGGCTCAGCCCTGCAGGACTGAGTTTGGAGCCCTGTTCCCTCCCTCCCTCTGGGTGGCGTCCGCTCCATAGGCTCACCCGGTCAAAGCCCCTCCCGCGCGTCAGGCAGTGCCAGGGACACCGGCTGAGCAGGGGGACGGGTGTGTGTGGCTGGCGCAGGCCCTGAGGCCCCTTCTCGGGCTGGTAGGTCCCCCGGGGAGAACTGCCAGCACCTCCTGGCCCGCGATGTGGGGCTGCCCCTGTGCCAGGCCCTGGTGGAGGCGGAGAGTGGGCGCCCCGAGCGCGTGGTGGAGCTGCTCCTGCCCATCCGCTACCGCATCGTCCAGATCGGAGGCAGCAACGCCCAGGTGAGCCCGCAGCCTCGCCCGTCCAGCGCCCCTGGGCTCCCCGAGGTATTGTGTCCATAGCTGCAGGTGTCCTAATCCTCACACCTGCAGCCAGTTTGTCCCCAAGGACGGACAGCCTGCAGCGGGGGGCGGGGGGGGGGCGGCCCTGTCTTCGTCCCACATCGCGGGAGCCTAACCTGCCCAGGTGACCTCCCAGAGAGACGTCTTCAACCAGCTGCTGATCCACGCGGCCTTGCAGTGCACCTCGGGCGCCCACAGGAACGTGGCCCGGTGAGTCCCCGCTCGCGCCCCCGGGCTGGGCTCGGGAAGGCTTTCGGGTCGGAGGTCCCTGCCTCACTTGGGGGTCTCCCTGTGGGCTTTCCGCACGCACAGCAGCCCCCACCTCCCTCGGCCTGCAGTCATGAAGACACAAGGCTACAGGGGTGCTAGGCCCCCCCTCGTTACCACGCTCAAGGCGACCGATGGGAACCAGCCACCGCAGGCCCCCGCCCTCCCCTGCCTCTCCCGGCTCTAGCCACGCTGAGCTCAGCGACGCACTCACGTCCTGCTCGCTGAGGCCCCCGGGCCTTTGCCGTGCTATGCCCCCCTACCCCCTGCCTGGGACCCCGGCTCTCCTTTTTCCTGGCTGCCGCCCACCAACCCCTCGGGCCCCTGCGCCCATCCTCGCGCCCAGCTGCGCTGAGGGCCGGGAGGGGCGCTGGGCAGGCAGCCCCGGCCCTGGCCGCCCGAGCTCACCTCTGACATGGGAGCGGCCAGGCCGCCAATCGCGCGGGCACACTTGAGACTGGCACGCGGGCAGGCGCGCGGCTCTGAGAGGCGGTGATGGGGGTGCTGAGCGGGCAGGGAGCGGGGGAGGAAGTACACGCCACAGGAGGGACGGCGAGGGAGGCCTGAAAGCCGGGGTCGAACGCGGCCGGGTGGGCTGGTTCAGGCGGTGGCTGGAGGCAGGACTGGAGGACGGGCAGGGGGCGAGCGGCCTGCACGTGGCCACTGAGCGCTTAGCCGCCTCTTGCCCCGGCCGTGTGCTCCTGGGTGAACGCGAGCCCCGCCCTGCGGGGGCCCCGGGGCCCTGCGGGAACACCAAGGGAAAGGGGAAGGAGCGGGGTGGAAGGGCTGCAGGGAGATAGCCTGGGATGGCCCCCTGGGGCCCAGGAGGCCCTTGGCTGGGCCTTGGGGTCGGGGCAAAGCGCCAGGGGGTAAGCACAGGCGCAAAGCAGCCGACAGCGGGTCCGGCCCGAGCGGGGCATGTACTCGCGGCACCGGGGAAACTGTGGGACGCACGGGGGCCGGGGGAACCCCGAAGCGTCTCGGACACCTGCCCGTGCCCCTCAGTCCTCCGGGGCCACGTGCACAAGCCACATGTATTTCTCTAGCGGCTCCAGGCCCTGGCGTGGGTGAGGGTGGGTGTCTCCGGTGGCAACTGGGCGGGAAGGTGGGGCCAGTGGGACAGAGAGGAGGGCGAGGGCTTCAGCTGGGAGCCGCAGCGGCGGCGGGAGCTGCTGCGGTCCGAGTGACAAGGGCGCCCCCTCCAAGGACACCCACCTGTGGGGCCACCAGCTCAGCTCAGCATCCACCCCCGCCCCGGTGTCCCCACCCCGGCCCAGCCCCTGAACCCCACTGTCACCCGTAGAATCACCACCGTCCTCGGTGGTTTGGGCTCTTCGCCGTTGGCAGTGCCAGCGCTTTCTGTAAACCTGGGAGTTTTCTCTCACCTTCTCACCTGCCACTCACTTGGCCCAGAACGGTCTCAGACACGGCTCCCCCACCCCGACACCCTCTCGTCCCCAAGCTCCCAAGCAGCCGAGGCCACTGTGACACACTCACCCTGGAGTTGGAGCTTCAGGGGGCGTCACGGGGACAATGGGAAATGCTCTCCAAGCATTGATGTCCCCGTTGCCCTCTGGTACCCGTGGGAGGACGCCGGGCTCTGGGCACCCCCTTTTTCCCACCCTCGCACTTGCCCCGCCCACTCTCTGGGCCCCCCTTAAGGCAGGGCCTCCTGCCTCTGGCCTCTGCCCAGCCTGTCCCCTCTGCCGTGGGGCTGGCCCCTCTCCAGCCACCTGCGAAAGGGAGCGTCTCCCTCTCTGGCCACCTCAGCCCCAGCCCGAGCTGCTGTGTCCTGCCTCTGGGCTGAGGGAACCCTCGGCCCCCTCGCCCTCCCAGGAGGCTCCAGCACAGCCCTTGTCTGATTCCGCAGGAGCCTTCTGATGGAGCGGGACGCCTTCAAGCCCAACTCGCCCCTGACTGCGCGGCTCATCCGCAAGGCGGCCGCCGTCCACCTCCTGCAGTGAGGGGCCCGTGCCCCCCCTCCCGAGCCGGCCCGCCGTCAGACCCGCCGCCCCGCCGGCTCCCTCGGCTCGGGAGACAGGCCTGCTGGGGGTGACCTGCGGCTTAAACAGGAAAGCCCCAAGACAGGCAGCAACCCGGGAAAGGGGACGCAAATCCACGTGCACATGATTCAGAGTCATCCTCTCACTCTTGCTACGGGCCAAGGGGCAGTTTTCCGTGGTCAGGCCTGGCGTGGGAGCGGCTACTACTGCTGGCCTTGGGCACGGTCTTCCCCGGGGACTCTCGCACCCCCTGGTGGTTGAAGGGCTGGAAGCTGGGGTGGGGCGGGCGGCTGGGCTTGGCGGGGGGCCTCCACCGCCCCTGGGGCAGGGGCTGGGAAGAACCCTCATCCTCTTTGTCTCCTGTCCCAGACAGGCTCTGATGTCCACCTGGGGGCGAGGGGACACACGGGGCCGTGCCCCGCCCAGGGCCCAGCTAGTGGGGGTTCCGCTGAGACCTGCCGCAGGCCCCGTCCTCCCTGGGAGAGGGGACCTCGTCTCAGCTGTGGCCACGGCCCAGCTGCTGCACCCCCGCGCCCCTCCTCTGGCAGCACGGCCTGCGGGTGCACCCCCTCCCCCCGCTGCCTCTGGAGAGAAGCCTGCGCGCTCCCCAGGGGCCTTTGGTGACACTGACTGGGGCTTGTTTTCTCTTTATTCTAAACTGCATGTCAGGAAGGGGTCTCAATACATAGCCTCCGTTGTCGGCTGTGAGTGCGGTCAGACTAGCACTGGGCGCTGAGCAGGCGGGCTTTCTTGGGGTGTGGGGGTTGAGCCTGTGCTGCCTTAATGTGGCAGAGACCAAAGCGCTGTGACATGTGGCTTCAACGAGACCGGAGCCAGTTCTTGCTCCTGCTCCAGCCCTGAACCTAGCCGCACATGCCTCCTCAGTGGGCCGCAGGTTTTGGTTTAACGTGCGGGCTCCGCTGGGCTGCGCAAAGCCGGGAGTCCCAGCCGGGAATGCTCCTCAGGCTGCGCAGGCGCGGACCGAAGGTAGGCAGGGCTCCCCGGGGCAGGGGAGGCCTCCACATGGATCGGGCTGATTCCTGGGATTAAAATAACGTGGCACCCTGGCTGAGTGTCTGAGCTGGTTAGAGTGTCATCCCGATGGGCCGAGGTTCAGTCCCCAAGCAGGGCACGTGCAAGAATCAACCAATGACAGCATATATAAGTGGAACGACAGATCAATGTTTCTCTCTCAAATCAGTAAAAAATAAAATAGTTAATCGGTTTCTTTGACTGGCTATTGCTTTGAACCAAAGCTATTGCTATTGCCAAAGGCAGATGCTTTGAGCATCTCCCATCGGCCAGGCCTGGGCTGGGTCCTGTGGGGGGCAGGCTTCTCCCTGAACATGGGGTACAGTGGGTTGGGGCATGGAGTTAAGAAAATGGGCAATTACATTAGGATTTTGAGAGAGGTGCCACCTCTCCCCGGAAACGAGGGACTGATCCTTATGGGGAGCCCTTCATCCTGCGTTGTCCCCCCGGCCCCCGGACAGCCTGCTCACACCCCATCTGCCCTCCCCTCCCCTGGCTCCAAGCAAGGCGCAGCTTGACCAGGGAAGCAGGAGCCCCGGTCTGCCCTCTGCTCCCCGCCCCCCCCCCCCCCCGCAGGCTGGTGAGGGCGCCCCCGCAGCCCGGGGCCCCTGCCCGGTCACGGCACCTTTCTCCCCAGCTGTGGCCGCCTCAGGTCAGGGGCTGCACCTGTCGGGTCCAGGGCCACCAGCACGTGGCCTGCACTGGGCGTCCGCCAGTGCCTGCTAATCAAACTCACGGAGGAACGCACAAAGGAATGGAGCAACGTCCTGTCGGGGGAAGGAAGAAAAGAATCTACAACGAGAAGCCAACGGCAAAAGGAAGGACGAGGCTGAGAGGCACATGCAGTGAAGACAGTTCAGGGTTTGCAGCAACACGTTATTAACGACTGGCGCTGTTTACTGAGCACCTACTATGCACAGACACGATACAGGAAAAGGGGAATCGGGAATGGGTGCTGGGAACCCTCACCCCCTGCAGGGACGTGGGGATCCAGCCCCTGGGCCAAGAGCCCCCAAGTCTAGGACGCTCTAGGCTCCTGCCAGTCTAGGCTCATGCCCTGCGGTCATGAGTCGGGCCAGGCTGGGCCTTGGGACCACAGATCAAACCCAGTAGCACCAGGCCAGCTGCTGCCTTCAGCAGTCGGAGGGGGGCCTGGGGCTCCCGTGCTCATCAGCCTGACACGGCAGCATGCCCGAGGGTCAGCAGGACCCCAGAGAGCAGGCTGGGAGGTGACCCCGCCCCGCGCCCTGCTTTGAGCCCCTCTCTCTAGCCAGGCCCGAAGCAGGGCCACCCCTGGGCTTCCCTGTTCCTTGAGTCAATAACTTCTCTTTCTAAAGCCAGCAGGAAGCTGGTTTTCTGGTGTTTGCCCCAAGAGGCTACTCTCCAGGCCTGGCAGCTGGGATTTGCACCTGGGTCTGTCTGGCACCATCTGTCTTCTCCGGTGAAGCAGGTTCTTGAGCCAAAGATGATGGGACTCCGAAAGGAGCCGCTGATCCAAGGCTCAGGCGGGCAAGGCAGGGGCCTGGGGCCCGGCGTGGGAGAACGCGGTGGGCGTGAAGAGGGAAGCTGCAGCGGGAGCCCCCCGATAGAAAAGAGGTGTTGGGACCCCAGGACAGACAAGAGGGAACGGGGAGCGCAGGCCGCACTCCTTCCACGCTGCTGCCTCCTCCGACCCCCGACCTTGTCGGTCTGCACTCAGCTCCCGCCTGCTGCCCCGCACTGAGCTGGCGCGGCTGGAGGACAGTGGTGACTGAGGCCCACGCCACCCCATGGGAACTCAGACGCTGTTGAGGAGCAGCGGGACCTGGAATCAGAAGTGACTCGGGACTTCAGCAACAAGGAGGGATGGGTGTGGCTGGCGTGACATTAGGGACAGGGGAGCCCAGAGGTGGCCCAGCCGTCCTGGAAGGGGCCGTCCTGGAAGGGGCTGTCCTAGGAGGCTTCTTGGTGGAGGCCCTCAGCAGAGGATGGCCGCCCCCCCCCCGCCCCCGCAGTCCTCCATCCCAACGGCCCACAGAGTGGCCCCGCATCGTCCCTGAACATGGTGCCCTCCCTCCACAATCCCATCTTTCCTGCAGCAGCCCCCGCGGGTGGCCCCAGGCTCCTCCCTCCTACCCACTCCTCCTCTGTCCTTCGGTCCCTGTCAATTGGAGCAACAGCTTCGTGACACTGTGCCCTGCGTGGAGCCCCTCATTCCGTCCTTAAGTCCATGAGGTGGGCATTATTAATACCTGGCTCGCAGTCTGAGGCTCACACGGGGTGTAGGCTGACTGGCCTGGCCACCTGTCATCCTCCCTGTCTCTCAGACCAGGGCCCCCTGTTTGCTCCCACCGGCCTTGAGATGCACCCCTGCAATCTGCACCTCATCACCCCGAAAAATCCAGCTCCCCAGAAGTCTACAAAGCCCCGGGCAGGCTCCTGCCACACCCCGTGGCGTGCTGAGGTCCCCATCACTGTCCCCGTGGCCAGAGAGCTTCTTGTGGTCCAGGGGTACAAACCAGCGTGTGTGGTCACACCCGCGGGGCAGCGGCAAGGCTTCTTAACTAACTTATTAGGACCCGACACGTGCTGCTTTGCAAAGCAGGTAGACACACCTATTTCGTCTGGTCTTCACAACAACACCCTACAATAGGAATTTAATTTTCTCCATTCACAGGTGAAGAACGGGGATGGGAACCGCGTCCCTGGACACACGTAGCCATCCTGAGGCTAAACCTGCAAGTCCGCACAGCGGGACTCCAGGGAAGCCCCGCCCCAGGCTGCGCGGACTTCGAGCTGGAGCAGCCCCCGGCGCGCGGAGGCAGTGCGCACGCGCGCACGCTCCTCCTTCCAGGCGCTCGGACTACAGCCCCCAGGATGCACCGGGCACGGCGACCTTGCGGAGCCCTTTTCAAACCGGCCAATCGCAGCCCGCGTCGTGCCCGCCGCGCTGTGTTTAAATCTAGGGTGCACAGGCGTGTCGGCCGGGGCTCCGCAGCGGGTAGGGGTTAGAGGTCTCGGGTGGGCTTGGGCCGAGGGCGGCGGGGGTCTTCCCGTGTGTTCCGAGCCCCAGCAGCTCGGCCTAGAGCTGGGAATTCCGTTGTCACCGCCCGGGGCGTTCCGCCCTGGCTCGGACTGGAGGCGCGTGGCCCCGGGGGTTGCGTCGTGTCCCTGTCGGTGCTGCCGCGGCTCACGCTGCTGAGAGTCCCCGGGGTGAGGAACCGGGAGCCTGGGCTCTGACCGCCGGCCCCTCCTTCCCGCAGGGTCTCACTGACAGCGCTGGGCATGGAAGGCGGACACGGCGATGACGGGCCTCCCGCCGGCCGGGCGGGCGAAGCGGCGGTGGAGAGTCCCAAGAAGGATGGTAGGTCCCTGTCACCGCAGCGCCGTTGTTCCTGGAGCTCAGTGAAGATGTCGGTTGATTTCATCCTTCCGTGAGCACGTACCTGTTTATCCCGTGCTCATCCTGTGCTCCGTCCCCGTGGAACTCCTGGTTTGCACGCGTCTGTCTGCAAGGAGTTTGACTGCCCCCCCGCCCCCCGCTTTCTTTTCTGTGGGGTTTTCTCCACTTCCCTCGATGCGCCGCTGCACGTTCCGTCCTGAAAGGGATTCTTACCGCTTTCATTTGCTGCACTAACCCCACGGACGAGACCACCACCTGGCGTTTCTGCGAGCACTCAGGTTATCCGTGGGATTGAATATGATGTTTTCTTCCTGTTTGTTGCTGGGTTCCGTTTACTAACGCTGGTTTAGGATCTTTGCGACCACCTTAGTGAGGAAGCCTAGCTGTCACTTGGCTGTTGTTCTTTCCCTGCCAGGTGTGAGTGTCCAGCTGAGAGCTCAGCCTTCAGAGGAGTTAAGGGCAGTGCCCTCTTTCTGTCAAAGCATTGTGCCATCCTTTCATCCTCCGTTCCTCAACACCCGTGCGAGGCTGGCAGGCTGGGGGTCCAAGCGTCCTGAACACCTCCATTTTGCAGAAACCGCCCTAGAGACCTTGACAGGGGTCACCGATTCTTCGTTGTGCTTGGGGGTACTTGCTGCAGCCGCGCCCCCTCCTTCCTGTTGTAGCCTCCCAGATACCAGTCCCTTCCACGTGCGCGGAACCCCCACTGCTTCTCCTGAGGGCTTCAGCTCTCTGCCGCACTCCCGTAGCACCCTTGCTTCTGCCTGCCTATGAGCTCACCCTGTCATCTCGCTTGTCCCTGTGTCCCCTCCATTGCCTCCTTCAGAACCAGACCTGAAGAGCTCCCTCTGCCTGTTTTGCTATTTGTTCAGGTCCCTCAACCCCGACCAGCCCGTCCTGCCCCCGCCCCTCCGCTCAAGCTGCGTTCCTCAGTCACCAGCGACATCTTTGTTGGCTTCCAAGGCATCGTGGTTTTGCTCTTGCCTGCGTGTCTGCTGTATCGCCACCTCTCTCCAGAGTCCTCCTGCTCTACCATCTTCCGACACTGACCTTCCCCAGGACCTGGTCCGGGTGTCTCTGCTTCTGCGGGGGCTGTCTGATGTTCCCATGGCTTCAAACCCCATTTCCTTTCCGGGGGCGCCCACATTCGGCCTTGAGTGCACACAGCCTCTCCTCTGAGCTTTGCACTTGTGTATACACTGGCCTGTTTGGCACGTCAACCTCAATGTGTCCCCCTCCCACCCCAGTCTTAGCCTGCCCTTCGTCTTTCTCATGGGAGGGACTGGCCCCTCCTGTCACCCGGCCCAGGCCGTGAAGCCGCCACGTTCCTTCAGTCATCAGTTCCTGTCATTTTCACCCTCAGAACGTGCTTTGGATCCACCGGCCTCTTCCACCCCACACAGATGCCGCCACCCTGGTCTCGGCCGCATTACCTCGCTCTGCCTTCTTGTGTCCTTGCACGTGGGCCGGCGCGTGCGTTGGTCATTTTCATGGATCCTGCCCGTCTCCTTCCCACTACAGTCTACGCAGCAGCCCAGGCGACCTTTTAAAACACAAGTTAGGTCTACCACTCGTCGGCTTAAAGCCCTTCAGTAGCTTTCTGGCGCACGTCGGATGAAAGAAACTCTCCTTGCTGTGGCCCGCAAACCCTCCGGGATCCGGCCCAGCCCGTGTGTCCCCCTCCTCTTGCTACTTAGGCCTCTGGCCAGTTCCTCAAGGACCCCATGTTAGTTCCTTCACCCAGGGGTCCCCGAGGCAGCGCCCCCTGAGGGCGCCTGCTGGAGAAGGCGGCGCGTGTTCACCGCCCGAGGTCACTGGGTGCCGGCTGCGGAGCCCGGAGGAGGCGGCTTTGTCCCGACTCCTGGTCAGGGGTTCCCTTTTCCATACCGGACATTTGGGAACTGCCAGAAGTGACCTATATGTTCAACTTCCTGGGCTCAGGCATGTAAACAGTGAAATGTCTGTCTGCTTCTCATTTTTGTCCCTCAGCCACCCAGCTGCCCCTCCAAAGTCCGTCGGTGCCCTCGGTTTCTTGGGTGCTCTTCCAGGCCTTGTCTGTGCGAGGGCGAGCCAGCACGAGTCCGGGCCAGCCGACACCTGCTTTGGATAGAGTCCCCTCTTCGGCACGCGCAGCCCTGTCCTGCGCCTCCATCCTTCCATGCCGCATGCATCTCGGTGATCTTGTGTAGCGACGCGTGAAGCATTGCTCTTTTAGTGTCCCAGTCTGTCCCACGGTGTGGTCGGACTGCCCTTTATGTCCTCTGCCGCGGGCGGGCGTTTGCTTGGAGTCCGGTGCCCTGCAGTGGCAGACGCTGCGGCTGCGGCTGTGAACGTGGGCTCGCTGGGCCGGGGGGGCGGGCGGGCACTGGTTCGGGGGGTGCTGCCTCTTGCCCTCCCTCTCCTCCCCCACAGCCTCGCCCACACTTCACCTGACTTCGATTTTTAATCGTCTGAGGGGTGAGAAATGGAATCTCATGCTGTTTGTTTTCCGCGACCTTATTTTTGAGTGAGGCTGAGCTTCTTGGCATAGACTTAAGAACACTCCATTTCTTTTCCTGTGAATTTCGTCTGTCCATGTTCTTGGTCCATCCTCCCGTTACGGTGTTAAATGTTTTCTTAATGGTTTGTAGGCACCATGTACAAGTCAGCCCTCCGGGAGGCGAGCTGCAAGCGTGCTTTGCCCTGTTCATTGTTTCCTTTAAGTTCGCTCTGAGTGATTTTTGCCGGGCGGAGATTTAAAACTTCTTTATATATTGGACCATCAACCCCTTGATGGCTTCCGGTCGGGCATCATAGACCTCCACACTCCAGGTTGTAAAATAATTTCCCCGTGGTTTATTGTTCTCTTAGAATTTCTTTAAAAAAATTTTTTTTTTCAACTATTGAATTTGTTTTTGGAAGGGGAACAGATGTCTTGTAGTTCGTAAGCAGGGGATTTATCTCCAGGGGAGCGGAGGCAGGTGGTCTTTTGAAGATGTCCTGTGCCGGGAAGTGACTGAGCCGGCCTCGAACAGCTACTGAGTGACGGGCTGAGTGCCCTGTGTCATTAGGAGAAGTGCTTAGGCTTTTAGAACAGCTTCGCAAACACTGAATGCATGGCTGGTGCTATTTTGAAAAGAAAATGGAACAAGTAAGACACTCTGGAGCCCCTCTGAAAATGTGACTATTAAATAACGGTGAGTTGCTCTTCGGGGAGGGAAGGTGCAGAATAGCCCTGACGGAGACTGGCGGTGTCTTTCTGTGTATCAGCCGCAGCCCTAAAATAACGGCAGGCTTTCTCCCCCAGGCCTCCTTCTTCTGGCCGATGAAAAATTTGACTTCGATCTTTCCTTGTCTTCTTTAAGGTAAACAAATGTTTTCTTCCCTTGCCTTGGACGTAACCACACTCAGTAAAATCTTCCACTTAAATGCCAGCGTTACTAATAATCCTTTTGTTTTAAAATAGTGCAAATGAAGACGACGAGGTCTTTTTTGGTCCTGTCGGACACAAAGAAAGGTGTATCGCTGCCAGCTTGGAACTGAATAATCAAAGCCCCGGAGCAAGCCCCGGAGCGAGCCCCTTCCGCTGGAGCCCTCTCACCGGGGAGAAGTTCGTGGAGGTTTATAAAGAGGCTCACTTGCTGGCCTTCCAGCTTGAAAGCCGCAGCCGGGGCAAGGCGGCCCGAGCTGCCGGGCCTGCCGAGGCGGGGAGCCAGGGCGGGGAAACCTTTATACAGGACTCAGAGTTAAAAATGAGCCTGTTTGAGAAAGAAAATAAAGCCCAGAAAAGCCCCAACTCCCTTAAAAGGGAGACGTACTGCCTGTCAGACGGCCCCGTGAGGGGGCCGCTGCCGCTGGCCGTCCAGCCGGCCCCGGGCCTGGGCCCGCAGGGCGCTGCTGCCCCGGCCGACCTCTCCCGGACCCAGGGGCCCCCGCTCTCTTCTCGGCCTCCTTTGCCAGTGGAACCAAGTCCCGACCACCCTGCAAACCAGCCAGCGGCTCAGAAAAAGGTTGTCAGCAAACTGCTGCCACCCCGAGCATCTGTTAGAGGGAAAAGCGTGCACTTGGCCAAGGAGAAGGTGGGCACAGCCTCGCACCCGCCCTTGGTCTCGGGGTGAGAGGCGGCTCCCCGGCCTGTCGGCCTCCCTGGGTTAGCGCCGCCGCCGTGGGGGCAGAGCGTGGAGGCGCGGCCGCGCGAGGGCCCACGGCAGTGGGAGGGTGTGGGGAGCTGGGTTTGGGGTGGGTGTAGGCAGGGTCACCCTGCACATGTAATGACTTAAAAACACCTCCTCCTAAGCGGTGGTTGACATTTTTTCTTTGATTTTGTCACAACATAGGACATTCCACCCATTAAGGATTGCATTTGCCTTAATAACCAACTTCCGAAAATTTCCCGTCCTGGGATAGCCACTTGTCATCCTCCTTAATTGTGACTTAGCTTAGGTGCTGTCCCCGCGGGCGGTAAGCAAGGAGCTGTCCCGCGAAGCGGCAGTGGACAGGTGTCCTGTGGGGCAGGGCCAGCCAGCTCTGGGAAGCTGCGGTCCCGGGGGTGGCGGCGGAGGGCGCAGGGTCGGGGAAGGGGCGTCCGGGGAAGGCTGCTCCCCCGTTTAGCCTGGCTGTGTGCGGGCAGGGCGGGGAGGGGCTGCGGCCTGCCCTGCGCCTTGCCCCGCTCTGCGCCCGGCCGCAGAGCAGCCATGCTTTGTGGGGTCGGTAGCGGTTGAGGTCAGCACAAACGCCCGGCCCCTCGGCCGCACTATGTGGAAATGCACTTTCACGGGAGCGGCTGGGGTGCCTGGGATGAGAAAATAGTGCATGTGGCGGAGGCCGCGCAGAGTCGGGCGCCTCCTGCGGCCTGCTGGGGTCCGCAGTGATGCCACCGCCGCCTGGAGCCCAGCCGGCAGCCCCCGGGGGAGGGGAGCTGCACGACCGCCTGCCCTCCCCTCCCTTCCACACGGCGGCGCGCACCCAAGAGCACCAGGCTCGGTCCCCACAGAACCCGGGCGCCGTGTTCGCGGCAGCATCACTCGCATTGGCCAGCGAGCGGGGACGGCCCAGACGTGGTCAGCCCAGACGTGGTCAGCCCACACAGCGGGGGGCGGGGGGGCGGCACAGAAATGCCGCGCGAGACACCTAGGAGGCCGGCGCCCTGGGGAACGTGGCTCTGTGGGCAGGCCCAGTCACAAAAGGTCCCAAACCGCACGCTTCCCTTTACGTGAAGTGACCATAGCAGGCAAATTAGGGAATGGCCAGTCTGTGGGGGCCTGGGCTGGGAAGTGACCGCTGCTGGCCCTGCGTCTGGGTTAGGGGCCAGAGGAGTGTCGTGAAGTTAGGCTGCGGCGGCTGTCCTGCCGCCCAGGGGACGCGCCCCCGACGGGGCAACCATGAACTCTGTTGTGTCAGGTGCCCCTCGGTTTCTAAAAGCGACGGAAGGGCTAGAGCTACAGCTTCCTCTTCGCGGCTTTAAGAGCTCTTGCTTCCCCCAACCCTGTACGGAGGGGCACCTTGTGCAGTGGGTTAGTCCCAGGCGCGCCCTGGTCCCTGAGTGCCAGGATTCATGACTCGTTTGGCTCTGCTGGCAGAAGGGAAATGGCCCTCGGTGCCTGTGGCGGGGCAGGGTGGGGAGTGTTGCCGCCAAGCAGTCCCCCACAGAGCGGGAACCACTGGCTTGTGCACGATCTGTCTGCACAGCAGTGAAGCTCCATGTGGCCTGGACCAGCTGCCTCATGTCCCCCGTGAATAACAGCCCTGAGGAAGGAGCAACTCCAAGGGCCTGTCTGCGGCGAAGGGCCCGTCTGCTCTGGAGTGATGGCGCCTGCTTGTTAACGGGGCCGCGGAGTCCGTCGCCCATGGTGACTTGGTGGAGGAAGTGACCCGCGGGCCCCCTCGAGCTCGGTGATGGATGGAGAGGCACATGCGGCACTGGGGAGCCCGCCGGCGCCTGCAGTTGCTCTATGTCGAGCCTCAGTGTGTCCGTGCGTCGTCACAGGCCAGCCGGTTCTCACATTTCGATGTCACATTTTTCAGCCTGTGAAAGAGAAAGCAGCGAGTCCTTCCAGGATGAAAGCCCTACCTGAAGAGGAGTCCCACGGGGACAGGCCCCCTGGCATGCCCAGCGCTGCCCAGGGAGCCACCAGCGCGCCAGCCTGCGGGAGCCACCTGGGCCAAGGCATGCGGTCGCTCCCCGTCCCAAACAAGGTGGGTTGGCCTGGGCGGTCGCTGGGCTGTGGCTTGTGAGCGAAGGGAGCAGGGTGGCAGCTTTGTGCAGGCGGGTGTGCGTCACATTGACTTCAGGTCAGGAAGGCTGATGACGTGACCCCTGTGAGGCAGGTTGGAGACACGCGAAGACAGACCTGGCGCGCGTGGCTCTGGCGTCCGCCCCCGGGAGCCACGTGGCTGGGGCAACATGCCCCGTGGGCATGTCTGTGAGTCAGCGACACGGAGGTGCTGCCTGCGGCGATGACGCGGGACAGCCCTCCCCTGAGACCTCAGCTCCGCCTGGGCGTGGGGACCAGCCGCCCACCTCTTTGCCCTTCCCCCTCTGCGTCAGCAGCCAGGCTGCCGGACACTGGGCTCCCGCACCACAGTTGAGCATGCTCGCCAGGTGCTGCGCATGCAGGGCTTTGGGAAATACTGCGTGACCTTCTTCTAGTTCAAGATGATAATTACTAAATTATTTAAAATTATTTCCAAACCCTATTTTTGCAGAAATAAGCGTTGGGTAGATAATGGACTCTTTCCTGATTGTTGACATCCTGTTTCAGTTGGCGCTGAGGAAAACCGCGCTGAAGCCCCCTGGCCGCACGGGCCATCTCCTGAGGAAGCCTGGTGCCCGGGGAGGCGTTGCGGGCAGCAGCTCCAGCACGTCCCCCGCAGCGAGCACAGGTGAGGCGGCCAGACCCGCTGCCCGCGCCCACTCTGGCCGGGCGAGGCCGCGCGTGCTGGCTGTCCCTTGGAGACTGTTTTCTCAGAACCGCTCAGGCCCGGCAGAAGGTTCCAGAAGGCTTGTTGTGGGCTGAGGCAGGGGAGACTGTCAGGGTCGCTGCCATCCAGGCGCCTCCCCACCTGCGGGGAGAGGCCCTCTCAGACGGAGGGGTTCGTTTGGGGGATACAGCAGCCGCACGGGGCGCGTGCTCAGTGCCCAGAACACAGGGGCCGAGACCGGCCGCGGAGATGGGCATGGGCTTGCGAAGCGGCCCTGGTCCAGGGAGCCTAGTGCCCACAAGCCTGTAACTCCTGGGTCGTTCTTTCAACGCCACCCCTGAGCCAAGGCTGCTGTCCAGGGTGAAGGGAAGCCATCCCTGGCTCTCCATCCTGGCTCTCCAGCCAGGGAGGCCTGGCCCTGGCCCTGCTCAGGCTCCGTTTGCTGCGTAGACTCTGGCGCCCGTCCAGGCGCCCGGCGGAGCCTTTGTCCGTGAGTACAAGGCGTGTGCGCTCTGCAGCCAGGCTGGTCTGATCTGGCCTCCTGTGGGGCGCTCGTCTTCACAGGCCGAGGGGGCGGGGCTCCCGGCCACTGTGGGCCTTGGGACTGCGAGGGGTCTGCACAGCCGGCAGGCGGAGCGCGTGAGGCCGTGTGCGCCGGCATGCCTCTCGGCAACCGGGTCTGCCGGGGCCGCAGACCCCACTCAGCTCAGCCTCGAGCGTCCCGGCTCATGCCACGATTGAGGGTATTGCCTGACGGACACACAGAGCATTGTTCATAGTGTCATGTTTTTCTTATATGGAAATCTTCATGTGGATAGTAATAATTTTCCTCACTAGAGAACATTTTGAACATTTGTTTATTTTGAAGATGTGCTAAAGATAGAATATCTTACGTGTGTTTGTTAGATCACTCTGTAGGTTAAAAATCACATAAGCTTGCCCTGGCTGGTGTGACTCAGTAGTTTGACCGCCAGCCTGTGAACCAAAGTGTCGCTCGTTCGATTCTCAGTCAGGGCACATCCTGGGATGCAGACCAGGTCCCCAGCAGGGGGCGCACAAGATGCAATTGCACATTGATGTTTCTCTCCCTCTCTTCCTCCCTTCCTCTCTCTAGAAATAAATAAATAAAAATCTTTAAAAAGAAATCACATAAGCTTGAGTAATCAGGTTTTGTGTGACTCCTCTTCCAGCAAAATCAAGTGGACGTCCAAGTATCTCTGCAGACAGTTGCCAGCCTCCCTTGAACCCCAGCCAGTCCAGACCAGCAGGAGCCACCGCGGCCCAGCCGTCCCCGCAGGTGGGCCCTGCGCCGGTGAGCGGGCAGAGCCAGTGCCCCAGGCGACCCGAGACGCAGGCCGAGCGGCCCGCGGCACCCGCCACGTGGGCTCTTGCCCAGCCCCAGGCGGCAGAGCCGGGAGGCGTGGGGCTGCGCTCTCAGTCCCGCTCCTCCCGGTCTCCTCAGCTGAGTGCAGCGGCGAGCAGCAGGCGCGACTCCCTTCTGCGTTCTGAGACGAAGGTCCTGCCTGCCTCTGCGAGTCAATTTAAAATTCCTAAGTTTCCTACTGGTAAGCAAGAGAGAAGTTGTAATGTGTTTTTAAAATAGTGAGCAAGTTACATTTAAAGTAACTAGTTCTGGTGGCGGTGGCTTCGCGGTGCCCCTTTCCCTGAGCACGCTTTAGGTCCGCCGCGGGCGTGCTCTGGGGGAGGGGCTCTGGCCTCTGGCCACGGCCGCCCCCGCCCCCGCCCCCCGTGTTCCCGTGTTCAGCGTTATGATGGTTTCGGGTTTGGATGTGGCTTCCTATGAGTCATTACACTTGAGGGTTCTTGAGCATCTTTGATCTATAGGTTGATATTTTTGATTAAATCTGGGCAAATGTGGCCATTATTTCTTCAAATATTTTTCTCACGTCCCTGCGTCTCCTGAGACTCTAAGCGCGTGTGCTCCAGGCCCTCGGTGGGGCCCTGGGGGTCGGCTCCGCGCCCTCTGGCCTCGTGCCCACGCCGCCACGACCCTGGGGCCCTGCGCGCTCTCCTTTGCGGGGTGTCTGGGCGGCTGTGACGCCCGTCCCTTCAGTTCTTGCCTCTGTGATGGCTTCCCTGCTTTGTCCCCACGCTCTTTCTGTTTCTCTTAAATGCTTGAACGTGTTTTCAGTGGTGGTTGTAAAGTCCACTCCTTCTCATCCCGTCTTCCCTGTCATTTGGGGTCTGTTCTTACTGATTAATTTTTTCCTGGTTATGGTCATATTTTCCTACTTCTTCACATGTGTAGTAATTTTTTTTTAAAAGATTTTATTTATTTTTACAGAGGGGAAGGGAGGGAGAAAGGGAGAGAAACATCCCTGTGCGGTGGCCTCTCGTGCGCCCCCTGCTGGGGACCTGGCCCACAACCCAGGCCTGTGCCCTGACGGGGAATCCAACCGGCGACCGGTTGGTTCGCAGGCTGGTGCTCAGTCCGCTGAGCCCCACCAACCAGGGCTGCGCAGTAATTTTTTATTGTCCGCTGGACGCTCCAGATTTCACATTTTGGAGCGTCTGGATCCTGCCGCCTTTGAGGAGTTGAGTTCCGCTTCGGCAGGCAGGGGCATTTCAGGCCAGCTCCATCCTGCTGAGGCTTCTTTTCAAGCTTCGGTGCGTGGGGCTCGCGTCGCTGTGGCTCTTGGGCACTCCGGCCCTGCTGCCAACGGGGCCTCTCCGGGCCTCTGCTGAACGCGCTGCGTGCCCCCGCGGTCTCCCGTGGGCCGCCGGGGTGGGAGCGTGTGCCAGCGCGCGCGCATGGCCCTCCCCGCGGCGCTCCGCACGGCGGAGGTGCGGGCCCCCTCGCTGGGCACCAGGCGGAAGGCTCGCGTGACGGAGGCGGGGTGGGGCGGGTCTGGCGAGGGGGAGGAGGGCTCGGCCTCCTCTCCGATGGGTGCGTTCCCAGCGTCTTGACCGCTTTGAAGTTGCCGGCCTTGCTGGTGGGCGTGGGTGGCCTTGACCGCCAGGTCAGGAGGAGCCCTTCTGCTGAGCGTTCCCGCCCGGGCCCTCTGTTCGGCGCGAGGGGTGAAACAGTGAGGCAGCGCCTGCTCTCACGGGGTTTCCGTTTTAATAGTAGAAGGTAGGGCACGAGTGTGCTTTCCGGTCGTGGGGGTGGTGAGGTGGGTGTAAAAGGTGATGTCACGATGCCTGGTGTGCGTTGGGGAGAACGTGGACCGACGGTCCTTCCCTCAGTCGTCAGCGCAGGCTCCTTGCGGGAGGGGACACCGAGCCGCGCTCTGAGCCGTGAGGGGACGGCTCGTGTGGCCTGCACCGTGGGACCCGTGCTCAGCGCGCTCTGGGACCAGCACGAGGCCGGCGGTGGGTCTGGGAGACCCGGCTGAGCGGCCCTCCCGGCGGGGCCAGCGCCGTGCGGTGAGCGGGAGGTCAGCTGCTGGGCCCGCGGGGCAGCCCTCTCGCGGGGACTTGCGGGTGTTTGGCGAGCGAAGAAGTGGCGGCCCATGTCACTTAGAAACAGGAGGGTGGACGCAGAGGAAGGGCCTGGAGGCGCGGTGGGGGGGCGGGGCTGCGGCTTGTCTGGAACCCCTCTGGCAGGACCGGCTTTGAAGAGAAGGGGAGCTGGAGGCGGGGCGGGCCCTGGGCAGCTCCTGACGGAGGTTGTGCTTTGGGAAGGTGTGGGCACGGGTCCGGGGCTGGGGGCGGGGCGTGGGGCCCGGAGCTCCTGCTGCAAAGGGGCCTCAGCACAGCCCCTCCCCCGCCCCCGCCCCATGGGCTGGGGCTCTGGGAACCGTCTCCTCACCCCTGGCCCCGCGAAGGAGCCTGTGCTGCCTGGGGCCGGCCCTGTGGCCTTGGGGGCCCCGGGGGCTCTGCGAGTTGGTTCCGGGGGTGCCAGTGTTGTTTGGGGCTGACTCAGCCCTGCGCCCATCCTCACCACCTTGGGACCAGATGGGACACTCCATGCAGACATGCCCATCAACCACACGCGTCGCCACCGCGATGTGACAATGACGGGACGCCTTACGGGGGCTGCGGGGGCTGCGGGGCTGCCGGGGCGCGTGTGCGCCGCTGCGGGCGAGCGCCCAGTGAGCTCCGGAGCCCGCCGCACCGAGGGGGCCGCGTCTTCGTCCCCCTTCCAGCCCTGCTCTGGCCTGCAGCCAGGCTGCGGGCGGGGGTGGGGGGGGTGGCGAGGCTCCTCCGCCCCGGCGGGCACGCCCTCGGCCCCGCCCCACGGGCCCCGCGCCTGTCCGGGCACCTCCCCTTTCCATGCCCCTTCGCTGTGCCCGGGGGCAGTGGAGGCGGCGAGGGCCCCAGGCGAGGGCGGGACCCCGCCTGACCCGCGTGGGACTGACTGCCCGCTTCCTCTCTCGCCTCAGGTGAAGCCCCAGACAGCGCGACGCCCAGGTCCTCTCGGGCACGGAGGCCGCAGTCCTGCACGTCGGCGGGCAGGTAGTGAGTCCCGTGACTAGAAACAAGCAGACGCGCCTCCTAACTCCTCACAGCCGCCCCCCAGCACGCCCCGCGCCTCTGGCCTTCACCCCAGGCTCGCACCACCACTGTCGCGGCCCCTGCAGTTCTGTGGCCGCAGACCCGCCCCCTGACCCCTCGTGGGCGCCCTGCGAGCCCCCCTCGGAGCTGCGCGCCCGCCCACCCAGCCCTGAGGCGCTGGGCGCTTGCTCTGGGTGCCGCCCAGCGTCTGAGGGAGCCAGAGGCGACGTGTGTCGCTGGTGGAGACCGAGAGCCAGTGTGGTTACTCAGCCTCGGTGTGAGTCCCGGCCTCTCCACTTCCGGGTTCGAGCTGGCAGGAGTTGTCCAGCGTGGCCAGCCCTGTGTCCTCGCACAGGAGTCGCTCAGGCAGACGGCGGCCCCTCCCCGTAACCACCCTCCCCCTCTGCCTGCTGAGATGGGGGGCTGCTCGGGCCGCCATTCCGGCCCCTCTGACAGCCTGGCTCGCTGAGGGCTTGCGCCATGGAGGGACAAGCCCATCCCTGCCCGGTCCCTTCCCATCCACTGCGGGGGGCCAGGCACCCGTGCGTGGCTGAGGTGGGCTGCTTCTTTGGACCGTGCAGGGTGTGATGGGTGAGGCAGCGCCGGGCACAGACCCCAGAACCGAGCCCGAGCCCGGGCTCTGCCTGGCCGGTGCCACCGTCCGCGCGTCTCTCTGGGCCCCTGGGCTTGCACTGACTCGTGTGTGAACTCAGAGGTGCTGGGTGGGTTTGGACCAGGCGCCTTCCCTTAAAGCGTCACCACACTGGGGCCCCTCCCGTCCAGCATGGGTGGGGGAGCCGGACCCCCGACCAGGCAGCTTGACTGCCTCCATGTGCCCCAGGCAACGAGGACAACCAGGGGCGTCTGACCTCCCAGGGCTGCCCCGAGGAGCTGTGTGGTGGCTTCCTGGTCTTCCCGGGGGGTGGGGTGGGGGGCTGGGCTGCCGGTGCAGCACCGGGGGTCGCAGGGCAGATGCCAGGCCTCGGGGGGAGCACGGCCTCGCTCCCGAGCCCCTCCCAGAGCGGTCCTGTCAGTTCTCGCTCAGGTCTGTTTCCAGACCCCGTGAAGAGCATAAAGACTGTCCTTGACAGGCGACAGACCGCAGCTGCGGCATCCCCAGACACCCCCGTGTGGCAGGACGTCCCAGACTTGCTTTATTCAAAGATGATTCCCGAGTGGACGCCAGCAGCGAGGCCGGTCCCAGTCGCGGAAGCCGCAGGCACTGACAGGGTGGCGCGGGGCACTGGGTGGCAGGCGGGCGCTGGTTCCCGGTCGGCTCCAGTGGCCTGTAGCCTGGGAGTGACACCTGCGTGTCCACCCGCGTGCCCAGCTGGCCCCCACTGTGCGTCAGGGTGTCCCTGCGGGGAGACCTGTGCCAGCCCGTGACTTGGGTCTCTCCTGAACCTCCCGTGAAGTGTGTTTTGGAAGCACCTGTAAAGGGCGGTCGCACTGAGGGGCACCTGTGAGGACAGAGGCGGGGCCTTGGCGAGGAGGGACCAGAGGCGCAGGCTGGGGCCGGGGGCGCAGCCCGTGCCGCCTCCGCTGGCTGGAGGCCTTTCCGTGGGAGCTGGAGGGCCTGCGGCTGCACGTGCACACTGGCTGAGCGACCAGGTGCGTTTAAGGTCGCTGTGCCTGAGGCTCCACGTTGTCTTTCCAGGGCTGTGGTCCACGGCACTCCTGCTCGGCATGCCTCGGGGCCGGCCGCCAGGACCCCCGTGAGTGCGCAGCACGTGGCCGCCCTGCCCACGCCTGCCGGCCGTCGGCTCTCGGCCCTTCCGGTGCTGACCCCGAGGACCCTGCCCAGGACTCTGGCTGCTCCCCCATGTGGGTCTGCTCGGCGACTTTCTTCTGAGCCCCGGAATAGACCCTCAGCGAGGTGAGAGGGGAAGGCCGCGGCAAGTCCACCCGACTCGGGGAGCCGCCAGTGGCCGCCGGTCAGGAAGGCTGCCTGTCCGTGCACAGGCGCCGGTCAGCATTCAGGGTCCCTCCTGCCAGGGAAGTGCTCACTGTAGAAGCCAGGTGGCAGCTCTCCAGGGTCGCGGTGCCCCCGCTGACCGGCGAGTGTGGGGAGGTGTCCGGAGCCCTGCTGGGAGGAACCGGATCGCAGGGCTCTGCTCAGAAAGCCCTTTATCGACACCTGTTCAAATCCAGCCGCACTTACCTCTGCCCCAGCGATCCTGCCCCCGAGTGAGACCGCAGGCCAGGCAGCCATGCTGGGGGCCGCAGAGGGCTCCAGGGCAGAGATCAGCTGCCCTCGGGAAAGGCCTGAGTTAGGCAGGCGTGGCTGGGGGTGGGGGCGGGGGCGGGGGCGGGGGGGGGGGCATTTCCATGGGAACCCTTGGGAGAGAAAGGACGCGGAAGAGGGTGTGGAACGGGATCGCGTTTCCATAAACACTGGCTGAGAAGACAGTCCTGAGAGTGAAGGCGCACACAGCCACCGGCAGCAGGGGCGGCGCGTCCCACGCCTGTCCCTCTACATGTGTGTATCTGTGTGGTCCCACGGGAACAGAGAAGAGGGAAGGAAAGTGCGAGCGCGCGCGTTACGGGGAGGGAGCGGTGGGCAGGAAGGCGGGCGGCTGCCCCCACGCCAGCGAGACCCAGTCTGTAAGCAGCCACAACGATCGCTTTAGGTGCATTGTTTTTAAATGTAATAGAGGAAAAATTCTTTTCCAGGTTGTTATAAAGCCCTTAAAATATTAAAAAGAAAACGCAGTGTTTTAATTTTGGAAATGGCTGCTGTCCTTGGCTTCGTCATGTGATTGGGTTTCACGGCAGCGGGGGGCGGGGGCGGGCAGGGTTGGAGGGCCTGCTGGGCGTGGGCCGTGTCCTGGGCCGGGAGACTGCGGGTGGGCCAGCACCCACTGCGCTGTCTAGCACGAAACAGTCACCAAAGGGTCATCTGTGCAGGAACAGGGGAGTCACGGGGAGGCCCCAGTGCGGCATATGTGGCCAGGGAGCCCACACCGGCCCGGGCGCCAGGCCAGCCCCAGAGGCAGCGCAGGCAGACTGCCCGCGTGCTCGGTGCTGGAGGGCGGGCGTGGAGGCACTGGGAGGCGGGGGCTGCAGGGCCACCGTGCAGGGTGGGGGCCAGCTCCTCTCCTCCTGTTTAATAACCTGAGCAGAAGGGAAGGAAGTGGGCGTGTGTTGAGAGCAAACAGGCAGAACTTCAGAGCCTACGTGACCTCAGAAATCAATCCTGACAGAGCAGCAACCAGAGCCATAGCTGTCCACTGGGGTCCCTCCTCCAGGGCCACCTTGCGGCCTGCACACTGGCCTCCCCGGAAACTTCTCACGACCTTTTCTTCCTCCCTGCAGGACCGCCCCGGTGAGCGGGTGCTGGGACGAGCCATCTGACCCGAGTCCTCCTCTGGCGGCTGTGCCGCGGGCCCTCAGCTTCTCCCCAGAGAAGAGTGGCTTCGCCTTTGCTACGAGCGTCACCGAGGCACCAGCGCTGGACGAGCCACAGCCCGCTGGACATGCGGCCCCGGCCGAGGTAAAGGAAACCGGTGCCTTTCCTGGTGTCCCGGGATTGGCACGCCTGCCTGGAAGCCAAGCGGTAGCTCAGGAGGCGGCTGGCTGAGCCGCCCTGGCAGGAGAAGAGGGCCACACCTCTGCTCCTGTGACCCTGGAGGGCCAGGCTCTAAGGACGATGACAGGGAAGCGGGGGGCAGGGGGCAGGGGGTTGCCCGTGGGTGTTCCTGTGCTGGCCGGGGGCGGGTGCCCGGGCAGTGGGGGGGGCAGCCGGCTTTCCCCAGCAGAGGCCTGTCCCACCCTTCCTTGGTTTTCCAAACTGCTCGCCACTGGGACGTGGCACACGAGGGACAGAAAGGTGTGAGGCTCACTTTTAACCCTTGTGCCCCATCCAGGCTCTGCTGCTGGACCTCCCTCTGGACGAGCTGTGCATCGCCCCTGCCGCTGGGGGCCTCCCGCTCGTCCACGCCCCGCTCGTCGACCTCCCTCTCATCGACCTCTGCAGCCCCCCGGGAGCGGGTGCACCTCCGGGGCCCGCAGGCCGACCTCTGATCGACCTCGGGGTCAATACCCCAGACACAGACAGAAGCACTGCGGCCCTGCCGCCCCACGACGTGGGACAGGTGAGGCGCCGCCCGAGGGCCGTGGGCTCCAGCCTCGGGCGTCTCGGTGCTGGGTTTGCTCCTTGGTGCCTGGACTTCCCGGTGACCCAGGAGGGTGGCCTTTGAGGCTTCTAAGGGCCACGTGTGTCCGGACACACCTCACCTTCGGTGGCGAGAGCTCAGACTTCCAGTCCCACCGAGGAACCCTGGGATCCTGGGAGCTCCCTGAGGGCGGGGGCCGCGTGTCCGCCCCGGGGTCCCTGGTGCCTCCTGCGTGGCCGCGTGAGGGACCGAGGGCGTGTCCGTGGGTGGCGGTTCCCCTCGAGTGCGCCCTGAGCCGTGGCGGGGGGCTCCCGGCAGCCCAGGCGCCAGCGCTCGCAGGCGGGAAGGGTGCCCTGCTCACTGCCCGCCGTGTCTCTCCGCAGCTGATAGACCTGTGTTCCCCCCTGATCCAGCTGAGCCCCGAGGCCAACAAGGAGAATGTGGATTCGCCACTTCTCAAGTTCTGAGCGCAGGGGGACCTCTGCCGGCGGCGCTCTGTGACGAGCACAGTCCATCCCAAGGTGGCACTCAACCCGCAGGAATGAATTTTAGGAGAAACTGTATCGGAAACACCCACGTAAAATGGCTGTGCTTGGGCGGGGGAGGCCGGGGGAGCGGGTGCTGCTGTCCAGCCTCCGTGCTCATGCCCCTCGCGGCGCTGGCTGCAAATCGGAAGTCCCCATGCAAGGAGCTCTGTTTTGAAAACTTTTTATGTAAAATAGCAAGTGACTACTTTAAAAACTAAGTTTGTACGAAAAGTTAAATATTCTAGATTTAAGTTAAATTGTAAAGTAAAATATATTAAAGCATATCTTGGTTTTCAAATATACGTAGCTGTTTTTATCAGTCTAATCAGTAGGCGAGATTTATATTCTCAAACTTCACAATTTAGGGTGGCTGTCACTGGGGGCCTTGAGGACAGGACACTGGGCGAAGTGTCAGACAGCGAAAGAGAACAACCCTGTGACCCCCTGCACCTGCGGAATCTCAGAAGAACGTGCAGGGAATGGGCCGCCTGAGGCGGGCGATGGGGTGGGGAAGTGGGCGAAGATGGTCGAAAGGTACACACTTGAATCATTTTTTTAAAGTCATGGGGATGTAATTTTTTAAAATTACAGAGCGTGAACAAAAGCGGGTTGAAGTGTAGACCCAGGCCTGGGGCGGGCTGGGCGCTCTGCACTGCCAGTGGGCGCCCAGGTGGCTCGGTGGCGCAGCCACAGGCCTGCGCGGAGGCTGCTGGGGTGGGGGCGGGTGCCCGGAGGGGGCACCGCGGGCTGTGCTCCAGCAGGACGGTTCCTAAGCCAGCGGCCTGGAAGGCGCATCTGTGCGCACCGCCCTGTTCTCTGAGGCAGTCTCCTGGACACAAAAGCGGCTGATTGGATCCCTTCTGGGCCACCGCCTGGCCTTCCGGCAGGAGGCCTGAGACCCTGGGTCCCCAAGGGCTGAGGGGCTGCTGGTTTCTGGGAGTGAGTCACCACCGGGAGCAGTGGCTCCGTGGTCTCAAGAGCAGGAGAGCGACGGGCCTCATGGATGGCCTTGCTGCGCCTGGGGACGCTTCCTTACCTAGGAGACGCGGGGGCATGTGTTCCTAAGTGCCGTTGCCGTAATTTTGCAGTCAGATCAAAGCAGGCCCGCTCGCTGGGGGAAGCCGCCCCGGCTGGGCTGGAGTCGAGAGCTGCGGGCAGCACGCCAGCCCCTCTGCTCCCTTCACCCCTACAGTCCTGTGCGCCACGGGGTCGTCAGAGGCCTGGCCCTCACTCAGTTCATGGGAGGAAAACCGAACCCCGGAACAGAGTCACTCAACAAACGTGCACGGAGACTCCGTGGGGGGCGCTGAGGTGCAGAGCTCAGGCACCCTACTGCTGGGGGCTGCCATTTTGTGGAAGGGGGGGTCCAATGGGGCTCTGGCTGCCCTGTGTCCTGTCCACACGGGGGCTGAGTGGCACCTGTGGCCTTGATGCCCCCTGGCTCTCTGCTTCCGCTGCCCCCCGCGCCCCCGCCAGGCAGCCAGGCCCCTCGGGGCCCAGGCACTTCTTCCATCCAATCTGCAAGCGTCCCCAGGCAGGACAGAAGTAGTTGCATTTTAGTTCTCTTCAAACAGGTGGGAGAAGGCCCCCAAGAGCCAGAGAGAGGGCAGGTCCCTGCCCCACCCTGGCCGGGTCTCTGGCTGGCCTGCTGCTGAGGCCGCTCACCCCCGAGCTCCTTCCCTGTCCTGACTCCTGAGCCCCGACCCCCCCACCCCCCGCATCCCATGGGAGGAACCACACAGGCAACCAGAGAGGAGCGCTCCCTCAGCTCTGCGGTGGGCGGCCACTTTGTGCGACAGTGGGCATGCCCTTGGCCCCCCCCCCACCCCGGAGGGCTGCCCTCCCGGGATTAAGAGGGCCGGCTTCACATGGCTTTTACACTTCACAGGTTTCCTGGTGCACGTGTCCTTAGGTTCACGTCTCTGAAGTCCTCACAGCTCACATTGTTGTAGGCAGGTGGCACTGGCGTGTTGTTATTTTTGCCAGACCTGGATTTTACAGGTTGGTTAAAGACTGGGAGCTACAAAGTAGCTAAAATATCACTTAACTGAAAAGCAGCAGAAACTATGTTGCCAGCATACCATGATTCCTCCCCTCTGTGGGTGGCTTGCTGCTTACCTAAGCCCAAACCCCTTTGCGGGGGCAGAAACCAGACTTGCCCTAACCTTGTACCAAACTGCCCTTCCAGGACGGACGTGGTCCTCTAGGCCGGGCCAAAAACCCAGTGACATGGCCACGGCCACAGACTCACCTTGACCGTTCGCCCCCACGTCTGCCGAAGGTTGGGTGCCTGGATGCTGGGCTTACTCATCTCTCGGGGAAACGCAAGATGAAATTGCCTCCCTTGCTGAACATTTTCCTGAAACCTCTCTTATTCTTCTGAAAAAGTCACTCCTCTGTTTCCCACAGGGGCCTGGCCACCGTCCTTCCTACCCTGGAGCTCACCAGCGCCTGCCCTCGCACCAGAGGCGGCTGCTGTCCGGGTGTCAGTTCTTACAAATGGGGTTCCGGGGTCTTGCTCATTTTCTTCTAGACGCTTGAAACTATTCCTGTTCTCAAGAAAACGGCAGTCTTAGTACTTAGCCACGTGCAAATTCTTATGTCCGCTGGGGACCTTATAGGTTGTTGAGGAACTGACGTGATTTTTCTTTTTTCAAGATTTTATTTATTTTTAGAGGGAGGGAAAGGGAGGGAGAAACATCAGTGTGTGGTTGCCTCTCACGTGTCCCCGACTGAGGACCTGGCCCACAACCCAGGCCTGTGCCCTGACTGGCAACTGAACTAGCGACCCTTTGGTTCTCAGGCCAGTGCTCCATCTACTGAGACATGCCAGCCAGGGCTGATGTGATTTTATGCCAAGCTTTGGGGCTGGTCTCTTGTGCCATTTACTCCCTGCATTTTCCAAACCGTAGTTCAAACCCTACCTGAAATCAATTGAGTGGACTGAACCTGCACGTCTGAAAAAGAAAAAAGAATAAAGTAAAAAATAAGATTGCAAGGGTAAGAACTGTTGTGAGGTGCATCCTTTTTTATACGTATGCGTGCAGGCAGCTGTGCATCCTGGGCCACCCTAAAAACTGTGCCATGGTGGTGAAGTCAGGAAAATCACTTAAGGAAAGAATGCCCGTGTTTTGCACACGAAGGCTGGTCCTTCCAGTGCCAAACCAAATCGCACAGTCCCGAGTCCAGCAGCGCTCTTGGTCTGAGCTGTGCCGTCGCCCCCAACCCCACCCGCACGCTACAGCGATGGCCACCTCTCGCTGGTCCGGCCGTTGCTGGACCTGCTCTGCTCTGCCCAGGTCTCCTATCAGGCCGCTGACTTCACTCTCATTTGCACGTACTCCTGCACTCTCTTCGCATAGACCCAGCAAGTGTTTCCATGTTCTGCCGTTTCCATCATCCAAACTCTCCCAGCGCGCATCACCCCCTTTCACTCGGGGACAGCCACATCTCCAGTAGGGGGCCCCCAAGACACCTGGGACGCTGGAGCGGGCCTGGCAGGCGCTTCCTCCCGGGCTACCATCCCCCAGACAGAGACGGCAAGCCCCCCATCCTCTTTTTTACCCCCGCATGCCCCCTTCCACCAGCAAGGGCTATAGAGGTTTACCTCCAAGTCCCTGTCTGTGTTCCCCGTTCCCAGAGGGGTGGCTGCCATGGCCTCCTGTCCACAGGGCAGCCACAAAAACCTTCCTAACATTTAAATGTGCTCATCTCATTCACCTGCTTGAAGGCTCGCCCCGCCCCAGAGGCCCAGGGCCTTTGGTCACAGCGAGCCCCCGTCTGTTCTTCTCCCCTCCCAGAGGGACCCTGGTCCACACCTTCCTTCCCTCGAGGGGGTGGCGACGTCAGGTCTTCCCTTCTCTTATGCCTCCTTAGGAAGGGACAGGCAGACATACACCCAAGTCAGTAGTCAATGTTAGGCAGGGATGCCCGTCCAAGAGCGGGGTGTGGGCGTGGGCGTGGACGGAGGAGGGGACTCAGGAAAGGAAGCCCGGGAAAAGCCGGCTTGAGGAACGCGACAGGATTATCACACGTTTCCGGCCGGCCCCGTCCGCCGAGCGCCGCGGAGGGGGCGGGACTTCCGGCGCGGCGCGGAAGCGGCAGTGGATGGGGGCAAAGTCGCCGGCGCGCGGATGCTGGCGGCGCGGCACGTCGTGTGCGCCCTGTCCGGCGGCGTGGACAGCGCCGTGGCCGCGCTGCTGCTTAGGCGCAGAGGTGAGGCGGCGCCGTCTCGAGAGCCCCGCGCTCCTCATGCTCCCCCTGGCGCTCGGGGCGTGCGTGGCTCAGTCCCTGCTGCCCAGGAGCCGTGAGGCCGCCACTCCGGCCGCCGACGCCGCGGGCAGTGAAGCGCCGACAGCGGGGCCGCGCCCGCGCAAGGCTGCTGGACCCCAGGCGGTGCGCCGCGCCGCGTGGATGGCGGCGGCGTAGCACGTGACCCAGGAGTTTGCGCGCAGGCGCCCCGTGGTTGTCCTTGTCCTGCCGACCGAGTGCGGCAGCACCCCGACGGGCCGCCTGCGCCCTGAATGTCATCTGTCTTCGCCGTTCGGCGGCCGGCAGAGTTTTCCTGGAAAGCACCAGCGTTTCGTGCAGATGTGTACAAGGGGGCAGGGGCGGGAGCCGAGGCCCCATCCATCTAAGCGCTCCGTCCGCGGGATCCTCTTCCCGGGAGGCGGCGTCCGCTGGGTGGCAGTGGCGCAGCCTGTGCCGCGAACCTCCTGAGGCGCTGGGCTCGCGGAATGCAGGGCCGGCTCCCTGTGAGATGGGGACAGCACCCGCCTCACAGAATTACCTGAAACTGGAAGGTTGAAGTGACGTCATACCCCCCAAGGGTTCTCCCAGAGTCCAGCACCTGTTAGGCAGAGAACGGGAGTGGCTGATAGTATCTGTCATTAACAACTGTAGCTTTTTTTATGAGAGGCACAATAACCTAAAAATGCTAAATTGATTAGAGGCAAACAGCGTTTCTAATCGCGAGACGAGGAATGAAAGCAGCACAGAGGTAGACTTGAAAGACGAGTCGCCCAGCAGAGCATTGCAGGCGCTCCCGGGGCAACGCGAACACGAGCACCTGCGGGAGCGTGTGGGCGGGTCTGGCCCGAGGCGGGGGAGGAGCAAGCTGAGCCCCGATTATGGAGGGTGTTCCACTGTTGCTTTGCATTCAGGGAGAGGGGGGCACCGATGTGAGAGAAGCCTCGATTGCTTGCCTCCCACACTCAACCCACCGGGCAGGGATCCTGGCTCCCAGATGGGGATAGAGGATCGAATCTGCAACTTGTCGGTTATGGGATGACACTCCAGCCAACTGAGCCACACCGGCGAGGGCCAAGAGTGGATTTTGAAGTGCTGTGTGTGGAGTTATTCATCGTACAAGCGCGTTAAGCTCCTGTTCTGTGCTGGGCGCTGGGGATGCAGGGCTCTGAGGAGCAGGGTCTGGTGCGTGGGAAGCAGAGGGGAGGAGGGCCTGATGCCCAGCAGGGAAGGGGTGGCCTTGCAGATGGGGCCTTTTAATTTCGGCAAAGCTTTGTGGTGGAATCTGTGTCCCTTGGAGTGCTGTGTTAAACCTCTTATAGTGTAATGCACTACGCTGAGGTGCTCAAAAGAAACATTTCTCACACGGGTAGGTGCTGTGGAGTTCACGAAGATAGTGCAAGGCTAAAGCTGGTTTTGCCAGTATTTGGTCGGGTAGTTTTCACACCGGAAAAGGGAAAAAATAGGTCGTAAAATATACATAGGTAGTACAACCCTTACAATGATATGGTCAGAATTTTAATTGTCTTCATGTCTGAGGACTTAGATGCTAAATCTTAGATGGTGTTTGGAAATAATTTTCAAATGAGTTCACTCCTCTGAAAGCTGAAAGGTGGTTTTATTTGCTTTGAAACATTGTATTGAATTTCTCCTCTGGCTCACTCTGCCTGAAGGGTGCGAAACAGTGCATCTTGCTCCGCTGCTGGAGACACAGGCCCACAGTTTCAGTGCAGCAGAGTATTTTGCAGAGAGGCCTGCAAGGCGCTGCAGGAGTGGAGGGCAGGGAGCACCTAGCCTGGCGGGGAGTGTCCGGCGTGGCTCACATGGGGGCGAGAATCAGCTCTGAAGGCCGAATGGGGACTGCCCGGCGCAGCAGGGCGTGGGCACAAGGTCTCATACACGGCTGCCGGTTCCCCGAGACTCATTTTACACGTTGGCTTTAAGTTGTCCTTTCTCCCTCCCTCAGGTTACCAGGTGACAGGGGTGTTTATGAAGAACTGGGACTCGCTGGAGGAGCAAGGAGTTTGCACCGCGGACAAAGACTGCGAAGATGCGTATAGAGTCTGCCAGATCTTGGACATCCCCTTCCACCACGTGTCCTACGTGAAGGAGTACTGGAACGACGTGTTCAGGTGAGTGAGGGCGCCCGGGCCCTGTCCACGCGGGGGTCTCCGTGGCCAGGGGCCTGACGGGCAGCGGCGCCAGAGCACGGGCAGGAGGCCGCAGCCGCCCTCCGGAGCTCTGCTGAGGCCAGGCCTGGCTGCCGCGGCGCCCCGGCTCTTATTCCCAGTACTACCGCCTGCCGGGAGTCTGTCCTGATGCCTCCTGAGCCTTGAGACGCGTCTGCTGCTAGATCGGTGCAGGGAGCGGAGTCCAAGGGTTCCCCTGGGAGGCGCCACTAGGTAGGGCTCTGTGCCCGTGCAGGCTGGTGATGGGGGGGGTTCTGAGCACAAGAGTTAGCAACCCCCTCCCCTGTGCCCTCGGAACACGAGGGAAAACTCGCGCACACAGACGTTAAACATCCAACGGAGCCGCGACAGCACTAAGCGCTTACCCTGCACCAGACACAGCACTGCACCGGGGACGGAGGCGTGTGAACCTTGGCCCCGTTCTGTGACGGATCTGCAGGCTGGTTTGGAGGAGGAGATTATCTTCATACGAGGAGGGGGGAGCGGCAAAGCGGAGGACCAGGGGGTCTGTCGAAGAGCTGCGGCTTCCGCGGAGGGGGAGGTGTGTCGTGGAGAGCGGTCTGGAGGCTGAGCGGAGCAGTCAGGCTTGCCCTGCCCTTGAAGTGGCCCAGGAGTAGAGGAGACATCGCAGGGCGGGGGGGGCACAAGTAGTGGCAGAGAGAAACGCCTGCTCTCTGTCCCAGGACTGTTGGGAAACACGGCCGGGCCTCGTCGCCGAGAGGAAGGGCGCCGAGCCTGGGTCGCCAGGTGCCAGGATGGCCTCCGAGGGGCAGCGAGGTGCGCAGTGCCGGGTTAGGCTTTCGGGTCGGACAGTCCCGGGGTTCAGTCCTGGTTCTGCCACCTACTGTGTGACCCTGGGTGACTTGTGTGACTTTTCTAAGCCTCAGTGTTCTCATCCTTTAAGTGGGGACAGTGCCTTCTGAGGTTGTTCTAAGACTTAAATGAGAACGTGAGCTCCTCACACAGCGTCTGGTACAGGACTAAGGAATAACTGTGGCTTTTGTTGTTTCCGTGACTAAGAGGACGGGCCTGGCAGCCGAGTGCAGCAGAAGCAGGCGGCAGGGAGGCTAAGGCGGCGCGGCTGCTGGGGACCTGCAGCAGCGTGGGGTGTGGGTGGCAGGGCGGTGAGGACCGGCTGGGACAGGTCCCGGAGGGCAGATCTGCGGGCAGTGCGTGTCAGGCCAAGGGGTCGGTTGAGGGCCGCTCGTAGCTGGACCCGCACTTACGGAGCGCCTCGGGGTCCTGGTGGCGGGAGCCCCTGGGCCTCCCTGCGGGAAACCGTGAGGCGGGGCTTTGTTCCTGAGCGTAGCACGCACGAGAGGGAGCGGGGGGCGGGGGCGGTGATGCGTCACAACCAAGCCCGGGTGGTTGGGGACAGCTGGCTGGGGGATTCCCTAGAGCGCTGCCGGGCCTGGGGTGGTAGCCAGAAGTGGGGGTGAGTCTAAACTTCATCGCTGTGCTTTGAAGGCATGTAGCACATGTGGATTTTTGGAGGCTAACTCCCTTCTGCCTGAGGCTGGGCAGGTAGAGTGGCTCATCCCGAGTCCTTGGCAGGTCAGGAGCAGTTCTTGCTTTGAGCCCAGGTGTCCCAGCGTGTTGTCCTCACTGTCCCTGCACTGAGCCCTGGCAGGCCGGGAGGGAGCCCGGTAGAGTGTTGAGCTCGCCTCTGCGCGCTGCCTCGGAGCCCGCGGGCTCTGACCTCTGACTGGCTGCCCTGTCCCCCTCGTCCCGCTGCCTGTGAGCGTGGTTGTGACTGCGCTCAGGGGTCTGTGGCTCTGCTCCGAACGCGCACGGCTCTGAGAGCGCTCTCGGGCACAGACCCCCTGACCCTGTCATTGGAGCCCCTTGGCCTCCACGGGTCTGAGGCCCGGCGTTCCTGCCCATTGCCTTCTCCCTCGCAAGTGCAGCTGAGGCTCCTCTGCTGCGCCGGGCAGCTGCCAGCTGACGCGTCTGTCCTTGTGCCTTTGAGGAAACGGGTCCCCCGCGTGCTTTTCATGAATAATGTAAATGTTCAGCCTCTTCAGCGTCCGCTCAGTGCTGTTATGTCGACAAAGTTTGGGGGAATGTGGACAATCAGAGAGAGCAAAACAGGGGCGCTGCCTAACGTAGCTCACAGTGTAATGGCAGCTTTCTGACAATCAGAACACGGAAATAGTGTCTGTCATGTGTTGTTGACTATAGGAAACACCGGGAAGACGCAGAGGCCTGTGGCCCGGTCGGTCTCCACCTCGAGCCCATGCTGCAGCTTCCTGATCAGCGCTGTTGTTGTTTTTTTTTACCCTCATTGATCAATGGAGAGCTTTAGTTTCAGTGAAAAATATGATCGCGTATGTTAGAAATACACGCAGTTTATGTATTTGAATACTCTAAGACTGTGACCGCCTTGCTCAGCCTACCTTCTCCCGTGCCCAGCCATTCCCGTGGCGCAGAGACCCGCCCAGTCAGGGCGCCCCACCCGTCGTAAGCTTCAGGTGGGTGCTGGTCATCAGGAGCCTGTGTGGTCACATCAGGAAAGTGACCTGGGCTCCCAGGCTGAGATCCTGGACTGGCTGGCAGAGCCCCTGCGGAGGTCCCGTGGAAACCCTGCGCAGACGCGCTGGCCCCCGTGGAGGAGGAGCCAGGAGGCAGGCGGGCGTGCATTCCCTCCCCCGCCCCCCGCCCCGCCCGCGCGTGAGCTGCAGAGTCACGGACACAGGCCACAGGTCGGGAGGCCGTCTTTATATTCCGGGTGTGCGGGTTATCAGAGGCTCAGGCGGGAGGCACAGCCGGCCTTAAGCAAATGTGTGATGGAACCACCGACAGCCGCGGGCACCGGAGCTCTCCTGTGCTGTGCAGAACTATAGTTTTGGCGAGGCAAGGAGATACACTAAACAGCGAGTTTTTTACTTCATGTATTTTTTGAGGATGCTTTCACACTTAGCAGTGAAAAGTGTTTTTCTTTTCTTCCAGTGATTTTCTAAATGAATACGAGAAAGGAAGGACTCCCAACCCAGACATCATCTGCAACAAGCATATCAAATTCAGGTGTTTTTTCAGTTACGCTCTGAATAATCTTGGTGAGTAGTTTGGGTTATCTTCTCCTGTTTTTTAATAAAAGGCATAAGATTTTCAGACATAGACCAGAATCCAAAAGCTTGTAAACAATTTCATCTTCCAGAAGGAAGGAAGCAGTGAAAATGATAGTATTCTGTGTTTCCCTGAACTAAAAAACTTCCTGGTGACGTACAAATGCAGGATCGCGGGGAGGGACCACGCAGGTAGAAGGGGACAGCGCAGGCCGTTGGGGAGGACCTGCCTCACAGAGGCCCGCGGAGGGCATCTGGGCCCCTGGCCGGGGCCGAGAGGGGCCCCACCGTCCCCAGGGTCGGCCTTGGCGGGGCAGCTCCCGCTCCGGAGGGGCCGCCGTGAGCGGGAGCCGTAGGGGCCTGCCAGAGAAGCTCGGCCCGCGGCGCCTCGCGGCCCCCGCTCCTTGCCATCCCCCCGTCCGCTGGTCCTGCTGAGGCCGTCCTCGCTTCCCACGGGGCCCGCTCTTCCCTGAGGGCGGGCCCGTGCCTGCCCGACCCCGACCCTGGCTCTCCGTGCTGCTGCTCTGGTCTGAGCCCGCGTCTTAGCGGCCTGCTCTGGAAGTCCACCGTGCGGTCAGGCGCTGCCGCCGCGGGCGGCGTGCCCGAGGTGTTGTCCCTGAGCTGCTGCGATCCCGTGTCCATCGGCCCGTCGGGACCCCCGTCCTTGATGTGGCCCCTTCCTGACGCCGACTTGCTCAGACTGCCTTTTGGTGCCTGTTGCTGCACTGTTAGGGACTCCAGGTTCCTCGTCCTGTCTCCTGCCGTTGGGGGCGCCGTAAGAGCCCCCAGAGTTCTGATGCTGGCCTTGCATTTTGTTCTGTCCCGTCGCTGTCCCCCCGCCATGTCTGGCGCAGGGCTGTTGGCACCTCCGTGCTGTGAGTGCCTGCGCGGCTGAGGTGGGGACGGAAGGCTTGCAGGAGGCCTGCAGCCGAGGGAATGACGGCGGAGAGTCAGTTCCTGGAGTCAGGTCGTGAAAAAACGCCCACAAACACAAAGAATAAAAGGGTCCTAACAAACCTGAATGTTGGACTAACTTCTGAAACACGAACCTGAGCCGAGGTCAGCGCTGCATAGATTCATTCTGTCCTCGATGTCCCTGGCACAGGACCGGGGTGAGCTCTGGGGCCACGAGCTGCCGGGGCTGCGTGCTGCCGTGAGCCCGGGTCTGCGCCCGCCGTCCGAGCCCCCGCGGCCTGAGGTGGCCCTGGGACCACAGAACGTCCGGGGAGAGGGCTCTGCTGTGGTCTGCCCTGGGCCGGCCACGCCTGGGGGGCTACGTTTGGTCCCGGTGGGTTCGGGAAGGAGCGACGGGCTCAGGGATTGTCAGTTGAGTGTGATTTGAGTGACGGCACGGAGCCGTCTGGGGCACGGTGGGGGCGCTGGGGGCCATCACAGCGAAGCCCAAGTGTGACTCAGGGCTGCGGCCCAGCCCCGCAGAAGAGAGCTCGCGCCGGCTGGCATAGCCAGCCCGCTGGGGGGGGGGGCGCCTCGGGGAGCGCGCGTGCGGTCGCCCTGGCAGAGCGCCCCAGGTGGGTCTGTCAGGGACCCTCTGGGAGGAGGCTCTGCCGTGCCCGCTTCTCCGGTCTGAACCTCCAGCAGGAGTGAGCAGTGGGCACAGATGGAAACGTGAGAGCTGGGCTCCCGGGGGGGGGGGGCGCCGTTCTGTAGGGGAGTGACTCCGCCAGAGGACTGGCCCGGGCGTGGTGGCGCGCTCCTGGACGTCCCCCTCGGGTACCCCTCTGCCTCAGTTCGCTCTCCTGTGCCTGGTTTCACACCGAGCTGCTGGGGCACCTGCCGGGCCTGGCAACGCCCAGCCACTGCCCTCCTTGCACTGCCAGGCGGGTGTGGGAGCCCCCGCGGGTTCTCCACGTTTCGCATGTTGCGGAGAAAGCAGCTGAGTGCGCGGGACGGCCCTTCCCTTCCCTGCGGCAGGAGTGAGGCGGGAGTGAGGCGGGAGTGAGGCGGGAGTGAGGCGGGGCAGGCCGAGGTGGGCGCGCAGCTGCGGGTGCGCAAAGTGGCGTTTGCTCTCGCAGCAGTTATTACTGTTGCCCTGCCTTTGCCCACCCCCCAGCCCCATATTTAATAAAGATAATTTGAAGCCACAGCACAGCAGAAGGAGGGCTATGAACCAAGGGAGGAGACTTTCGGATGTTTCTCTCACCTTTGTACATTTACAGAAGCAGGGCCCTGGCTCCGCACTTGTTCCCCGGGGCCCTGAGCGTTGCCCACGTCCCCTGCGCGGCCTGTGGCGCTGGCGCGGCTGCGGCAGCACATTTTAATTCACCTCCCTCAGGGGCGGCTGAGGGAGGTGTGTGGTTCTGAGCACATGAGACAACTTATTCTTGTATTCTTATTTATTAATTATTGTATTTATTTGTGTTACAACTGGAAACCCACTTTTGCCTATCACTGTATTGTCCTGATGTTAAACATTTTGGTTTTTTTCAATCTTTCCTTTGTAATGTAAGAAACATTAAAATGAACTTTATGTACTTAAATCTTTGTGTGCATATCTATCTCCTTAAGCTCGACTGAATGAATGGAAAAATAGTAACTTTTGAAAGGCCTTTAAAGATACAATAAAACCTTGTAGAAACATTGTATCACTTAAAATTTTTTTTATTGTTCAAGGACAGTTGTCTCCATTCTCCTGCCCCTACTTTCCCCCGCCTCCCACCCTCAGTCCTTCCCCCCTTTGGCTTTGTCCCTGGGTCCTTTTTACAGGTTCCTTGACGACCCTTTCCCTTCTTTTCCCAATCAGCCCCCTCCCCTCTGGTCACTGTCTGTTCTTTTTTTCAGTGTTGCTGGTGGCCGGTTCTGTTTTGCTGGCTAGCTTGTTGTGTTGATCAGGTCTTGCTTACAGATGAGATCACAGGATGTTCGTCTGAGGAGCTGACGGGCGGTTGAGTGGGCAGGCCCTCCGCTTCCTCAAGTGCCGGTGGCTGTTACCGGCCGCAGCCGGGACGCAAGTCGAAAGCTGACTCTGTGTTTCAAAACCCCACAGGAGCAGATGCAGTTGCCACGGGCCACTATGCAAGAACTTCGCTGGAGGATGAAGAAGTCTTTCAGCAGAGGCACATTAAGAGGCCGGAAGGGCTTTTTAGAAATCGATTTGAGGTCAGAAATGGTAAGTAAAAGTGCCCAGGTCAGAGCTGGTTACTTGCGAACAAGCAAAACGTTTTGAGGAACGACAGTGGGTCCTTGCGCGAGCGTTCCTGCCCGACCCCTGCCTGTCCCAGATGAGCCTGTTACCCCTGGTTTCCTGTTTGACTGGAAAAGTCCAGCGTCTGGGAGGGGCATGTCCCTCGGGGCCTGCGGTGGGGGCCGGGCCCGGGCAGGGGACCAGGAGCCGGGGTTGGCAGCCTCGCTCAGGACACTGAGTGCCGGCGATTGCAGGTCCCCCGATGTCTGAGGGAGTGTTCGACACCAGAGGTCGGAGTGCCACAGGCGCTGCCACTGCTATCGAGGTGTCGTGGGCTGGAGGCCCCGTGTCCTGGAGTGCGCCCTGACTATCGCAGCACCGACCTGGTGGCCAGGCCGGGAACAGCGTTTGCAGATCGTTTACCTGTGTCAAAAGGGCAGCGCTCCCCTCCCCTAGAAAAGCACGGGCGCCGGGCAGTGAGCCGGGAGGCCGCGGGCTTGTGTGCGCACACGTCGGTGTGCGGCGGTGACGTGTTCACACCACGTGTCAGTGGAGGACGGGAGGGGCTGGAGCCGCGTCCCCGCGAGGCCTTTCCGTGGCCGAAGGGCTGGGGTTAGGGCTTCCCCGCGCAGCCGCCTGGCCTCGTCACCTGCTCCGCTCCCCGCCCCTCCCCAGGCTTCCCCGCACAGTACGCGCAGCACAGCACGCGGGCGGCCCCTCCTCTGCGCAGTGTCAGGAGGCGTGTCCCCTTCCCGCCTCACAGACAGGAAAGGAGGCATGGGTGACGTCGTCTGACTCGGAGCCTCCGCTGGCAGACCTGGCCTTCAGCCCAGGGCCGCATGGCTCCACCGCCCACGCTCTGCTGACCCGGCCCGCTGATCCACCCCCTCTGCCCCCAGCCGGTGTGCAGGCCGCCGCTGGCACGCGGTGTGCCCTCTGTCGTGGGAGGTCCGAGTGTGGCGGCGTCACTTGGCTGCCGGTTCTCTTCTCCCGCCCCCACTACCCACGGCAGAGGGTGCACCGCCCCCCGGCCTGGGCCTTCGGCTGCGGTGTTGGCCGAGGGCCTCTGCGGCGCTGCCCTGTGGAGGCGGCCGGCCCCGGCTCCCCTCCTCTCCAGGCGCTGACTTTCTCACTCGGGCACCGCCCACCCAGGGGACGCTCCACGTCAGGGGACACAGCTTTGAGCGCGGAGCCCTGCCCCTCGGAAACTCACGGCAGGGTCCCCACCACGAGCGGGGGTTCCGGGGCTGCGGGAGGCGAAGGACTATTTCCACACTGAGCAGTGGGGCCTGCCGCCCCCCCCCCCCGAAATGCCCTGCCTCACGGAGGCGCGCCCGGGCCCCCACGGCAGGCAGGTGTGCCAGGGCTTCGCTGGCCGTGCCACGCGCGCCCGGCTGAGTTTCCTGTGGGTTCCGCACTGTTTCTGTGCCCAGGCCCCCTAAGGCTTTTCATCTCTTCCAGCTCGGCGCCCTGCAGGCCCGGGCTGGGACCTCGCGGCCGGGCCCTCGGGGAGGGTGCACAGGGGCGTCCTGGGCAGCCGGCCCCCAGCCGGGACGCCCGCGCCCTGGCCTGGCGTCCTTGTAGGGCACCTCGCCGCCCGTGCAGGGGGTGGCGGCCCCCCCCGCGGGGTCCCTTGGGGAGGAGGTGCGGGAACAGCCCCTGCTCCAGTAGCCTCACCTAGTGCTGCTTCCCTTCCATGGGTGGGGCCGCCAACTTAGTTAGTTAGTCAGCTATTCATTTATAAAGTGGGGAAGGGAGGGGGAAAGAGAGAGAGAGAAGCATCCATGTGTGGTTGCCTCTCACACGCCCCCTCCTGGGGACCTGGCCCGCGACCCAGGCCTGTGCCCTGCGTGGAATCGAACCGGCGACCCTTTTGTTCACAGGCCGGTGCTCAATCCACCGAGCCACGCCAGCCGGGCTCTTTGTTCAATGTAATAAACTTTGAGCTTGTTTTACGATCACTCAGAACTACGAGGAAATGTGAATTGCCCTGGGTATTCTGAGGCTTTTATACACACACTGCTTGATCGAATTCAGTTTTGAAACAAGAAGAGTTTGGCACATGGTTCTGCCTCATGCTTGGGCGAACTCTTGTTTTTCATTTCTCACCTGGTTTTGCTGTTCTGCGCCTGAGAAGCGACGGAATGGAAGTCCGGGTGCCTGGGCTCGGTTTTCCGCTCAGCCGTTCCCTGCTGCATCGCCTTCCGCTTCGGTTACCTGAGCTCCAGTTTCCCCGTCTGTGGAGTGGGGGTGACTCCACCCACACAGCTCATGGGAGAGCCAGCAGCGGGGCCAGGGACGGAGGGCGTGCGCGGCACAGAGAGCGTGGCACGCGGGTGTGGCCCGCGGAGCGCAGGGAGTCGGGGCTTCTCTCAGCGGAGGGACGCGATGTGCTGAGAGAGGGCGCAACGCTGAGACTGTGCGAAGTCGTTTCCATCGGTCGTGGGCCTTCCAGGGGGGACCTGATGGTGGCAGTCTTGGAAGTGTGTCCCATGCCAGGCAGGACCAACCTGGCCCGGGGGAGCAGCTGGGCGTCCACTCTGACCCCTGTCGTGTGGCCGGGTCAGTCACACCTGTGCACCGTTGTCCTTAAGTAGAAACTGGCCTCTGCCGTGAACCAGGGAAAAGCAGCGCGGCCGCAGAGGGGCCTCCGACAAGTGTGCTGACCAGGAAGGAAGGCAGCTGCGTGGGCCGCCTGGGGGTCTTTCCCTGGGAGCCGCACCCGGCAGCGAGCCCCGGAGTGCGACACGGCTCCGCGCCCCGAGACGGTCAGGGAGCCGCAGGCCGCCCGGGTCTGTAGGTTGTCCTCTTGCGCGGTCTTCCTGTGTCGGCCAAATTCATTTTAAACCTGTGTTTTGTTTTTTTTTAATGGGATGTTTCATCTTTGAAAATACTACCATCTAAAATATGAACTGGAATAAGTTTCTTCATTGTGAAAATCTTCCTCTCTGTGTTATTTTTTTTTTTGTTGTTGTTTTTTAAAGATTTTATTTAGTTTTAGAGAGGGGAAAAAAGGGAGAAAGGGGAGCAACATCAGCGTGCGAGAGCTGCATTGATGGGTGGCCTCTCGCGCACCCCCACCTGGGGACCTGGCCCGCAGCGGAGGCCTGGGCCCTGACTGGGCATCAAACCGGCAACTTTTTGGTTTGCAGGTTGGCGCCCCGTCCAGCGAGCCCCGCCAGCTGGGGCTGTTTTGTGTTTTTTAATAGCGGGTGAACCAGGAGCCAGCATCGCTCCCGCAGTGACCGCAGGGACTCTCCACCGGTCTGCCGTGGGGGGTGCGGCTTTGTCTGCCGGGCCGGCTCGTCGGTGGGTGGCGGAGGGTGCCGTGCAGAGCGAACACGATCATTTCATCCCTGCACCGTCTCTTGTTCTTTACTCTTGGCAGCGGTAAAGCTCCTCCAAGCAGCCGACAGCTTTAAAGACCAGACCTTCTTTCTCAGCCAGGTTTCCCAGGAGGCCCTGAGGAGAACCCTCTTCCCTCTGGGGGGACTCACGAAAGACTTTGTAAAGAAAATAGCTGCTGAGAACGGACTTCATCATGTGCTTCAGAAAAAGGAGGTAAGGGTTAGTGGGTGCTCCGTCCGCAGCGCTGGCCGGGGGAGCCTAGGAAAGGCCTGCGAGAGGAAGCAGTGGGGGCCTGGCGTGGTTGGAGGGAGGAAGGCTCCGAGGGGACCTGAGGAGATGACGTGCAGCCCGAGGCCTGGGGGCATGGCGTTTAGTGCCCGCAGGTAGTCGGGGCGCCGTCCAGTGAGAGCAGAGAGCACGTGCAAAGGCCCTGAGGCCAGAGACCCTGGTGCGTGGGTGGGATTTAGGTAAAGCCAGTGTGGTGGGAACCTGGTGCTCGAGGGCAGTGGGACCCGAGCCAGCCTGGCTGCCCCCGGCGTGGTCAGCCAGCTCCCGGAGTAGAGGTGGCTTCAACTAGAGCTGCCACCTCACGTCTGTCTTCCCGGGAACGCACTGGCTGTGCCTTTGTCAGCGAGCCTTGGCCCCTGCGCCGGCCCCTCCGCCCCCACCATCAGTTCTGCTCCCCTCGCTCCCGTTCTGCTCCTGAGTGCGACTCTGGTAGGAGCTGAGGGAGCCACCCTCCTGGGACCCACGTTCCAGAGACACGAACTGGAGGATGCGTGACGGAGCCGGGGGCCGAGGGTGGCGCTGAGGAGAGCTGGTCCCGCGAGAACGGCTGCGGCGAGGCAGTCGCTCCTGCCTCGGACCCTCCCGAGGGCGCCCCAGCAGCCGGCCTGGCCGTTCTGCCCCCGTCACCGCTGCGGGCCCAGGCCCCAAGACCCGCGGGCAGAGGCCTGAAGGCCTGGGCGACTCGGGTTTTCCTGGGCGGCTGGTCCGATGGCGGCGGCACAGGGGCCGGGCCTTGCTGGGCATGGATGTGCCGCTTGCTTGTCTGGCAGGGTCCAGGACCAGGGACCGCACGCCCATCGGCGTCCCGCGCGCCCCCGGCCCATTTGTGGCTGTGACCCGGGTCCGGGCCCTGCACGGGGAAGCCCCCCAGGGCCCAAAGTGAGGCTTGGGGCAGGAGGGGCCTGCGGGTTCTGCGTGGAGCGGGTGCGGGCCCTGGGGGCCGGCCCCTGACCCTGCTCACGCCGCCATCCCTCCTTCCAGAGCATGGGCGTCTGCTTTGTTGGCAAGAGGAACTTCGAAAGTTTCATCCTTCAGGTGAGCGCTGCAGCGTGAGGGGCAGAGCCGTGTGTCTGCGCTGGATGGGGGCCTGGCAGTGACGAGCTGTTGTTTTCCAGTATTTGCAGCCGCGACCTGGTAAATTCATTTCTATAGAGGACAATAAAGTTCTGGGAACGCATAAAGGTGAGACGCAGCCTCTGGCTGCTTTTCGCTCTGAACTCCGAGTTGGGGGGCGCGGGGCACCCGGGGAGTCCAGAGCAGGGCCTGCCGCCCCATCCACATTCGCCCGGGGTTCAGAGCCAGCGGCCAGGACAGAGTGTGGACGGTGGGTGCGGTAGCAGCCCCTTTGACATGGGATTTTCCTGTTTCAAGATGGGTCTCCTGCTAAGCACCGCAACTAATAAAAGCAGGTGCCACCCTATCCAGAAAGACTTGGCTCTCGGAGCTGCGGGTCCGGTCTGCGTGACAGAGCCGTGTGTGTGCGCTGTGTAGAGAAAACGTTAGGCTACAGGAAAGGAGTTAGGAGCCGCGTGCTTTCGGACAGCGTGGAGCGATGGCGTCAGGGGTCCTGTGGGTGGCGGCTGCTGCCCCATCATCGGCAGATGTGGGGCACCATGAGCCTGCAGGAGGCAGCAGGGGGAGGGCAGGGACGGAGTCGGTCAGGCGCAGGGCTCACAGCTGGTGGGCGGGGACAGCGGCCGGGTCGGTGTGTGGCGGGGCTGTGTCCCTGGGGCCTGACGCCCAGATGTTCCCCGGCCCGACATGCATCTGGACGGACAGGGCTGCGGCTGGGGCGTGGCCAGCCCCACCGTGAACTAGTCTTTGGATCCCCCACCTCGGGGTGGGCAGGCGGCTTCCCCTGGGGAGTGGGACCTGCGCCCCAGCTCCCAGAGAGCCGAGCCTTTTCTGGATGGGAGGAAGAGGCCGCCTGCTGGGAACAGAACCGCGGGCGCTCCCTGCCCGTCACAGCTCCGGCTGTACTGAAGGGGGCGCCTGGGACCCCCACGGTGGCCCATGTCTCTGTGTCTTTGTGGGGTGGGGGGACTAAGGGGGTGGCCTTGCCACCAGGCCTTGTGGTGTTTGTTGTGGGGGGTGGGGAGGCGCACAGAGGTACTCCTGGCCCCACTGTGGTTAGTGCATGGGTTGGGGGCACACCTGTGACCCCACAGCTGCCCCGGGGGCTCAGCAAGGAGGGTCTCATGGGTTCCCACAGGGCATGCAGCCCACCTTCGGAAGCCAGCGTCCCCGCCGCTTGGAGTCCCGCAGCGGCTCCTAGTGCGGTGCCCGGGCCCAGATGAGGAGGGCCAAGCTCGGGCTTAGGGCTGGTGCCGGTGGCCCGGAGAGCGCCCCGCCCCGGCCTCCCACCGCAGGGGCGCGGGGTGCAGGCGGGTCTCACGCCCCCTCGCTGGCCGCTGTCTCCGTAGGCTGGTTCCTGTACACTCTGGGCCAGAGAGCCAACATTGGCGGCCTGCGCGAGCCCTGGTACGTGGTGGAGAAGGACGGCGCCCGGGGCGACGTGTTTGTGGTGAGCGGGGCGGCCTTCTGGGCGGCGGGCTCTGGGCGGGCACAGCACGAGCGCGGGGCGTGCAGGGCTGGGGGCGCGCACGCAGCGGTGGCCTCGCCGGCGCCCGCCCGGGATCCTGCCGAAGGTCCTCACTGGGCTCTCCCTGTACGCTGGTCCCTCTGCTTGTCACCACGCTAGTCCCTGGGGGTAGGCGCGACACTCTGAGGTTGCCGGAGGGGACGAGGCTCAGAGGTGAGGGAGCGTGGGAGTGTCGCAGGTGGGGGCCCCGCCTAGGACGGGCTTGCACATGGCTCCCAGCCGTCACTGCTGAGCGATGGCAGGGCACAGCGGGACTGAACCAGGCAGTCAGCGCGGCTGGGCCCGGAGGCGCTGGAGCCCTGGCCTCCTCCAGGCCCTAGAACCGCGTGTCCCCAGGGGGCGCGCTTGACTCCCACAGGCACCCCAGGGCATTTGGCGATGCCTAGGGACATTTTTTAAAAAGATTTATTTATTTACTTTTAGAGAGAGGGGAAGGGAGGGAGAGAGGGAGGGAGAGAAACATCAGTGGGCAGGAGACAAGGGGTGCCTCTCACACACCCCCCACTGGGGACCTGGCCCGCAACCAGGCCTGTGCCCTGCCTGGACCCGAACCAGCGACCTTTCGGTTTGCAGGCAGGCACTCAGTCCCCTGAGCCCCACCAGCCAGGGCTGAGGGCATTTTTGAACGTGATAACACGGGAGGGTGGGGAATGGGTGCCGCTGCAGGCTGGTGGGAGCCCCGCCCCCCAACAGCCGCTCTGGCCCCAGCCCTCAGTGGTGTGGAGGTTCAGGCGCCCTGGACACCTTCCCTGGGCTCCAGAGGTGGCATCACCTCGTGCTCTGTCACACGGCTCAGGGGCCCCCTCTGAGGCCCAGGCAGAGGCGGCGGCTCTCGCCTGCCTGCCCGGGGACATCTCCTTCCAAGAGCTGTGGGCGTGGAAGCTTGGGCAGCGATCCTGGTCAAACGCAAATTAAAGTGATTTTAGTGTAACGTTCAGTGGTGTCCTTTGCTTTAGGAGAAAATAAGGGTCACTGACGGACACTTGTCCCTGTGTGAGTCTCCCTGCCTCAGCGGGGAGGCTTGCCAGGTCCTAGGAGGCCGGGGGGCGCCGGAGGGTCAGGGACAGCGTGCTCAGAAGCAGACTGCCCCAGCGGGCCCCGTGCCCGGCACCTTCCGCCAACCCCCCCGCCCCCGCCGCTGGGCTGGGCCGCGCTCCCGCGGTGGCCTTCCGGGGCTGGGACAGCCGAGGCAGGGCAGGTGCGGCCCCGGCCCCGGGCAGGCTGTGGGGGTGCAGAGTGGGACAGGCACGGGGGCAGGCGTGCTGGGCGGCAGGTCCCGGGGCCCGAGCGCAGGCCCTCTGCCCCGGGCGTGGCGGTGCCCTCTGCCTTGGCTTCCTCTCCTGCCAGACGGGGGTCGGAGGGCTCCTGAGAGAGTCACGTGAGTGTCCGCGGCCGACACTGGCTGTGGATGCGTGTTTGCTGTTGGGGGACAGTGAGGCGGCTCTGGGGTGGGGGGCCGCCCCGCCCAGGGCTCCAGGGCCTCACGACCTCCGTGTTCCGCTCTGCAGGCCCCGCGGACGGACCACCCGGCCTTGTACCGGGACCTGCTGCGCACAGGCCGCGTGCACTGGATCTCGGAGGAGCCGCCCGCAGCCCTGGTCCGGGACAAGATGATGGAGTGCCACTTCCGCTTCCGCCACCAGATGGCGCTAGGTGACCGAGTGGGATGGGTCTGCCTAAGAGGCCAGATGTAGGGCGGCCCCAGCGGTAGACCAGGGCAGCAGGCCCCGGGGTGCGGGCCGTGCCACACCGTCCGAGCCCCTTCCCTCTTGCCCGCGTGGGAGACAGGCCGGGAGGCCAGAGGCCCCACTCAGCGCTCTTCCTCTGGGGTGAGGGGGTCCCGGGAGGTCAGCGCGGGGCTGTGGGTCCGGGCAGTGCGTGGGGCCTGGGGCTGACCACACAGGCCAGGCCAGCGCCCTCCAAGTGCCCTCGTCTCCCCCCCAGTGCCCTGTGTGCTGACCCTCAACCAAGACGGCACCGTGTGGGTGACGGCAGTGAAAGCCGTGCGGGCCCTCACCCTGGGACAGGTGAGGGGGTGCTGCTCTGCGCTGCGCTCTGGGGGCGCGGGGCACCCGTCGGGGAGGCCGCGTGGCCTGGCCCCGGTGCGGGGACGGGGTCTAGCACCCGCTCAGCTGCCCCCGGGCAGCGCCCGGCCGGTGAGCGGGCTGTGGCCGGCGGGCTTCCCGCCGGGAGAGCGGCACTTCACTCCCCAGAGCACCGGGTCCCCGGCCGCGGGCAGAGGGGGTGCGGGTGCTCAGGTCTGGGAGAGGCCGAGCGTCGTGCGCCCCCCACGCCACCCCCGCCGTCGGGCCCCCCCGGTGACGTGCCCTTTCCCCACAGTTCGCCGTGTTCTACAGCGCGGGCGAGTGCCTGGGCAGCGGGAAGATCCTGCGCCTGGGGCCGTCTGCCTACACGCTCCAGAGGGGCCGGAGCCGGCCCGGAGCGGCTGCCGCGGGCCCTGGCGACAGCGAAGGTGACGGCCTGGGCTCGGGCCCCGCACCCTGAGCGACCGGAACGGGCGGGCGGGCGGCGGTGGAGGAGCAGAGCCTGGGGCCGGGCAGGTGGGGGCCGGGCTCTGCTGGGAAGGGGGGTGCTGGGTGTCCCTTCCACAGAGCCCCTCCCCCACACCCAGGGGAGGTTCCCACCAGGAGCACCTGCAAGGGCTGCAGGGAGAGCGTGGAATAAAATTTCTGTCTGGTGACACATGGACTCTGACAGTGGCCTCCACCGGCACCGGGCGGAGGGAGGCGGGCGGGGGGGCCAGGACCGCACACGCTTGGGACTTGCCTCAGGTCTGCTGGAGACCACCCCAAAGCCTGGCACCGCGTCCCCTGCAGCCTGAGGCAGGGGGCTGCCAGCTGCTGGGCCCCATAGCCCCACAGCCCGTTAGTGTAACCCTGTGTTGGGGCGACAGGCTGCGGTGTGGGGGCCTCTGAGACCAGGCGCTGCACGGGGCCGACAGCCTGAGAGCTGGGTGCCAGCCGCCCCCCAGCGTGTGGACCGAAGCCGCCCCACCCCAGCAGTGCCACCGCGCAGCTGGGACCAGTGAGGGGCCGGGACTCGACCTGGACCCTGCCCCAGGAGGCAGGCCACCGGGCAGGGAGGGGGACCCCCTGGCTCACCCCACTCCCATGAGCCCCGCGCGACTGAGGCTCCTGATGGCGCAGGGAGGTCAGGAGGCTGCGCTGCCCGAGGGGCGGGGACGGCGCGCTGGGGTCAGCGTCCCCCCGGCCCCCCCCCCCGCTGTTCTGAAGGGAGGAAGCGGTGCCGCCTGCAGGGCGGAGGCCCCTGCCCTGCCATGGCCCCGGCACCTTTCCCCAAGGTCATCACACCCTGCGGGGTCGCCCAGGGTGGGGAGCAGCCCGAGCAGCCTGCCCCCGGCTCCCGCGCCCGCTGCTGCGCCCCACCGGGGAGCCAGGCCCTGTGGCGCGGCAGGCAGGCGGGGGGGGGTAGGGGGCAGGGCTGAGGCCGCTCCTCGGTCTGCCCGGCCGGGGGGCGGGCACAGCTCGGCCCCCCTCCCCCCACTTTCTGCTGAGTGCAGGGCGGTGCGGGTGGCAGGCCAGCACTGGCTCCTGGTCCCCGGGAACAGGCCATCAGCACAGAGAGCAGGGCGGAAACGCTGCCTTTGTTCCGCCAGCTCGAGGGCCCCGGAGCCACCCTGAGCTCGGTTTCCCGACTCGCTGCCCTGGGAATGGAGATCTGAGGGCGGCCCTGTCTGGGAGCCCCCATGGTGCCCACCCTCCTCTGTGCCTGGCTGACCTTCAGAGCAGCAGGCATGGGAGCGGGATGGTGCAGGGGCTGCTGAGGGGGGGCGCCCCTCCGGTCCCGGGCACCTCTGCTGTCCTGCCAGCCCCATGCCCGGCTTCCGGCCTGCCAGGTCGGCCAGTGCAGCGAGGTGGAAGGAGCGGGCACAGGCCTGCCACGGCCCCCAGGCCTTGCCCGTGGCTGGTGCCGGGCAGCCTCTCAGCCGGCAGTGCGGCCTGCTCTCCACTGGGCGCCTCGGCCTCCCTGTGCCCTGGAGACGCCCGGCACTGCTCTGAAAGCGTCAGCAGCTGCTGCCCACCAGGGGGCGTCGTTGGGCCAAGCGCACCGCTGGCGCCTGCAGGCCCCAGGTTCGTCCCTGCAGGTGAGCGGCTGAAGGAAGACCTGGGCGGGCCGCAGTGGCCGGGGCGGGCTCAGAGCAATATGAAGAGCGTTGCCCCCACCCCCACCACTTCTGGAGTGTTCTCCTGAGGCCGGCCCTAGGACTGCACCCCTGCTTTGCACCCCACACCTGGAAGGCTCCCTCCCTGGGCCGCAAGCCAGTGCCAACCCCTCGGCCTGGCCTCTGCTGGCGTCTAAGTCCCCGGAAGCAAACCCGGGTATCTCAACAAGGCCGGCCTGCAGGGAGGGCGACCGGGGGCAGGCCGCGGTGGCTACTGGTGAGGCAGCAGGCCCCTCCGCGGCTGGGTCTGGGGGGCTGGGCGTTTCTGAGGGCTGGCAGAGCTTGGAGTTCATGCCTGCGTTCGGATGGCACTACGGAGGGGGTCTCGTTTTGGTCTTGATCCCGCCGCGGCCTTGTCTGAGGCCGGTGAGTGCACTATGTCCACAGGACACCCCACTGGCCGCCGCCACAGGCGGGCCTGCTCCCCTCCACCGGGGCCCTGGACCCTCCCATGTCTCCTGGCCAGCTTGGTCTCCGGGTGGGGAGCTATCCGGTCCTGCCCGCTGCTGAGCGCTCTGACCAGCGAACGGCAGCAGTGGGCTGGGGAGGGAGCAAAACTTCAATGACCTTGGGGGCAGGTGTTCATGGAGGGTTTCCTTTTTCCCTCCCAATCTCTGGAGCTGTGTGGCCAGCAGCCGGGCTCCCGTCCAAGGGAGGCCTGGAAAAAGGGGGCCCGCAGGCTGAAGAGTGGTGCAACCCTGTTTTTTCCTCTAACTTTCCCCGAGTGTAGTGCCACTTGGGTGGAAGTGGGGACAGTGTGGTGGCTCGTGCTCTGGAAAAGGCCCGTCTTGGACAGTGGGACCAAGACCAGGGGCCCCAAGAGTGCACGTGAGGCAGGTCCCGGGGGGCAGCCGCAGGAGTGGGCCCCTCGCTTCCATGTGCTGACACAGGTGCCGGCTCCCCCCGACGTAGGGGCATACAGAGCAGGCCCAAAAGGGCTTATCAGAGGCTTTGAGAACAGAACGATGACGTGCAACGCCCCACACTGCCCTCAACCGTGAGCGGCAGTTGGGCCAGGCAGTCCAGCTGAGGCCCCGGGTGCCGAGCCGGCCTGGGGCCACTGCCCGCAGAGGGCAAGGCCGAATGCGTGCCCGAGCCCTGCCTGCTGTTTGCCCGCTGAAACCAGCAGAGGTGACATCTGCCAGAGGGTTCTAACAGGACCCAGAGCCTCATGACATTCAAAATGCCAGTATGGGATTCACTGTGAGATCAGGCAGTGTGCAAAGAGCCAGGAAAAAGCCGAGACATGACGACCGATTTCCGGCCCAGGATGACCCGGGCACAGACCTCAGAGCCTTCAAAGCAGCCGTCACAGCTGTGCCCCAGAGGGCAGGCAGACACCCTAGGGCCCCACGGAGAACCAGGCGTCCTCTGCAGGGAGATGACAGTTAGAGAGGGAACTGAGTGGAGGTTTTAGGACTCAAGCTGACAGCACGTGAAGTCATACATTCTGGGTGGACCCTCAACAGCGTACAGGTGGCAGAGGAGGGCGTCAGTGAAGGTTACTAGATCGGTTACTAGAAAGGATGCAATGTAAGAAACGGAGGTGGGGCTCCGTGGACTGAGTGCCAGCCTACGAACCAAAGGGGTCGCCAGCTCGCTTCCCAGTCAGGGCACGTGCCTGGGTTGTGGGCCAGGCCCCCAGTAGAGGGTGCGAGAGAGGCAACTGATTGATGTTCATCTCACTTTCTCCCTCCGTCTTCGTCTCCCTGAAAATAAAATCTTTTTTAAGAAAAACAGATGAAAAGAGCCTTAGGGACTGGGAGGCAATGTCCAAGGTCTACCAGTTGGTCACTGGAGTTCCAGGACAGGAGAGGTGCAGAGGGAAAAGACAACTGCAATAAAATGTGGCCAAAAATGTCCTCGGTCAGGCGAGATACAAACTGAAAGGGCTCAGGAAACCCCCAAAGGAGAATAAACAAATTCCGGCCCAGCTCCCGCCCCCGAGGCTTGTCGTCAGCGTTCTGCACCGCGCCGCCCCCCTGCCCCGCCCACAGCGGCCCCGGAAGCAGGGGCTCCAGCCCAGCGGAGATACAAACTCAAAAATCTTAATTTATTGTAGACATTTTTCTCATCTGATGTAATTCCAGTGTTCTGAACATTAATAAATATACATTTGCTTTAAAAAAAAAACAAAAACAAAAACCCTCCAGTGTCTAAATCTCTGTCAGAGTCTTAAAAAGTCACAAAAATAGGTTTACATTTTTCTTTTCACAAAACTGACAATTGCTTTTTTTGGTTAACAGTTCTGATCAAATTAAAAACTGCACCTCAGGGGGCACAACCCATGACAACGGAGAGTTCAAAGACTCAAAACTATTAAAACCTTTTCTTCCTTAGAAAACGCCCCACGGGCGGTCGACGCCGAGGCACTGCCGCGTTGCACCTTCAGACGGCCGCCCGCCTGCTAAGGCACGTCTGTGACTCACTCGGGTGTGGGGCGCGGGGCCTTGCTTCGCGCCGGGTCTCAGGCCCCCGGCCAGCATCGGGCGTGCGTTCCCACTCCCACGGCCGGGGACCCTGCTCACATTTTCATCAGAAGAACCCAGGGTGGAGATCTTTGCATTTTACTTGGTTTTCATCGTAACTTACGGCGGCGCGTATTTGGAAGCAGCTGCGCTGATCATTTATTTGGGCACGTGATTGGAACCACAAAGAAAACACTGAAATAAAACGTGTCTGAATAACTCTGGGCCTCGTTCCACAGCCCCTCGGGCCACGCTGGGCCGACTGCCCACAATGGGACAGTCACCGCCGGTCCTTGGTATGAATTTCCAAAAAACAGCTCGGTAACCACTGAAGGGGCGGCGGTGGCTTTGTCCCTTTGCACAATTGGCCATTTGAAGCAAAACGAAGTGATTGGTCAGACTGGGGGGGTGGGAGCCCAGGCTGCCTGGCGGTCCTCAGTCTCAAAGAGTGGGGGGGCGGGGAATTGGCAGGAAAGAACATGACATCCTGGAAGCCCTCATACCTCCATCTGCATCGGGGACGTGTGTGAACGCTTTAAAATGCCATGGCGGCCAGGAGCAGGGGGACAATAGGTTCCCCACCTGCAGAAGCGGGCCCCTGGGAAGGGGGCCGGATCTTGCGCAGCCGAGCGAGGGCGCAGCCAGGGAAGGACCAGCATGGCCGCCCCGGCCGTGTGACGCCCGCGTTCCGCACCGCCCTCGGCAGGGCTCCCTGGACCCAGCCCAGGCCCGAAGCGCCCCGTCACGCACCCACCGCGGCCCAGGCAGGTGCGGCTGAGGGCCCGCCTCGCAGCCACAGGTGCGCTGAGGATTCGGGCTGTGCGTGGGACACCCGAGGCTCCTGCTCAGCGGG